TACGATTCATCTCACGGCCTGACTATGACGCTTGAAAGCCAATTGCCAGCTACTTCAAGGCCATCTCTAATGCTACTCTGCCATCAAGGCGTGCGACGTGTGGTGAGTCACGACCCGACCCCTGAGCTGGGAACACATGCTCACCCATGACGCGCTGCTAGTTGTCGATTCGTCTCGGTGATCTGCTCCAGTCACCGACTCGCGGTGATCCGATAAGCATGGAAACCTGGCTTCAACAGATTCGTATCTGCGTTTCAGCTGAGCAAAGACTTTCCCTGGAGCTTCAAGATCCTCGAGCCTTCGAAATAGCCGTATGCATGCTGCGCAGAATCGGGTTCGAGATCAAAAACGGCCTCCCTGACTCATCGGTTTCCAGCACGCAATCGAGCACTCTGAAACTTGTTCCAGAGTTGTCCCAGAGTACCCGCCTGTCAGATGTCACTCGAATGACCGAATCGAGGTTCAGCCAAACACAACAATCACTTGATTGTTCATAGGAGAACGATCATCTGGTATCCCAAGCGTCATATATCCCGGGCAGCAACCATACTATTGGAATCAAGAAGCCTTCCCAATCATTCGATCCTTATCATGCCTTGCTAGAAAGATCAATGCAGAGGAGCCAGACTGACTGGAACGGACAAGAGAGTCCACTGATTCGTCATGGCCCAGATGGACAGATATCCGACTTGGCACCATTGCAAAATACGACAACAGCAGAGCTCTCAAGCTATCGAACAATGTCTTTGGACTCACCTTACACTCAGACACATGCGTCATATGCCAAACCGGTTGAAGGCCGCAGTCTATACGAGCAGTCCAACAGCCGGCTGTCGAGACCGCAGTCGCGCGATACTGTGGCCAAGATTCGAAGCCTGTTGCCCCGACCGCGCAAACTGCCATTCTTATCAACAATCGAGAAGCCTGCGGGTGAAGTTTCCGTAAACAACCCGGAAGAGACACGGCCTCCACGAAGAAAGCTGAAAAGCTGCGTCGAGAGGACTGCATCATCGGGGGATCGCCCTCAGGATCCTTCGGCGAACAATATGAAGGACCGCTCCAGTGAAAAAGCCAGAATTGATCTTCAAGCGAGTGCCGACTTGAAAATACGAAAGCACACCAACAGTTTGAGAAGTCCCAGACCAACTGTGAGCTTGCATTCGGGAGCCAAAGAAGGCCAGCCAACTGCCAACCAGTCACAAGCACGCGTGAAAAAGCGAACCAGAACATCGACCACACGGGCTAAGACGAAAGTCGCTAGAGGTCTGACCAGCAAAATACCTAGGAATAAAACCAGCATCAAGGTCTCATCTTCTTCGGAAGGAGTGCCGAGTAGAATCACAAGGTCAAAGGCACGTAGCGCCTTGGTGACGAGCGCAGGAAACGAGGGAGCGAGCCTACCTATGGATCAGACCCCAAAGGACGACAGGGCTGTATCAGTAGCCAATGCGTCAACGCGGCAAACGAGAAAGGCTACACGCGAGGGGCTGTCAGAAGCCATGACGTCTAATACAGCAACAGCTTTCTCAGCGGCAGAGCAGAAACCCCAGATTGCATCAAAACGAGGCAGGGATGCGGAGTCAGTGAGCGAGAAACATTCAGAACCAGCAAAACACGTGAAAAATACACGGGCGTGCAAAGTAAACGCCACGCAAGAGCATGCCGGGAAGAAACCCAAGTTTATCGCTTGTGAGTTGTGTCACGTACGCAAGTGGAAGTGCGATTTGCAGAAGCCATGCTCGAGCTGCCGTACGGTAAGTTCAGGTTGCGCAATCGCATGCAGTGCTAACGTCGGTCAGAGAAATGTTGCGTGCCGACCTAGGAGCGCAACGGGTCCTCAGCGACAACACAGTTCAATAAACGTTGCACATCAGAATGAGAGCGAGCGCGATCCGCCCGAAAACACTAGCCAACTGGTACCTGAAGGCCAGGCTGGACCTTGTGCCAGTGGTGTTCTGTGTGAAGCCCAGGCTGAAATTCAACAACCACGTCAAAGTCTCCGGAGTTCGGGCACCTCGACGCAAAGTCCTCCTACGCAGCTGGACATCCCAATCTTGATCACCGAAACAATGTTGGACCAGGTCAACGCAGTTTCTGCTATCGTGCTGGACCGATTTGAAGCCGATGCCCGCGACAGCAGTGCGCAGGGGAACGCAGAGGCTTTCTATGATCAGCTGATGACCGCAAGGCGAGACTACTGGTACGGGCAGCTCGTGGAGACAGCTCGTTCACCGTGGGCCACAACACTGTAACGATATGTGATGGTGACAACCGAAGATTCCAATAAGATACTTGTCTAATGTAAAACCAATGCAGCAGGGGTAATCCGAGGTAGTCTCAGCAAAGAAAAGCAGAGCAAAGCAAAAGGATCCAAAAACAGGAGTCTTATGTACAATTTTTCCAAACCACCTTTTGAGTCTCGTACGCACCTGTGAGCGAGAATGGGGTTTCTAGGGGTTCATCTTCACGTAATTGCTAGGAAAGATGCCGTGCCTCGATCCGATCATGCCAGTCCTGTTAATCTTGTTAGCTGTCATGTACAAACACTGAGCATGCGTGTAATTTTTGACTCACCACCAGTCGTTCGTGCTGTCTGTCTTCTTGAGCACTGTGATGACATCGCCCTTTTTGAAGCCCAAATCACCGGGCTGGTCGGCGTCAAAGTTGAACATGGCCACCGCCTCGTTCTGCTTCAGCGAAGCACCCTTGTTACCACCAAACTGAGGCTTCGGCGCTGTTGGTCGCCCGGGCCCAGCTCGCTTCTCGCTGGTCTGGCTCGGGTTGTCGCTGTACGAGTACTCGTTGTCAAAGCGGCTGCCGCGCGACGCAAAAGTATTGGACCGGGAAACGCCTGCCCCACCGGAAGAAGGCTGGTCGTACATGTCGTCCTGCCAGGTATTCGAGCGCTTGGGCGCGTAGAAGCTGTCGTCTCCTCCGTATGCGCTCCCGGCACCGGTGCGGTCGGACCGCACGCCCTCGCCGTATGCGCTGCCACTGCGTCCATTCCAGACCACGTTGTCGTGCGAGTCCGAGTAGACGGGGATGTCGTTGTACATGGAGTCGCTGTCGTTCATTGATCCCACCCTTCCGCCGCTGAACACTCTGGAGTTGAGGACGGTCATCAGAGGGGCCGCCTGCGGTGGTGGCGCCACCGACCCGGTCAAAAGCTGCGCCGCAGTGTATCTCGTTCCATACATCTTCTCGTTCGCGTCACGACGCTCAATGATGCCGCCTCCCTCGAGGGACACACCGGCAAACAGGCCCTTGGTCTTGGAGTACGAGAAGACGCCGGCGACACCCTTGAGCGAAGCCGCGCCGGCCGCCTCGGCATTCCTGCCGACCGGACCCGCGGCCAGACTCACGTTGCCGCCCAGTGTCAAGCTGCCAGCCTGCGCAAATGTCTTGACAGCGCTCGCGTCATTGAGGATGAAGACAAAGTCGGTCAACTCGAAGCCGATCTGTCCGCCAAAGCCACCGCCGATCGTCGCAATCGCACTGGGCGCACTCCAGGAGCCGTCAGGCAGACGGGCGACGACCAGCCCGGAACCGAAGCGACCGGACCCGAGGAAACCGGCCTTGAGGACGGTGATGATGGCAAGACCTTTGGCGTTGGAAAGGATGGCCGGCGGGATGACCTTGTCGGGTCCGAAGGCTTGGCGGGGGTTGATGAAGGAGGTGAGGATCTTGCCGCACTTTTTGCATTCGGCTGTCTTCTTGTCAGTGGGGCTGAAGTCGCCTCATGGCATTCTGGGAAAGGCAACGTACACGCCATGGACGATGGCAGGGGGTTGTGCAGGCCCATCTTGACGGTTCGGGCTGCCTGGCGGGCTGCGACAGCGGGCTGTTGTCGAATGCGGGGGGGCTAGGTCGGAAGAGCTGGGAATGGCGTCGCACGGGTTGTAAATGGTGAATTTCGGCGAGCGCTCGTTCTGTCCAGACGTCGCAGAGCGTAGCAGGTCACAGCAACCCGAGTTTGACCGGATGACAGGAGGCAGGAGAGAGAGATGGAGGAGGAGCGTGCGATGACGAGGACGGTGGATGACGGACGGGGTTGGTGATGGAGCAGCACAGCCCACACTGCTTGCGCGGTTGGTTAGGCTTGGCTTGGACGGACGTGGAGCGTGCCCTGGGGAATGATGTTAATTGACCTGTGGCTGGTGAGAGCTAAAACGGGACGCGTGCCTTGTGGCGAAGTGTGGCGGTGCAACCTTAAATGGACCTCTGCGTCATGCCCTTGGCCAGACAGCGCGACGACCCCAAGCACGATCAACGCGGTGATTGATAGTCCCATTCCCCCCGAGAGCACGCATAGCGAACGACCGAACGACCGAGTAGCCCAACATGTCCGAAGCCTACGAGCGCGAGCGCCAGAACAATGACCGGCTCAGCGAGCTCTCCAACAAGGTGTCCGCCCTCAGGGGCGTCACGGTGGACATTTACGACCAAGCCTCCTCGCAAAGCCTCATAGACAACACGGTACATCTGAAACGACCCGCTAGCAAAACAGGGAGGCTGACAGCGTGACCCAGAGCGAGACATTCTCCTCCATGGGCACCCAGATGAAAGGGTCCGCGGGCCGCCTGACACGCATGGCCGCGTCGGGAAACAAGGTCGCGATCATGAAACTGGCGGGCATCTGCATCGTCGTATTTCTCGTATTATACTATGGTCTGAAGCTGATCTTTGGAGGCGGCAAGAGCTGAAAGAGGGGGGGCGGGTGGAAGGCAAGAAAACAGGACATCGTGGTGAATGGGTTCAATACAAGCATCGGCGTTTGGGGATTGCCTTCTTTGACAGGCGAAAAAGGTCAATGCAAGATTTGATTTTTGGTCTCTCATATACATGCATGCGTTGTCCCTTGTTTTTCTCGGTCCGTCATTGCAAAGACGCCTCATGAACGCCCATCATCATGCCCAAACTATTCGTCAACGTAGTCTAAAAAGTCCAGCCACCCGCTTGCTCGCTAGTCTATAAGTGTGGTTTCACTCCGCTGTTCCTGGCTACTGCCAGACGTTCGAGAAGAGGTCCTCCTCCCCGCCGAAGCCTTTGCCGGCACTGCTGCTGTTGTTGGTGTTGCTCGTGGTCGACGCACCGGTGCTGCTAGCCCAGCCGCCGAACTCCTCATCCGCAGCGACCTTGGGCGCAGCGCTGAACCCACCCGAAGTACCGGGCACGATGGGGGTACTGGCAAAGGATCCGCCAGCGTTGCCCCATCCTAGGTCGCTGGATGCCGCGAGAGCAGGGGGGTTGCTGGGAGCAGCGGGCGCGGCGGGCGCAGCTGGCGTCATGACAGCTGGGGCAGGCGAGGAGCTGGCCCATTCGTTGCTCCCCCAGACATCGGCGCCAGACAGGCCACCAAAGGCAGGTGCGGCTGCAGCCTTGGGCGGGGACTGCTTGGGTGGAGCGGGTGCAGGCTGTGAAAGGTTGAAGACGGAGCTCTGCGTCACAGGGGGGGACATGGCTGGAGGGGGCGGGGATCTGGTCTGTGTGACAGGGGCGGACATGTCGAACAGGTCTTGGGAAGCGGCGGGTTTGGCGGGCGCCGCTGCTGGAGCGGCAGGCGAGGCGAAAGAGCCCCAGTCTCCGAAACCACTGTTGGACGGCTTCTTCTGGTGAGCAGGGGGGGACTGAGGCTTTGCGTCGAAGAAGCTGCCGCCTCCCAGACCGCCGAATGCGTTCGCGGTGGGAGGGGCCTTGGATGTAGGTCGGCTGGTGCTGGCACCGAAGCTCGCGAAGGGGTCGGCAGGGGCTGGGGGAGGCTGATGGCTTGCGGTACTGGACATGCTCAAGTTGCTGAAAGCGTCGGTGAATCCACCCGCGGAGCTCTGAGGGGCCGGGCTAAAGCCAGGCGAAGACATGCCACCAAAAGAACCTTGTTGCTGATGCTGGGATTGCGGAGGAGCCTGGGGCTTGGGCGCCGAAGCATAGAGCGACAGGATGGATTGCTTCAGATCTGGTCGCGACTGACCGCCGGGGGTACTGACGCCAGTAGTGCTCGCAGGTCGGGGCGGTGCGGTCGACTCGCCCAAGAAGTCGAGGCCGAGGAGGGAAGAGTTCGATTGCGGTGTTTGCTTTGGAGGCGCCGGGTCCGCCTTGGGTGGCAGTCTGTTGCCCGCAGCCGGGCCCGCGGTGCTAGCGCGAGGAGGACCGCTGCTGTCGCCGCCCAACAAGTCGCCCGTAGGCTGCGACGGGCCTCTGAGAGAAACGCCCTGCCCAGCTGATGGCTTCCGCACGGACTGGCTCTTCTCAATGGCCTGCTTCTCCTTGACGACGCTCAACGGCACGTCGTCATCGCCATCGGCATCGAGGGTGGAGGGGTCTGGTGGCGGCCCTTCCATGGCCCATCGCTTCAGCTCGTACTTTGTGCGGATAAAGTTCTCAATCTTGGACTCGGAGGGGACGTGGCCCGGGGCGAGCTTGGCCTCCCAGTACTTGTTGGCGCGCGCGTTGCCCCAGCTGAGGATGCTCTTCATCTGCTCGTCGGTCCACGAGTCGAGGTCGACGGATTTGACGCGCGAGATGTGTGTACCCATGCCGCGGTGGATGCCGGAGCAGCGGATGCAGACAAATACGCCGAGGTTCCAGCTGGCCCATCGCGGGTCTGTTGTTGGTTAACACACGATGCGGTCAGGTATACAGGGGGCACGCACGCTTGTTCTTCTTGCAGTCGGCGCAGACCTTGTTGGGCTCAAGCTTGAGCAGGCTCTTGATGGTGGCCTGGTTCTGCGCTGCGCGCTCGGCGGAGGGGTTGGGCGGTCGTCGAGACATGTTGACGTTGGCGCTCGCGTCGAGTTGGATGGATGCGGTTGAGGGGGTGGACGACTGGAGGTTGTTGAACTTGAAGATGCTGGCTGCCGCCCCTGTCAGGCCCCGGCACCGGTCGCGTGGGGTCGAGCCTGGTGGGTGGTCCGTGCGGGATCTGGCTGGCAGTGGCAGTGACAGTTGGCTGCTGGCTGCTGGCACAAAACATCGCTCTTGTTGATGCCCAAGTTGATTATGAGCACATGACATGAATTTGAGATGGAATTCTAAACACTTGGTGGAATTCACCTTCTTGAAGATTCTGGTCTAGGTGAAAACGACTTGTCTATGATTTAGGGCAATGATTACGTGTAGACATGAGAAAAGGTGCGCTATGCATTGGAACTTCCAATTGAGCGCGTTATCATACATATAACAACGCTTGAAATACTATTGTAAATTGCAAATTATTCTTCTTGTCCTCCTGTCGCATTTGGGATACTTGTTCGAGCTAGCAGACTGTGACGCCTATGGTGCTCCACCTCCCGGGTGGGCTGAATGGAATCGAATCAATGATGCAACATCCACATTAACGATCGCCACCACGAGAACTGCGTGTCATCCAAACAGCCTTGTGATTTGTCATTGTTTGTCTTCTTTTGTGCCTCAGACGTATCACACAGTTTTATATGACAGCCCGGTGATGCGCCCATCATTGTTCACCTCCATCATCTACGCGACAGCGAACACCACGAGACTCACCACCGCCAGAACAGGCATCATTAGATTTGCACCAGCAGCAGCAGCAGCATCGGTTCCGCGCCACATGTCCTTCCTCAGCAACCTCTTCTCCTCCTCCTCCAACAGCGCTTCCAACATGTCGTATCCCGACTCGCGCACTGCCGACGAATGGCGCGCTGTCCTCAATAAGGAGCAGTTCCGCATTCTGCGCGAGAAAGGCACCGAGGCCCCCGGCTCAGGGACCTACGACAAGCACTACCCATCCGACGGCGTCTACACCTGCGCGGGCTGCGCAACGCCCCTCTACAAGGCCAACCACAAGTTTAAGTCGGGCTGCGGCTGGCCCGCGTACTTTGACAGCATCCCCGGGGCCGTGACCCGGCATGAGGATCGGGCGTTTGGCATGACGAGGACGGAGATTGTCTGCAGCAACTGCGGTGGCCATCTGGGTCACGTCTTCAAGGGAGAGGGGTTCCCCACCCCGACGGACGAGAGACACTGCGTCAACAGCGTCAGCCTAAACTTTACCCCCGAGGACAAGAAGGCTTGAGCGATCTGGCTTGTCATTGTGAATTTGCGTGCGATGAGCGGGGAGTTGGTGGTTGGAGACGTTGCAGTATGTACATAGCTGGGGCTTGAACTGGTCGAGTCGCATCAATATGTGAAAAATTGCCGATACATTGATTGATACATTGACCATGATAGTTCCCCTGGAACTCCCACGGAGACTATCGACGGCGCGTACACGTCCATAGGCATTTATTGTCAAGACACAATAACAAGCTGGTCCAGGCGGGCTCACACCGTGCACCAAGACCTGCCCATCGCAGACACTGCAGATGAGCACTCGCGAGACGGATAACGAGCCTCTCAGCTAACGCACAGCACAGCGATGCAAGCTGCAGAGGCAGTGACATCGTTCTCAAGGTTATTGGAAAGGCCTCAGATGTTCCTCAGTTCGTCTTGATGGGCCAAGTTGCCTATTTGCGAGGCCACAGCCTCAGAGGAGACTGGCGCGCAGGACATGTTTGGCAGCACAACTGGTCAGCAACGAGAGGACGACATGAGCGTCGAACGGAAATGGTTCTGCCAGAAAACTACCAAAAAAATCCGGGGAAGACCTGGAGTCTGGAGAAGAAGATGGAAACATCGACCCCAGAGGCCAGAGTCCAGACACGCAAATTGCATGTGAAAGCCGCCACGTACCGTAACCGGCCACGGGCGGCGCCAAGTCCGACTGGCCCCACTTGTCGCGACGAGCCTCGGTCGGTCGGTGGCTGATGTCACGGCGGGTATTGCTCCTCCAGAACCATCACATGGATCCGCGGCTGGCAGCACATCTTTGCCATCCGTATAAGCAGCTCCTCCATTTATAACTCTATCATCCTCGCTGTCTTACATCCTCTACCATCTCAACACAAACCACAAAACATTGACAAAATGGGTGGTATGTATCCCCAGAGGACCTAGAGGGCCCTAGACGCGCGCGCGCACTGCCTGCGCAATGTACAAGAACACACGCGCTGACACAGTGTAGCTCTCGACAGAATCTCACAGATTGGAGGCCAGGTGTCTGGCAACCCCACCGCCGGCGGCGTCTCCAAGATCCTCGAAAAGCGTCCCGACGATGTCGTCGTCACCGCCTGCTGCCGCTCCGCCTTCACCAAGGGCGGCAAGGGTGGCTTCAAGGACACGCCTGCCCAGGACATCATGGCCGGTGTCCTGCGCGCCATCATCGACCGCTCCAAGATCAACCCCGCCCTCGTTGAGGACATTTGCGTCGGCACCGTCCTCGCCCCCGGCGGTGGCGCCACCGAGATGAGGGCCGCCAGTCTGGTCGCTGGCTTCCCCGAGTCGGCCGCCGTCCGGACCCTCAACAGGCAATGCTCGAGCGGTCTGCAGGCCTGCATCGATGTCGCGCACCAGATCAAGTCGGGCATGATCGATGTCGGCATCGGCGCAGGTGTCGAGAGCATGAGCACGCAGTACGGGTAGGTTCACAGTCTTTCGCACGCGTGGCTATGGGCGACTGCTAACAGGCACTAGACCTAATGCCGTGACCGAATTCTCCGAGCTCCTCGAGTCGCACCCCGAGGCCGCCAACTGCAAGGTCCCCATGGGCGTTCTCTCCGAGAACATGGCCAAGGATCTCAGCATCGGCCGCGACGCACAGGACAAGTTTGCCGCCGGCTCGTACCAAAAGGCAGCCAAGGCCCAGCAGGAGGGTCTTTTCAAGGACGAGATTGTGCCCCTCAAGGCCAAGTTTGAGGACCCCAAGACGGGTGAGACCAGGGAGATTGTCGTCGACAAGGACGACGGTATCCGCCCCGGCGTGACTGCTGAGTCGCTGGGCAAGATCCGCCCTGCGTTCGCCAAGGACGGCAGCATCCACGGTGGAAACGCCTCCCAGATCTCCGATGGCGCCGCCGCCGTCCTGCTCATGCGTCGCGACGTCGCCGAGAAGCTCGGCCAGACCATCCTGGGCAAGTACGTCGCCGGCTCCGTCGTCGGCGTGAAGCCCCTCCTCATGGGCCAGGGTCCCTGGAAGGCCATCCCCCGCGCCCTCGAGCTGTCGGGCATCTCCAAGGACGACGTCGACATCTATGAGATTAACGAGGCCTTTGCCTCGCAGTGCCTGTGGTGCGCGAACGAGCTGGGTATTCCCCAGGAGAAGATCAACCCCAAGGGCGGCGCCATCGCCTTTGGCCACCCCCTGGGCTGCACTGGCGCGCGACAGGTGTCGACCCTGCTGTACGAGCTGAAGAGGACGGGCAAGAAGGTTGGCAACACGAGCATGTGCGTCGGCACGGGTATGGGCATGAGTGCCACCTGGGTGGCCGAATAGAAGACATCCACAGCTATATGTACAACTGAACGAAATGAAAACATTGCATTATCAAAAGGGTTAGGCAAGTATTAGCCAAGATCTGACACAGAAGAAGGAGAAGGAAGAGAAACAATGACCGATCTCGCCGCTGGAGTGACCAACGGTCGCCCTGGGCTTGATACCCCAGTGAGCCATCAGGTCAACTAGAGAAATGAGCGGCCGCTACACAATACAGAACGATGATACAACCGCATTGCTGTGCTGGTCAAGCGCCTTTCTGTCCATCATTCCATAGCAGTAAGCCTCCCCAATGTACTGAAAACACTGTCGTCCTTCTGTTCCCCCATCGTAATGTCTCAAGATCACAGGCACTGATAATTCTCTCAAGATCGCAACTACATCTCCTGGCTTGCTGTCCAGTGTTCCTAATCCAACATAACCCTTGGGCGTCACAAAGCACTTTCTCCCCTGCTGGATGTCCATGGCTTTCCCCAGACGCCCGGAGACAACTGCAGCCTCGTCTCTCACCTCCGCCGCGAGGTTACGCCCGTCCTCTTCTTCAGCATTTCTTTCTGTCCCCATCACCGGACCAAACTTGTCCCAGTGCTGGTTGAACTTTTCGCAAAACTCGTAGGCGTCCCAGCCCGCGCCCAGGCCAAGCCAGTACGCTATGGCCTGGAAAAGACCTGTACGCTTCTTCATCTCGAGCCATTGCTCCTCCAGTGGCCGCAGGACCTCCGCCCGGCGGCCTTGCCAGCCCAATAGCTCGTGCTTTTTGGTGTGCCGCTCAAGGTAATGGCGCCAGATCTGGTAGGCGGCATCAAGAAGCCGCACGCCCTGTATTTCAGGCCCGAGCAGTTCGTCTTGGCTCGCCTGGGGACTGCTCGCCAGACCACGACCGCCCGATGCTATCAGCCACGGTGCATCTCCAAGACATGGCGGGGATTCGTCGGGATCCTCTGCCTGCCTCTTTCTTGCCAGTCGGCAGAAATACTCAACCTCTGAAAGGAAGTAATGGTGCGAAACTTCAGTAGGCTTGTGGTGTGGGGACACTGGGGTCTCATAGACATGCTCGCCTACTTTACTGATGGTATCGATGAGCGTTCCGGTAATGACCAGCGAAGAGTCAACGACGTAAGACTCGGTTGATCCCTCCCAGATTGGGCTCCCTCTTGCGTAGCCGGCAGTGAAGAGTGGTTTGCTGGACTGGCCGTATCCAAAGGGGCAGAGAAGTTGAGAAGTCCAGTCGGGAACCCACGAGGGAAGGTCCTTGAACTGTTTCGAGTGATTTTGAGAGAATAGCAGAACATCGGGGTAGTCCCTCGCAATTGCCTCCGCAAGTTGTGTGAAGATATTTTGCACCGACTTTTCATAGCTGACCTCGACACGCTCCATAATCGTGTCATTCTCATCTGGCAGCGCGAGCAAGGAGTATAGACAGTCACGCGGATTACCCGCGCGGAACTTTTGCAAGTCTTGTTCCTCGGTTAGTGGAGTGCCTGTGTCGGCCACGTTAAACTTGGTCAACAGGTGGAACATGGGCATACGTGTCTGGCCCTGTCCATGGATGGTTCTTCGCGTACTGAAGACTCGATTCACGAAGCGGCAAAGTCCAATGGCGGAGATAATGTCATCGACCTTTGGAAAATCTTTACCCACGTCCTCGGCCGTCAGATTGCCGGCTCGGTAGGCTAGGAACATGGTGAAGAGTAGTAACACTCGCTCGAATTGGTCAACATGCCACGCATTGTGGCCGCACACGAAATGCAGGGTACCTGACAAACATGCTTCTTGGACGATCCACATCCGACCAAATAACTGGCGCGAGCAGATATCCATGAAGCCTCTGAGGGCCATGTCATCCTGCATCGCCATGACAGCCTCTCTCAACACGTCACGGTCTTGGATCAGATTACTGGGGACAGGCTTGGACTCTGGGTTCGGTGCGGCGACTGAAAGGCGGAGGGCATCGAGAGTCGGGTAGTCGTGATCGCATAGGCGCAAATAGGCAGGTTTGGCGTCTTCTTCGAGGTGCATCATGAATGAAACGAGTCGGTCTGCTTCCAAAGTGGACGGCCCTAGCCATGCCAGCACTTGCTTTGCTTTGGAGTAGATCTCGCCCATGTGTCTGACCAAATGCCCCTTTTCAGCGTTGTTGGCCTGGTTGATGCATAACTGGTCAACGAACAATGGCTTGTCCGTATGTGTCCTCAGCTGGAGCAGTATTCCCTCCAACACGGCACTGATGAGAAGGACGCCCACAACCTTAGCGCCCTCCCTCACGAGAATCGGGCGGTCGAGTGTCGAGCGTTTGCCACGTTCCTCAGGCGACAGAGCGCGCTCGTGACCAGTCCAGCAGTAGGACAGAGCTTCATAGACGATGGGGTTTTGGAAGGGGCTTTCGACAAACTCGCCCTCAAGAGTCGCGTTGTTAGCTGCACCTGCGGCTTGACCTAGAGGAGAGCCATCATAAGATGAAGCGGCTCTTGTTAGCAGCTTGAATAGTCGGAAGAACCCAGGTTGCAGGGTAACGTAGGAGTATTTTGGCGCGTCCAAGTCCTGCATTATATGTTGCACTTTGGAAGTGGTGTGTAGTTTCCGTTGCATTCGACAAGCGCACAGCAATAGTACAAATGATGAACAGAAAGCGGGGCAGAGGCACGACGCCACGAAATGATGGTCGAGACTCAAGAGCCTGGCTCGGGGCCACGAGTCTGCCGCGGCTACGGTAGCCAATTGCCGCTTCCGCCTGTGCGGTTCCGACTGGCTGGGAACGGCCGCGACTGGCCCGTGCTTCATACAACCAGGCTGCGCCGCGGGAGCATCAAAGTTGGAGGCTGACCCTCGCTCGATTCAAGATCGTGACCAGGCTGACCGACTCCCGGGAAAGGGGAACCGACGAGATGGTCCACCTTTAGCCATGGCAAGGGACCAATCACCGGTCGTCGTCGCCCTGCCAGAGGCAGATTGACGATCCTGTCCTGACTACGGGGTGGAGTTGCACATGAGAAAAACGTGGGGAGAGTTAGACCAGCAAAGACCCCTCCGTGCCTTACAGAGCCCAACGAGTAAGGAGTGTGGGGTACGGATACTGTCGTGCTTTATTTACCTGACTCGCGGAAAAGGTCAATGTATCTGTTTGTTGGGGGGGCTCGCTTATTGTAGAGCCCTCCAGCCATGGGGAACGTATCCGATGTGCATGTCACGTTCTGTCACACTTGTGGAGTCAACCCTACGGGTAGCAGTAAATCTATAATAAGTACACGTAGAAGTGCAATCCAAGTATACCTCTCGAAGGTTTCTCTCTCTCCCCCTCCCTCTCTTTCTCGCCAGGTCACGCAAAGCGATATCAAGTGAGGCCAAAGAAATCATCAGAATGGTGGCCGTCGAACACATTCAGCAGGCCTTAGCCGCCTCCCTCATTGTAAGCACCAACTCCTAGGGCCGCAGTTCGCGGTGTAGAGTACTGAGTAATTATCATCGCCTACAATCGCGCTGACCTCCATCTCTCCAGTACTTTTACCCTGTCGCGCACTTCGCACGCACCTTTGGCCCGCTTATCGAAAAAGGTGTCAATACTTTCGAGCACCAGAGCCTTACCTCCAGCAGTGACTTACAGGTTGTGACGAGAGCCAACATCGACACTGTCTACTCCCGGGCCGTGATCGACCTCTCCGAGAATGATGTCCTCATGACCATACCCGAGATCCCGGACGTCAGGACCCACATCTTCCCGTTCCACGACTTGTAAGTCAGCGGCGATCCTCAACCCTATTTCCCCCCCTGATATTGGCTGCAAATGTAGACTACCGACTGACTGTACCGTTACAGCTACGGCAATAGCTTTGCCATCTTGGGCAGCTTCAACAACGCGAGCGAGGGCTCGTGGCGCCTGACCCTCGGGGAGCCCGGCCAAAGCGCCATCGAGATATCCGACCATGGTGATTCCTGCGACCCAGACGCGGTCACAGGCACAGTCTACTTCCCAACGACGTACGGATCCATTTTCCCGCGCCTGCTCCTCCTCAACGAGCCCGACGACCAGCGCGCCATTGCCGACATCCAGAAGAAGCTGACCCTGCAACAGATCCCGCGCAGGAAGAAGGACCGGCATGGCAAGGGTGCTTCTCGAATCGGCAAAGGCGCCCCCCGCTTGACCACGGACCTCATCAACGTCTCTGGCCTGTCGCCCGGAAGCTACCTCTCACCCGCAGCGTACGACAGGGCCAACATAACCATGCTCCTGGATGTTGCGCATCGTCTCATCAAGTACAACCTCCCCGTGAGCCAAGAGATCGTCAACGACCAAGTCCTCCGGAATCTCTCCATCGCGGGCGCAAAAGGTAAAAAACCCTACTCCATTCCCTGCAACGTCAACCTCGACACCGTCCGCGCCCTGGTCCAGGCCCGTCTCGACGCCGCACTCGCCGATCCTGGCAACTATGGCGCCCCCAGTGACGACTCGCGCGCCGACTGGCGATGGTTTGAGCGTCTCGGTGACTTCGGCCTAGGCTTTGACTGGCGCGCGCAGATCACGTCCCAGGGCTATCTGGGTATCACCACGGAACAGTATCTCGCCCTGATCTACACGGGTGGCAAATCCCCCATCGGCGCCATGTCCCTGGTTGAAGGGGAGGCTTTCGTCTGGACGTTCAATGGACGTCCTCCGCTAGAGAAGCCTGGCGGCTTCTGGAGTCTCACGGTCTACAACGCGGAGGGTTTCCTCGTATCAAACCAGTACAACAGGTTCGGTCTGGGTGACCGAAGCAACCTGACATACGCAAACGGAGAAGAGGTCTATCCTAGCGGAGCTAGGGAGATGCCTGCGCAGGCCCAGAATGAGAATGGGGATGGATCTTTTCAGATCCTGCTGCAGAGTGTTGACAACCCCCCGCCCGCGAACTGGACGAGCAACTGGATTCCGACGCCTGCAGAGAGCAATGCAACTTTCTTTATCAACAGTGCGTAATCCCTTCCTCCGCAATGGCTCGATTATGATCCTCAGAAACACTGACAATTCCCATAGTCCGCTTATACGGCCCGACCGAGGAGTTGATTGACGGGCCGTACGATTTCCCCGTGCGCACCAAGGTCGACGCCATCTCGCAGTAGTATGCTCGTCACACAAAATGGTGATACTATTGCTGTACTATTCTGTTCCGGAGACTAGAAGCTGGGGCCCAATCAAGCTCACTGCCAACAGGACTCCAGGAGGCATGTAACCTCAGTATAGCAGTAACGGGACAGTATAGAACTGCGAGTTGAGGAGTATCTGCTTTATGTAAAGTCCTTGGAAGAACACCCATCAGTTCTACAAAACTCGAACGGTAATTCCAATTCTGTTCTATGCAGCTTTTGGAAGATTTGTAACAAATGCAGAAATGTTGAAGTGAGTGAGGCAGTGTATGCCATGAAGAGGAATAGGGCCTGACGGATCAACAGTGCAATGTAGCTTACTTACGCAGGAAGCTGCGAAAAGACGCAGATGACGTGGATTAGCGACGTAATGTGGCCGAAGAGACCCAAATTCTCGGCGAGAATGTGGAGGCCTCGCCTCTAGAGCAATGACAAGCATTCCTGCTGCAGGATATAAGCCCGTCCCAATGATCTGATGATCCTCGATCCAAGGATTCTTGGAGATGCAGAGGTGGTTTCTCCAATGCGGCCCAAAGTCATTCTACGTATCGGCGGTCACGCCCAGGAGTTTTTTTGTTCGCGGGAACGCTGGGAATCGGTTCGATTGTATGGCGTAGGGCCCGTGCCAGAATGTCCTCATGTGATTCCAACGATACGATGGGAGGTCCATTAATGACTTGGGAGGCAACAAGTATGGATTGCGGTCGGTGCCATTCACCAGGGCGAGGTCGATGGGATGTCCAATACCCCATAGCTTAGCGGTCACGTTGAAGCCGGTCTCTACTGTGTCCCCACCGCGGAGGACCTTTGCGATGTAGGCCGCTTCTCTGGCGGTCTCATTCTTGACGGCGGTAAAATTTTGCTGCACAGGGCGCTTAAGGGCAGAGTGTGCCCCGACACCGATAATACCATCCCAATCAATCCACGTCTTCTTGTACTTGGATCCCTTGTATTGACAGGAAGGAGTGTGCGCCAACAGCCTCGTCACCGTGGCAGAGAACTCGACAGTGACACGTGTTGGGCACCCAGTACTCATGGCTAAGTTGTTCGCCTTTGATCAGACCTCCGGTGAGCGATGAATACATGACGTTCTCTTTGTCCTTGTTTGTGGTCTCACTCTTGGCAACATGCGAGATCTTTCCATTTTACTCAAGGTAGCCGCCCGAGACACTCCGCATATGCGGCGAGTGGAACGCTGTGCTGACCTTGAGCTTGCGGGCAACTTTGCCGTCTGCCGTAATCATTTTCTCGCGGGCTTCAATGGCCCCCACGTCACCATATAGTGTCACGCTTGGGGGACTGTCCACGCAGGCGACGACGGCTGATTCGGGAGTAACAACTTGGCAAGACATCCCTCGGCAACATCGCGTGAGATACCGGTCGCCATCATGACGCCTTTCATAGTAACAGAAGCAGAGCCAAAACCTCGCGCGTACGCAATCTTGATGGCATCGGCACTAGCAAAATGTCCAGCGGTATATGTAGCGGCTAGCCTTTGTGCTGACAGTTTTTTCGTCGCCCAATTTGACAAGTAGGCTGGCCATTGCTAGATCCATCACGGGCAAGCCGACACTGTTGTATATCACTGTGCCTGTACCGAGCCATCTCGCCAACGCACTCTCTCGTTCGTCATGCTTTGACTTTTTACGGTGAGATAGACTGAGCAGGCTTTTCTTAGACGAGGACGATGTGGCCTGGATGTTGACCGACGTGAGCGAGGTTTCGTCCGTGCTTTGACTCGGCGTTGATTCGGCGTCCGACACTGCCATGCGCTGAAGCATGACGAGCTCGCCGGGTCTGTTGGTTTAGATGGGTAGTTTTATACAAGCAATGGGGGCTTACTCGACTAGCTGGCTTGGCTTGACATTGCCGTGGACAATTTCGCCAGCATGCTTGATACCTCCCTCCAAAGAATCGACAATCACCACATCACCTTCATTCGCGTGCTTATGAAAATGCCTGCGCGGATTTTCATGGAACTTGACGGCCTGAGCGACGAGCTCGGCCGGGATCTCCCTCTGGTGCGGGTTCGTGCCACCCACAGCGATGACAAACCGCCCCGTTCTCCGTCCTGCGCGGCTCGTGGGAATTTCGCCGGGGAAGAGAGGCTTGTGGGACGGGGTGCAGAGTTAGATGACGTCGGCCTCGAGGACTTGCTCAGTGAGGAGGCGGTGGTAATCGTGGAACGCGGGCGTCAAGATGCCAAACTCGGCATTCTCCCACCCTTCCTCCTGCTTAATGGCACGGGGAATGGTCGAGAAGTTCCGCAGAAAGTGGGCCGCCGTGTCGGAGAACCGATGGTTCACCACGTGAACCTTTTTGATCGCGTGGCCGTGGACCTTGAGGGCGAGTCGGATGTGGTAGTACGCTTGCTGGCCGGCGCCAAAGACGACGAGGGTGTGGATGGGGCGACTGTGCTTAGAGAGCAGGCAGACAGAGCAGAGCGCTGTGATGAAGGGCGTAAGGGGGTATGTTGACAGGATGACGTCCAACTCGCCCTGGGGGCTGTATAGTGAAAGACTGCCGTGTTGGCGTGTGCTGACTGATGAGGAGCATGTCAGCGGGGAGGAGCCTCAAAATCGGAGGACATGGTCTCAACTACATTAGCACGCTGTGCCCTCGGGACCACATGCAGTATTTAACGCACTGGGCCACACGGACTGCCCATGGCGTATCATGGCGGTTTTGGGTTGCTGGTATGTTCCGTTCCCCCCTGCTCGAGGGTTGACTGAGAAGTCATGCAGAGCGGCGCTGACGGCCATGCGAAGCTCACGGATCTCTAGTGGCGTCAAGCTCTCGATGAGAGATGTTGTATCGTCTTTTCCCAGTATAGTCAGCGGTATTCTGGCATTGATTGAAACTGCTCAGATTTTAATAAGAATGACTGAACGTTTGGGCTGTATGACCGGGACGCCGGAGGTGAAAATTCATGTAGTTAACTAACTTATAGTCGTGTGATATGCGTACCCTACAGCATTAACCCGAACGTGGCAAATTGCATCGTCATGACTGCCAGGGACTGAGCAAGCTCCCGCAGTGAACATTGAGAAACATCTCTGATCGTGGGAATGACAAGCCTCGATTATGTAAGGCCATTGCAAGGAGCGCAGGGTAGTTGCGCCGTTGTAACAAGATTGAGTTAATGATGCGTGTTAATTCCCGCCGTTGGACCACTCCAGTGCGAGGGAGAACAAGTCATGAATATTTTCCCTGTCCCTGATCCTCCTGGAATAAATCAAAGACATCTTGTCAAAGCCTAACATCCATGAAAGCCTTTCCTTATGCGAATCGATCTAAGAAAGGGCCTTTTATTCGCCGAGTTGTCTATTGTTTACAGTGGTCGCCTCCCGCGTGGGTACGTATCCCGAAACGGGAGAGCTGGTTAACGCCGTTACCCGCGCGTAAATTGCTGCACAACCGCGACCTCGTGCTTGACGCGTCTTGTCTGTTGAAGCCTGAGCACCCAAACCTCAATTGTCTTGCAACCCAATGTTCAGAGGCGCCACGATGATACACCACCAAGTGGCCGAACTTGCATGTTGCTAGCTGATTCACAGTTTCAGTTCCAACCTTGCTGTCTGCCCAGGCCTCACAAAAGCCTTCACGGCCACCGTGCGCCCGGCCATATAAGCCTGGCTGGCCGGTTCACGCTGGCCCACGCTGCAGGCGGCCCCTTTGTTGACCAATATGCTCAGCACTGCCTGAGGATTCGTCATGGGCGATATGCGAGGCATGAAGCGCGCGCGCGGGGATGAGGACACTTCACGTTCTCACTCGAGGGCTGCAGAGGCCCCAGGCACACGCTTAAAGAAGCCCAAGCGCTCCAACTCTGAGTATCCGCCGTCGTTCTGGGATAATCTCTCCACGATTCCATTGACTCGTGGTGCTTTGCGAGAACTTGACCGAAGAAACAGGACAAACGCTGCCTCTTGGTCCCCACGTCCAGCACAACCACAGCAGGTACCACAAGCCTGTCGCGATATCAAAGAATTTGCGAGACGAGGGGGTCCGAGCTTACTCGACATCAGAGGTGTAAGTGTGCTTCCGTGCCCATGTGCATCAGGGGGCTCATCATGATTCCTACGCAGTACGCCCCGCCAGATCTTCTTGAACCTATCGCAAGCATGGCCCCCTTATCGACAAGAAGCCAAACTCGGTCAACAAGAAGCCAAACTCGGTCAACAAGAAGCCGAAGCCGGTCATCAAGAAGCCAGAGTCGGTCGACAAGAAGCCAAAGCCGGAAGATCCAGTCTTCGTCCAAGAACAGCAATGTCCAGTCTACGTCCAAAACCAGTAGCCGTTCTGGACCATACAGGCCGGAATTTGAGCAGCACCTCGTCGATTATGGGGTGTACATGGCCAGCGAGGACCCTGAACCTGCCAATTTAGAGGCAATCCGCGACGAGCTGCGACGTGGAAGGTCATCACTGTCACCCGGTCAGTTCACGAATGATGCTTTCAAAACCTTTAAGAACACGCAAAGGGCCGCGAAGGATGAAGCGACTATCATGAACACCACCATTGGATTGATTTGTGGAAATGATGTAAACGTGTCAAACGCTAGGGACATCCTCTTCACTCACCTCGAGCCTCTCACGACGGGGGACATTGTCAAACCAAAGCCCGACTTTTTCGATGGCGCCCACCAACACGAGCTGAGCGAAGCGCTGCGCGCAGATACGTCGCTAGCAAAAAAGATCGTTCCTACCAAGCACGCACATATTCCTGTTGTGCCGAATCTGTTTCTAGAAGTCAAAGGGCCTGGAGGTAGCTTCATTGTGGCAGAACGACAGGCTTGCTACGACGGCGCACACGGAGCGCGTGCCATGCACGCTCTGCAAAACCATGGCTCGAAAGATCAAACATACGATGGCAATGCCTACGCGTTCAGCGCTACGTATATTGGTGGTACGCTCACTCTCTATGCGCATCATGTCGCAGCGCCTGTTTCGGCGACATCTGCTCATCCGCAATACTACATGACGGAAATAGATGCATATGCCATCTCAGGTAACAGGGGCAGATTTGTCGAAGGCGCGGCTGCTTTTAGGAATTTGCGGCTGCTGGCCAAAAGATATCGCGAGACCTTTATACGCAATGCGAATGCGAATGCGCAGAGTCTGGCATCAGGGTCGCCGCATGACATCCTGACGTCCACCGAGAGCCAACAGGGGCTCATTGAGTGAATACAGCGCATGGCAAATTGGAGCTTCAGCTCAGTGAAAAATAAGGGTTACAGTTCTACAAGAGGAAGACTTGCTGAACGAAAAAGGTTGAGCATCAGGCGGTTTGTGCGAGCCCACAGCGGCATCGTTGACCAACAGCATCGCCTCAGTCTGGGGCGAAAGCCGAGGCGTCGGTTCCGGGTCAATGCACCCCGACAATGTATGCGGTCTCCGTTGCAACACGTCTTCCGGTCTCGCAGGCTACCAGACGATATGTAATGAGGGGTTGAATGCTCATTTGCGTCGAATGTGGCATTTCCATCCTCTCCTCCCCAACTTGGTGCTTTTCCAGATCCTCATCCTCATCACGCGCGCCGCAGGTCCCGTCCAGTCGTCAAGATGGCCACTCCTCCCGACGGCGTCTTCGTCCCCGTCCCCACCTTCTTCAAGACCGCACCCGACGCTGGCCAGCTCCAGCCCGCCGTCGATGTAGCCACGCAGGCCGCGCACTCGGTGCACCTCGCCAAGTCGGGCATCACCGGGCTCGTCCTCCTCGGCTCGACCGGCGAGGCCGTGCACATGTCGGGCGAGGAGCGCAAGTCTCTCATCTCAGGCGTCCGCAGGGGCCTCGATGACGCGGGCTTCCCGGACTACCCCATCATGGCCGGCGTGCTGGTCAACTCGGTCGACGAGACCCTCGAGTGGCTGCACCAGAGCAAGGACGCCGGCGCGCAGTGGGGTCTCGTCCTCGCCCCGGGGTACTTTGGCGCGGCGGCCAGCCAGGATAACCTGGTCGAGTGGTTCACCCTCGTGGCGGACAAGTCGCCCCTGCCCATTCTCATCTACAACTACCCCGGCGTGACGAACAATCTGGTCGTCAGCATCAAAACGTACGAGACCCTGGCGGCGCATCCCAACATTGTGGGCTGCAAGATGTCGCACGGCAACGTCAGCCACCACGTGCAGGTGTCGCTGCACCCCAAGATTGATCACACCAAGTTCCGCGTGTACAGTGGCTTTGGACAGCAGCTGGGCCCCATTGTCTTGTTTAATGCTGGCGGTGTGATTGACGGGTTGGCGGCCATCTTCCCAAAGACAATCTCGAGGCTGTTCAGCCTGGCGTCGAAACGACCCGTGGACGAGTCCACCCTGGAGGAGGTGCGGCGTTTGCAGTGGAAGGTGTCTGCGTGCGAGGAGTACATCGTCTCGAACGGTATCCTGGGCATTAGGGAGGGTATCTACAAGGTCCTCGGATTCGGCCACCTCGAGGGCGGCCGCTTGCCCCTGAAAGGAAAGATGGCTGCTGGGGTGTACGAGCAGTGGAGCGACATTTTTGGGCAGATGACTGAAGAGGAGAAGAAGTTATAGGTGCCTCAATGATACAACAATGATTGACGCAGGAATAGTTACAGATGTCACCGACCACGTCCTACCCGGGTGAACTGTCGAAGAGCTCAAGCCCAGCTGGGCTGAGTATGAAGCTTGCCGAGGTTGGGTCAACATCCAAGTTTAATCATGGTTGTGGGACTCATGAAAGAGCATGGGTTGTTTGTCGTAGCACATGTTATCTCACGTGATGGGGATAGCTCAGGTCATCAGTGGTGGCACACGATCCAAATTTGAGCACACAGACGAGCCTCCATCATCAAAGGCGTCGTCAATTCGTGGTTCGGATCCAACGTCCAGTCAGTCGATATCTGCGTCATTCAACCCCCTGCCCTCACCGCGACAGGGCGAACCCTGGTGTTTGGCGATGCAGCCAAAGATGTTTGTCGCGACACCCACCACGTGCGTCCCGGCTTTCGCTGCTGATCCTGCAAAATAAGATTGCGAACACGACCTCGCCATCCACCGTCTCGGCCTGTACAGAATGTAGCGCAAGCACGTTGTCCTTCCACTGGATACTTTTCCTCGCCAGATAAAACCCATGGATTCGGAGACTGTCCCTATCCTTGCAAACCTCTTGCATTCCCGACCTGCGACAGATCGGCGTGATGATGATAAAGGCTCGCGACACCCATCAAGGGCGTCATCCTCTTGTCAGAGGTCCTTTATTCTCGTGTTCTTCATCTTCTGTTTGGTTTACGTTGAGTTTGACGGCGCAATGCGTCAACATATCCTCCCCATCGCCTGCTTGACTGGCTTGTCCCACGCTCTGACGAAATGGCGGAATGACACAACTGATTTTGGCCAACTCAAGTTCTCTGACGACGGGACATTTCAGCTCTCCATCTTTGAGGATTTGCATTTTGGCGAGAGTATGTGCGCCGGTGCTAACTTAGATCTTGTGTCTGCTGACCATTAGATTATTGGGATTCCTGGGGTCCCCAACAGGACATCAACAGCGTCAAGGTGCTGCAGAAGGTCCTTGACTCCGACCCTCCTGACCTCGTGGTATTGAACGGCGATCTGATCACCGGCGAGAATGCATTCCTTGACAATGCCACGCATGTGATGGACATGATTGCTGCCCCCCTGGTCGAGCGTGGGCTGAGCTGGGCGTCGACCTATGGCAACCATGACTACCAGCCCAACCTGTCGGGCCAGGCACTCCTCGAGAGGGAGCATACGTGGCCAAATGCTCGCACTCGCAGCATGGTTGCCGGCCGCAACGCCGGCGTCACCAACTACTATCTGCCGGTGTATCCCAACGACTGCACCGACTGCAGCAAATGCGCCCCTGAGCTGCTGCTCTGGTTCTTCGACAGTCGGGGCGGCTTCTACTTTCAAGAATGGAACGAGGATGGCTCGCAGATCGAGCAGCCCAACTGGGTTGACATAAGCGTTGTCGAGTGGTTCCAGCAGACAAACGCCAAGCTTGTGAACAAGTACCAGAAGATGATCCCGTCGCTTGCCTTTGTCCACATCCCGACAAACGCCTCCCGAGCTCTCCAGACAGAGTCCAAAGTCCATCCCAACTACCAGCCCGGCATCGATGATGATTACCCCTTGGCGCCTCAAGCCCAGGGCTGGTGCCCTGACGGCGTCCACGACGGGACCTGTAGCTATGGCGGCCAAGATACGCCTTTTATGCAGGCTATCACCACGACACCGGGTCTCATGGCGCTTTTCTCGGGACACGACCACGGTGCGACTTGGTGCTACAAGTGGGAGGGTCTCATCCCTGGTATGGTCGTTGCTGGCAACGGCATCAACATGTGCTTTGGCCAGCACTCTGGCTATGGGGGTTACGGCAGCTGGATCCGAGGCGCCCGACAGGTGCTTGTTACGCAAGAGAAGCTGGTGAATCTCGAGATTGACTCGTGGATCCGCCTGGAGAGCGGTGACATTGTGGGCGATGTCTCGCTGAATGCGACGTATAATGAGGATTGGTATCCTGCTACGCCAAACGACAAGACTTCGTGTCCTACGTGTAATTATACCATTATCACTCCCATGCCGGGAACGCGAAGGGCTAACTGAATATAGGCTGATCGCAACGAGCAGAGGCCTTGGCTTTGCGTCCGTCCGCGTACGACTGAGAACTCAGCTGGACAAGACTGAAGCAGTTGACCTGCCGAGGAAATAATTCGAGGCACCGAGAGACGATCAAACAAACACGCATTGATTTGGATTAGGTCTGCTTTCTTTGCTTTCACAAATGCCAAAACTAGGCGCCATGGGGTGGCTATACCATGGCAAGTGGGAACTATAGTTCTCACTTCTCAGTCACTCTTATATCACCGCGATCTAAAGGGCGTCTCCGTTTTGCGTTGCTTGGGCACAGTCACCGGATCATGCTGTAAAAGAACATCGTCATCCTCCTAATAATCCCCCCTCACCCTTCACCCTTCTGCCTTCTCCCTTCTCCTTCTGCCTCCTTCATAACAATAGCTCGCGAAACTGTTCACCATGTCGCTTCCTCAACTGCTCTCCATCGGCATCGCCCTCATACTTGGCAAGACAGACAATCTGCAAGATCTAGTCAACTTGGTGTGCGCATGCCGTAGCGCTTACGAAGCTTTCGAAACATACACCTTTGACGCTCTCATGGCGAGGCCCACGCTACTGGGGGAGCTACCTTTTGCCATCGCTTCACAGCACTTCACGTCCGCCGAATGTTGTTGCCGAGGAACGCAGCTGGCTTGACGTGCAAGCTTTGGTTGACGACATGGTTCGCAGTCCGGGGAAGATGTACGACTAACTGAACCGGATGCGGATTTCGGAACTGTTAAACATGCGCAAGACATCATACTTTATGCAAGAATTCGTGGGCGATATGGGCGATAAATCTTGGCACGAGCTGGAACTTGCAAAAGCTATGTACGCTCAAGACAGACTACCTCAGTCCGGGCAACAACGTGGTGAAGCAGCGATGGGTAAGTCAGTAGAATGTCACCAGAGCCAAGCTTACGTTACTGCGTCAAATTTCCCAAGGCCGTGCATGCGAGCGTGCGCGCGTCATGCTTTTGTCTGAAATGGACGCCTACAGCACCTCATCATGGCTCGCTTTGAGCGAACTCAGCAACTGCTACCAGACGCGTAACAATCTAATAACACCTCGTGATAGTCTGTATTTCGATTGTGAAATTGTCAGCGTCTACATCCACGTGCACGGACTCTGCTGGCTCGAGATCCATCGTGCGGCCAAACGTTTCTGGTGTTTGCTACCCAGATATAAACTCCGACTACATTATGCTGCAGCTTTCGACCCCCGAAAGGGAGCACTGCGCTGCCGAGGCTACGTCCTCTGGGATTCCAAACGAATGTAAAGTATATCCCGAGCCACGCTGGCCGCACAAGATCTTGACAGAGGTTAGGACTTAACAGACACGGACTTAAGGTCACTCGGTAATAGGATTGGGAGTCGATGTTGGGACATGAAACATTCACGCTTGACTCTAGTCTAGTAGACTCTAGAGTCTATCAGGTACCTCGCTGGTTGCTACAGTGCTACTAAAGTTAGACTGTTAGGAGGCTTGAAGTCGCACAACGGTGCCCCACATAAATAATCGTTGACCTTGACCACTGTTCGTCATTCTCACCAGCACGACAAACTCTTACCACCTCACTCTAGACACGTCGCCCGTCATGAAAATCAATCAGCTCCCTCTCGAGGTCGTCGCAAACATCCTGAGCAGCCTCGAGAGTCTCACGGAGCTCACAGAGGCCATTTTAGCCTGCCGGCACTTTTACGCGGCCTTCCTGGAAAACCCTCACATACCCGGCACCATCGTCTACTCGACCTTTGACAATGGCGAGGTCCTACCCCTCGCCGTCGCGGCGCTGCGGACGGGCAAGCTAGGCACGCGTTTTGTTCATAGCGACGAGGTGCTGCGGTTCGTCGATGACCTGCGCGTGCCTAGACACCTGGACCGGGAGCTTCGCTCGATGCGACTGCATGAGCTGTACGACTTGCACGATCTGACGGATGCCGTGACGGAGGCCGCCTTTGACTGGGCAAATCTTGCGTGGCACAACTACGAGGAGGACCACAACTGCGATTTTGGGCTGTCCCTGGCCGAGGCCGCTCGGTTCTGCCGCGTGCTGTATCGCACAGAGATTTTCCTCAGGGTCTTCCGGGTGGACGACGCCTTGGACGAGGACGCCAAAGGGCGTGTCGAGCTGGAGGGCCAGCTGTGGCTCTTGAAGAGCTTTTGCATGTTTGAGATTGAGCAGATTGCCTGTGCGCACGACTACATGGAATCGAGAATCGTTTTCGGTGTGTCGTCTACCTTATGGATGTGATGGGTGGGGCTTGTCGAACTAATTTTCGGTAGCATCTCGTTTCATCCTCGCCCACGACATTGAGGCTGGCGCCATGCACATTGACTACCTAACACTGGGAGAGAATCCTCTGCGACAAAAATGGGTGCGTTGTTGCGGCAAGGGGCTGGTCCAGACACTGTATACTGATAGAGGCAGATCACCCGTGGCTGCGTGTGGCTAGCGAAGCTTATACGCTTAAAGAAAGACGTGGCAGCAAGAAGGGACCTACTGGCGAAGAGTCTCGACGGAGAAGATGCACACCTTTATGGTGCCCTGTGGAGACTCAAGGAGCTTTATCGAGGCCCGAACAGCAAGTTGAAGCTGTGCCCCAAGCAACCTCGCCAAGTCATCGACAACGACCCGGGGCCTCCCAGCGCCTTTGACTACGCGCACGCAAACACCGATATTGACCTCACAGTGGACATTGGGCCCAACGGCGAGACACCCGACTATCCCATCCTCGTGACGTTTGCGCACGACGACTCGGGTCTCCGTGAGCAAGCGTACGTCATGTGGGATCTGAGCAGGATCAAGGACTGGGACCTGTTCCACGAGATGGAGATTGTGCCCAGCGCATCACGCGCGGCGCCCGAGCCCGGGTGGTACACGCAGATGAGGCGGTCCTGGGCGGCGAGGCGGAAGCTGTACGAGCAGGGCGAGAGGGGCACCTGGAGACTGGAAAGGCCGTGGAGTGACGTGTCCGCATTAGACGAGGCGGTTGCTTCTGAGGAGCTCTGGTATACCATGAGCGCCTTTGAGGGACGGCATTGACTCGGGGAGATGATGGCCTGAGGGGCGGGGGCTCGCACAAGATGGAGCGAGCAAACGCCTGTGAGCCCCAGACAATCGAGTATCCAAACGTCCTACCCACTGAAAATGCTTAATCGGCTGTCTCATAGTCTTGTCCGTCTGCTACGCAGGTCCGTCAACCCTGGTCGTGCGTGCATCATCGTCGTCATAACCTTCAGGGTCCAACCAGTGCTCATGTCGCGGAGACCACCTTCGAAACATACATGTCCTAACCAATGACCAGGAGATGCACGAGCTGACCTAATAATCCGTCTCGTCTATTTTTGAGGTCCTATCCATCACTCGGCCGTGATGGCACGGAACTGCCAGCGTCTGGCAGCGGCAGTGAAGGCCAGGCTTGGCAATATGGATTGGATCGACGCATGCACAATCCTTGTCTGGCCATGTAGCCGCGAGTGATCGCCCGGCCGGGTAGCGTATCCGGACGAAAAATAGGGTAGATCTATCCTTTCATTTTCTGTCAATCCTGGGGATCAAGCCCTTCCGGCAGAAGTTGGCTTGACGTGTGGCAAAAAGCTTGTTTCAAAAAACGAAGCGCACGGATCTGAATCCTTGGAGTCACTTGTTTGTCGACACTGGCTATTGAGGAGAAAGATGCGTTCATGGTCAGGCTCAGTCTCAGGCTCACTGTGTCATCAGTAGGATCCGTGTGCGAGATGTATACCCAGAAAGTTGTCGATACGCAACAAGGCCACCAATCTTCCGAACGGGGACGGTCGTGCGCAGCGAGATCAAAGGATATAAAGTCGAGCGACAGATCACTGGAAGAAACGTCTTTCTCTCTCGGCAGGCAACATTCAACCAAGCAAACTTCCCACTGTACACTTCCATCCCTCCAAGAGCTGGTCTCTTTTTCTGTTCTCATTTCATCCACCATATATCACCACCAATCGTCAACCACCCAAACCTATATCAGCCCAAGATGCTTTTCTCCACCAAGACTTTCGTCGCTGTTGTCGCCGTGCTGGCACGCGCGACAGCTGCCGCCCCGGGCGGCTCGACCGACGACGCCCTAGCCCGCCAGCAGGATGTTGCGCGTGAGGCTCGCCAGCTCCAGGCCGTCACCGCAACCGCCGCCACCCAGAAGCGCGCCGAGGCGGATGCCGTCGAGAAGCGCCAGTTCTGTGATTGCCCCGAGGGCAAGGAGTGCATAGACCCGATCGTTCTGGCCTCGGTAGGCACCCTCGCTCCTATGGCCCACTGCGTGACCCCCACAACGAAGCGCGACATCGAGGCCAGGGCCGCCGAGGTCGAGAGGCGCCAGCAGCGCGCCGAGGCAGAGGCCGTCGAGAAGCGCGATTCTTGTGCCTGCCCCGAGGGCTTCGTGTGCATGGCCCAATCGTTTGAAATGCTCGCCATCCCCCCCCAGACCATGTGCGTGCCAACCAGCTTCAAGCGCGATATCGAGGGCATCACCGCCGAGGTCCAGAAGCGGCAGGTCGCGGACACGGAGGGTGTGGAGAAACGCTCCGAGTGTGACTGCGCCGAGGGCCAGACATGTTCTCTCATCGTCGTGCCTCCTACATTCACCGGCGGCGCCTCCACATCGGCCTACATGTGTATGTAGGAGGACATGGGACATGATGGATGTTGGCGGGGAGGTTGTTGATGTTGGGCTTGGTGGATACATGTAGCGTACGGAGTAGGGAGAATTGACTCGTTGTTTCGCAACAAACTGCTCCTGGGCATAGTGTATGTTTGTGTCTGCGAAAGATAACATGAAGAAAATATCGTCGATATAATGGTACAAGACATCGCTGTATAATCCCGCTCATTTTTCGTGGTCTGCCTGTATAAAGCCAACGCCGCGCCGATACGAAACATCTATGCCATCATACGCATACACGTAAACTCCGCAAAGAAAAAAGAAAAAAGTAACCCTGAAACCTATGCCGTTCATCGTCGCTCTTCGTCCTCTTCGTCGTCGGTGTCGCCCACCCAATCGTCACTCTCCAAGCCCTGTCGTCGGATGAAGAGAGAGCCAACCCAGCCACAAAGCGCAAGGCCGCCGAACAACGTCCACGGCAGAGCCTCGCCTTTGGGGTGGATCCCCTTGGAGAGAGAAAACAGACCACCAGACACAAACGGTCCAATGCTCCGGCCCAGTGCGGATAGAGTCTGTGCGACGCCATTCAGCGTGCCCAAGCTGTCGTGGGAGGGGCAGGAGTTGGTGATCTAGCCATGGTTAGCATTGGGTTTGAGGCTATTCATGTGTGTGTGTGTCCACTTACCAGAAGCATGACGCTCGAGAGTCCACCCACGGCGCAAATGTTCTTGATGATCAGCACAACGCCGAGCTCGCCGTACAGCCACTTCTTGCCGGACCCCACCCCAAAAAACGGCTTGTCATCCAGATACCCGACCCATGGCATGAGGACCATGCAGACAGCGATGCCGAGCAGAGATAGCCTGTAGGCACCGAGGTTGCCCAGCCGCGCCTTGAGGTGCTGAAACAGGAAGGCCTGGAACAAGATGGTCGCAAGACCCGCTGCGCTCAGACTGATGCCAATCTTGGATGGGTCCAGTGCTCTGCCAGCGGGCGGCTGCTCGGAGGCGAAGATGGGGTACAGGCTGTTGAAGCTGATGTTGGAGAGCTGAAAGACGAGATATGTGAACAACAGCGTCATGGTGGTGCGGTTGTAGATGGTCGTCGTGATCTTGGGACTCGCCTGACCATCGCCATTCGGAGTCCCCCTGGTGTCCTCACTGTCCTCGTCCTCGTCGTCTGACGCATCGGGCGACGCAGACGCAAGCAGTGGCCGCTGGTTACTGCGCGGCCAGCGAGCGGCCCATGAGGTGGAGCGCGTCAACTCGGGTTTATCCCCGCCATTCTTCTTCGAGGAGATCCAGGCTGAGAGACGTTTGATCCACGGCGGAATCCAAAAGTCAGCGGGCTCGCCATCGTCGTCCAGAGTCTCCTCGAACCAGATCGCCACCACGACGAAGCTAACAGCCAGCATGGAGGCGCCCAGAATGTTGGGCGCCAGGTACGGGTATTGACTGCCCATCTCGCCCACCAAGACGCCGCCCACGGCAGGACCCGAAATGCTGCCCAGGGAGTAGATGATGGGCAAGTACGTAAACGCGCGACTCTGGTTCGAGCGGTCCGTCACCTCGCCCAGGACGGTCGGGACACACGCTGCGTTGCCGTTCAGCATGCCCATGGCCATGTGGACCACGACAACCTGCCAGTACGCCTTGCAAAACCCAAAGAAGCAGAAGCAGCACATGAGCGCAAATGTGCCCATCAAGAGCACAGGCTTCCGCCCAATGACGTCCGACGTATATCCCCATATGAAATTGGTCGAGAGTTGCGCCAGGGCAAAGGCGCTGGCCAGGAGTCCCACATACATGCCATTGAGTTCCTGTGATATGCCAGGCATGGAGCCAACCATTTTCGGCAAGTAGGGCGATATGGAGTTCAAGGCAGTCTGCTCCGACAAGGACAGGAAGGCGAGGAGCAACAGCTGCTTCACCGGGAGAGGCGTGGCCGCATTGTCCTCCTCGGAGCCCGAGCCCTCGGACTCGCTGTCACCGTCCGAGAGTGGCAACGGTTGCTCCCCTGGTGTCTTGGGAGGCTGCGTCGGGAAGGTCTGGTATCGATGTGTCTGCCGGCGCATGCTGGCGAGGGTCGGGATCGGCGCACCAGCGTGGAACGAGCCCTGTGAGTGCTGCCGGCCAGAAACGTGGCCGAGTCGATTCGCGGGTCGAGACATGGTGGTCGCGTGAGGGTACTACTTGTACGAACGACTACGCGGGGTCAGACTTTCGAGGCTAGAGATGGCGTGAAAATCAATAGGTCCGTGCTCGAAGCGCGCTGTCACCCGGAAGAGCGCTCAGCTGCTTGGTTCTCGTCGCGTGCGCCGGTTGCAGGCATGTGTTGGCGCAAAACACCGAGTGAAGGACGCTGCGTGGGTGGATGTCGAAGCAAAAGTCCGACCGAGGGATGGAGGAAGACTTGTTGGTGCAGCGAGAGAAGACGTCACCAACGAATGGGTCGGGTCGGTCGCCTAGATCCGGCAAACTTCCAGGGAACGTCGGCCGCTGAGAGGTGGGACCGTCCAGCTGGAAATGCCCCGCTGCAATTCGTGCAGGAGGCGGAAAGCTACGCCGCCAAGCCTGACTTGGAATAGTGTCACAGCACGTGCCTCCCTCGACCTCGAGACCTATTGGCTCTTCGCTCTTCACTCTTCACATCAGTCATCTCCTTTGTTCATCCATTTCTGCAACGACCAGGCAGCTTGAATCAACTTTTTTTTTTTTTTTTGTTCTAGAAAGAAGAAAGAAACCCTACACATACGCCCTCAGAAACTCAACCAGCGCCATCATGGCCATGGCCTGCCCGTACGGCATGCTCGTCCGAGGGATATCCTTGTAGTGCTGCAGATCATGCCCCATGCCCGTGCCAAACGACGTGTTGAGCAGCTCGCCCTCTGGTGTGATATTCTCCAGCACGGCGCGTATCGCCTTGACGGCCATGGGCTTGTGCTCCCTCCCAATGTACTTGCGCCTCTCCGCCTTGAGCAGGCCGTACGCAAAGCCAGCCGTCGCGCTCGCCTCGACATAGGACCCCTCCTCCTCCGGCACGTCGAGCAGCGTGCGCCACAGGCCGCTGGGCATCTGCAGGGGCCCGAGGGCCTCGCTCTGGCTGACGAGGGTGCTGAGCAGGTGGGCGCGGAGCGGGTCGTCGGGCTGGAGGTTGAGCAGCTCGATGAACTCGGGGATCACAATGGTGACCCAGGCGTTGCCGCGGCCCCAGCGGGCGTCGGCAAAGTTGTGGCCGCCCTCGTTAAAGGTCCAGCCGTGGAAGAAGAGACCTGACTTGTGGTCAAAGAGGTACTGGATGTGCAGGAGGAACTGGCGCTTGGCCTCCTCGACGTAGTGGGGCCGGTTGAGGATGAGGCCGATCTTGGCGAGGGGCATGACGGTCATCATGAGGGTGTCGTCCCACAGCTGCTGCTCGTTGACCTCGAGGTAGGTGATGTGCTGGAAGCCGCCAAACTTGGTGCGCGGCAGGTCGTGGTAGGCCCACTCGGCCCAGCTGTCGAGCCAGGGCAGGTAGGTCTGGTTGCCCGTCTTCTCGTAGACGCAGGCGAGGGTGAGGAAGACGGCCATGGTGTTGATGTTCTTGCCCTTGTGGCCCTCCTTGAACCGGGCCTGGAACCAGTCCTCGATGATCTTCAGCCATTGCGGGTCGTCGGTCAGCTCGTAGTACTTCCAGATGCCGTAGAGGCCGATGCCGTGCGTCCACTCCCAGTCGTTCCAGCCCTTGGTGTCAATGACCCGCCCGTCGGCCAGGGTCATGAGGAACTCGCCCGTCGAGTCCTTGATGTTGACGAGCTCGTGGATGAGGTGCTGGATCTGGCTGTGCACCTGCTCCGAGGCGATGTCTTCGACGTGGGTGGGCATTCTGGCGGTGGTGACGTGCGGTCTGGGAAAGGAGAGGCCAGCGCTTTCTTCAGTACAATTGTCCAGTCTTTCAGGCGACGCGCTCTCATGAGGGGACGTGGGAATATTTGAACAAGTCGCGGCGGAATAACCTCCAGCACGCGGGGTTGCTTGGCTGGTCCCCCATGCGGGTGAACGCTACCCGAGGCCCACCCCGGACTCTCTGTCTTCCCTGCTACGCTTCATGGACGCGGGAATCTATCGGTGTCGGGGGACCGACATCTCGAGGGGGATTTGGAGATTGGGGCCGATCCAATGGAGGGCGAAGGGTCCCTCACCTGGTGCTTGTTGCTGGCTGTCGGTCTCGTGGCATAGATGTCCCGAAGTGCCCCGCTGCTTTCTGCTTCAAGCACAGGCTCAGGGATTCCGATTCAGGTATTCGTCGGCGTGGGTTGAGAGTTTGGGTCAATCCGACTCGAGTCGGGTGCGGGGAGCGTCTGACACGCACGACAGGCTCAACTCCACTTCCCCATGGAGAGAGTCTGATGCCATGTACGTATCAACCATACCAATCCGCAACTCGGTCTAGCAGGCGACGATGATGTTTGAAATTCAACGTCTGATGCAAGAGAATATTCTGCTTATATCAGTGCTTGGCCCATCCTCGTCGTAAGGGGACGCTGCGCGACCACGTCTTGCTAACAGACAGCCTACCCTAGACAGTACGCAGTCCCATATGGACTGACCAGCAAAACCAACAATCATCTTTGTACGTAGGTGGGTTTTCTCTCCTGCCATGGTTTACCTCACTCCGTGGTAGGGCAAAATGTTCTTTATCATGGTCTCCGACGTCCACTATGATGTCATTATTGAGCGGCCGGAAGCGCAGCATCTAGACAACGTGAATAGCTCCCCCTTCCCCGTGTTCCGCTCATCGTTCGGGGCATAGATCAAGGCCCGACAGCGATCGGGCATATTACGCAGTCGGTCAACGCCCGATATATGTAGGTCCAATCAACCCCACATGCCATCATGAGCCGATTCCAAGCGAGGGCTGACAGGCGGCGAGGCATTTGGTGATGATGCCGGTCCGCCGTTGTCGGATGGGAGCTGGATGGCTTCAGCAGGTGGCGGCGGGCATTGCTCGCCACGTGCAGACAGCTCGTGTTTCTGAATGCAGATTGCGACCATGGGATCGTGACAACACTCCTACACGAATGCTTTCCAAGGTGGGTGATTTTATCTCCGTGGGGCCCTGACAGCACGTCGACCCCTTGATGACAGGCGAGGGAGCCCCTCCGCGATCGGAACGTCTCCCCTCCTCACACCGCGCCAACGGTGGAGCGCCTGGGGCCTTGGTCCCTTGGATGGTGATACTATCTGGGCTGTAAGCCTCCGGAAACCGTCTGGATGCGGAGCTCAGTTGTGCGGTCCGAGACTCCGAGGGGTTAAGTGCGTGTACTTGTAGGAGGCGGCCTGCTCCTCCTCGTCTGCGCACGCGCCGTCTCATCCTCCTCGACACATCTGATCCCTTGATCTCACGACACGCCCTCACCATGGCCCAAGTCACACTGCCCCAGCCCTTTGCGGCCATCCCGCGCGAGTCGTTCCTCTTTGGCCCCTCGCCCATCCAGGACCTGCCCAGGATATCGGCGGCGCTGGGCGGCAAGGTCAACGTCTACGCCAAGCGCGAGGACTGCAACTCGGGCCTCGCCTTTGGCGGCAACAAGGTGCGCAAGCTCGAGTACCTGGCCTCGGAGGCGGTGGCCTCGGGCGCCGACACGCTCGTCTCCATTGGCGGCGTCCAGTCCAACCACACGCGCGCCGTGACGGCCGTCGCGCGCAAGCTGGGCCTCGAGGTCGCGACGCTCCAGGAGCACTGGGTGGACTGGGAGAATCCCGGGTACGAGCAGGTCGGCAACATCCAGCTCTCGCGCCTCATGGGCTCCGACGTGCGCCTCAACGCCGAGGGCTTCGGCATCGAGCACAAGGGCGCCCTCAAGAAGCTGACGGACGAGATCACCGCCAAGGGCGGCAAGCCATACTACATCCCGGCCGGCGCGTCGGACCACCCGCTCGGCGGCCTCGGCTTTGCGCGCTGGGCGTTCGAGGTCGAGCAGCAGGAGAAGGAGCTGGGCATCTTCTTCGACACCATCATTGTCTGCGCGGTGACGGGCTCGACGCTGGCGGGCATGATTGCGGGCTTCAAGCTCGCGCAGAAGAAGAACGGCTCCCCGCCGCGCAAGATTATCGGCATTGACGCCGCGGGCGAGGGCAAGGTGCAGCAGACGTTTGACCAGATTCTGCGCATCGCCAAGTTCACGGCCGAGAAGATTGGGCTCGCCGCCGACGACATCACGGCGGACGACGTCGTCCTCCGCGACGAGTGGAACGCCAAGATCTATGGCATCCCCGACGAGACGACCAAGGCGGCCATTCGCTTTGGCGCCGAGACTGAGGCCTTTATCACGGACCCCGTGTACGAGGGCAAGAGTCTGGCGGGCATGATGGATTTGATCAAGAACGGCGAGATTGCGGGCGGCAACTGCCTGTACGCGCACCTGGGCGGGCAGTTGGCGCTGAATGCGTATACCAATATGTAGAGTGCAGCCATGAATATGAAACGAATGAACATGAAGTTGCCTGCAGGTTGCATTGCAATCCATGTACGTACGTACATATACACTTGTATGAAAATGCCACTCTCATCTAGGGTAGGTTGTACCGCGGGAGACAGCGGCCGCTAACTCTCTTATTGTCCGGCAGCTCCGGCCGTCGGGACTCGGACTCCACAAGTGCAGCCCGCGCTAGGCCTGTTTGGGCACAAGAAGGGCTGGTGTAAGATGGGATCGTCCTTCGATTTATAAAGCATCTTTCAGAGGGGCATGCAGCAATCAGACGATCTGTGGACCTCCAAGTTGCCTTGGATCATGCTTCATGTTCATTCACATCACACCGACGAGGCTATCGGGACAGGACGGCCATCCCCCCCCCGCATCCGGGCAGCGGATACGGATGATACGGCACATGCGGCCTGGCATGCACCCCCCCCCGTTCGTCGACGACAGCCCAGAAGCTTGTCTACCAGCATCTCTATTGGAGTCTGCGAGCGTTTCCAGAAGCTTGAGGTCATTCTAGACGCGTCCATGGTCCAATGCTCGACGCTTGTGTCAGGGCATGTTCACCATCCGCCAGCACCCGCGCAAACTCACGAACCGCCCAACGCAACGGATCTCATGGACGAAAGACCGGCTGCACTGCACGTCTGGGGTTGGACTCGGGAATTGGCCTGCCTCGTCCGCTGCGGATCCGAGGGTGCATGATGCGCGCCCGGACACAAACCCACCTTGGCTGCCACCTTGGAGTCCGTCGATCGACTTGTCTTGCAAGGTGCTCGGAACCTACGTATTCATGCCACATGGATCAGCTGGCGCCAGCACCCTACCACCGATCCCCTTGTGATGATAAATGGTCCGCTCTCCCTTCACCTCTCTTCCCTTTGGTCCTGCTCCCAGCTCATACAGCAGTCGGGTACTGACACTCTCCTCTCTGCTCATGACTCCCTCTCAGAATGAGGAGAAGAACCCCTCGGCTCTCGAGGGCCGCCATGTATCCAAGACTGGCATCACCCATGAGCGCGCAGAGCTGCTCGCCAACCTCCCCGACCCCGACGCCGGGCTGAGCGAAGAGGAGCGTCTGGCCATTGTATGTCTCACTTACCCTAGCATTCCAAGAACAGCACTAACCTCGCCCCCCCAACAGGACAAGAAGCTCATGTGGAAGGTCGACCTCTGGCTGATCCCCTGGCTCTCACTGCTCTACCTCCTGTCCTTCCTCGACCGCACCAACATTGGCAACACCCGCGCCGCGGGGCTCAAGGTCGACATTGGCATGGCCGAGGGCGACTACCAGATGGCCCTCACCACCTTCTTCATCTCGTACGCTGTCGCCGAGCCCCTCACCAACGCGCTGCTCAAGCGCCTCACGCCCCGCATCTTCTTCACCGGCATCATCATCTCCTGGGGCGTCATCATGACCCTCATGGGTCTCGTCATGAACAATGCCGGTCTGCTCGCCGCACGCTTCTTCCTGGGCGTCGCCGAGGCAGGCCTCTTTCCCGGCGTCAACTACTACCTCGGGTGCTGGTACAAGCGTTCCGAGATTGGCGTGCGCTCGTCCCTCTTCTTCTCGGCCGCCACCCTCGCTGGCTCCTTTGGCGGTCTCCTCGCGGCCGCCATAGCCAAGATGGACGGCATCGGCGGCATGGACGGCTGGGCCTGGATCTTCATCCTGGAAGGTATCGCGACCACATTAGTCGGAATCTTTTGCTGGTGGATGGTCTTTGACTGGCCCGACACGGCCCGGTTTCTAACCCACGACGAGCGCGTCCGCGTGCAGCGACGCCTCATCCTCGACCGCCAGGGCCGCACCGCCGAGGACTTTGACAAGAGACACATCCACGCCGCGCTCGAGGACTGGAAGACGTACGTGTACATGATCATCTACATGGGCTGCCTCTGCCCCCTGTACGCCTTCTCGCTGTTTCTCCCCACCATCCTCGCCGGCATGGGCTACTCGGGCACCCATCTGCAGCTCCTCTCCGTGCCGCCCTACGCCGTCGCCGCCCTCCTCACCGTCGCCGTCGGCTTCCTCGGCGACCGCACCCAGCGGCGCGGCTACTGCAACATGGCCACCGTCACCATTGGCATGGTCGGCTTCATCATGCTCATCGCCTCGAGCAACCCCCAGATCCGGTATGCGGGCACCTACCTCGGCGCCGCGGGCATCTACCCGACCATCTCCATCACCCTCTCCTGGGTCAACAACAACACAGAGGGCTCCCTCAAGCGCGCCTTTGTCCTCGGCATGGTCGTCGGCTGTGGCAACCTCAACGGCGTCGTCTTCTCCAACATCTACCTCGACCGCGAGAAGCCCCGCTACTGGACGGGGCACGGCGTCGTACTGGCGTATCAGGCCGTCTTCCTCCTGGGCGGCACCGTCTTCATGCACTTTGGCCTCAAGAAGCTTAACCGGGATCGCAGGGCCGACAAGCTTGACGCCAAGTGGAACAGCCTGAGCGAGGAGCAGCGCTGGATCGAGGGCGATCTGAGGCCGGACGTATACTACCTGAGCGGGGATGGCTGCTGTATTGAACGTTGGCCGTTGGGGCGAGTTGAACATTGAGACATGACATGGGGCCCATATTCCATGTCCTTTGAATGAATGATGGTCTTTTTATGTTTGGAATTGTGCATGGACAGCATTGACGCGCCACCCCACTTCCGAGCTCAATGTTTCATGGGCCCATGGCCTCCGAAATAGGCGACAGCCGTGATGGAACGCAGATGCAGTCTGCTAGCCTAGTTCTCGCTCGCCTCGACCGTCTTCGCCCCCACGGGGTCGACCCGGCCCATAATCCTCACACTCTTGTCCTCGCGTAGCCACTGCACCACCAGCTCGCCGCCCTTGCGCGACTGCTGGGCCACGCGAAGGGCGTCTCCCTCGTGTTGGGGATGGTACTTTTCCAGTCGCGCCCTCGTCTCTGGGTTGCCCAAGGCATGCGGGATGATAGCCCGGTGTGCGGAGCCGGTCTAAACGCACCTTTTTGTCAGTTCTTCTGTGCTATTAGTAGACCGTGGAGGGAGAACAACTCACCGCAATGTCCTCATCGGCGTGCCCCGGGAAAGAATGCAAGACCCGCGAGTGGATCTGCTCCGACGATTGCGCCGATATCTGAAAGATGTACACATAGCTTTTCAAGGAAGACTAGATTTTCAAGTCAAGTCAGTTGAGTCCCTCTGAAAGACAGTTTGAGTTCCTTCCCACGCACCAAGTTTTGCGGCTCGATCTGGACACCCGCCAAGTCGAGCTCGGGGCTGAACTCAATCAGCAGAAACTGGTCCTGCTTGTAGACACCCAGCGGCTCTCCGGGGCCTTGCCACCGAGACGAAGTCGCCTCTTCGAAAAGACTTTTCAACTGCGCCCATGTCTCGCTGCCCCTGGGCACGGGTGGGAGGTTGGTCAGTTCAGGGAACTCGATGCCGACGAGCTTCCCATCGCCCAGCGGGTTCTGGTGCTGTGACGCCGATATCACCCCGTGGAACCGCGTCAGATACCGGAATGTCGGAGGCGGCCTGGCGACCATGTTGAAAAGGTGGCCGGACATGGCGAGCGTGGCGTGGCCGCACAGCGGGCCCTCGTTGGTGGCATTGAACCATCGCACCGCGTACTCCGCGCAGCTGCCACCGGGAAGGGGCAGCACAAAGGCCGTCATGGGCAGGTTGATCTGCGTGCCTATGGATTGAAGCTGTGCGTCCGGCGGGAAGAGCGCACACGGGAAGTCTTGGCCATCCTGGACGGCGGCGCTTTGGTGGTCCGGCGAGTCCAGCACGATGACGGCGGCGGGATTGCCTTGCGCCGAGGGTGAGGTGAAGGCATTGTATACGGTCGCAGTGATGGGCGCCATGGCGGACAATTGTTGTGTTTCAGTGAAATAAAGGCGAAGAAAAACTGGGAAGAATGGTGGTTCGTTTTATTTCACCACGTGAGTCACCCGCGTGTGTGACTCGACCACAAGTTGACATGGAGTTGGTAATCAGGAAGGATTCCCGGAAGCTGGTCTCCAGCCGGACCGGAGCTGGCTGTAGCTGGTTGCCTCAAGGCTCATTGCAATGCGATTGCAGGGAGTACTAAGCCAGGTAGTGTGGAGACTCTCTCCCAACTCAGCTCAGCTCAGCTCAGTCATCCCTTTCTCCGGTCCAACCTGAGAACCCACAACTCTCAACTCCCAACATTGGAGTTCGCCCATGTCAAGGGGCTGGTGTGGGGCTCCAGATCCCCAGACCCTTCGGATTTGATAATTGGTCTTGGGAGCTTCGTTCATCGAGTGCTGCTCAGCCTCTTCGACCTCCTGTCGCCGGGTGAGGTAGGAGCGCGTGGCAGAGCTGACAGTTGATCACAGTGGTGGTCCATGTCGTCTGGTCTCTGGTCACTCTGCCTTGGGCAGGAGCGCCTGTTGACTTGAGAGACTAGTAGTACAAGAGAAGCAGCACATGGTCATGTTGTTGTGGACTCGACTGTGCCAGTAATGTGCGCCCCCAGATGTGGTAGCAAAGCATCGCTGTCCTCCCGTGATGACCTCTACTCATGCACAAATAAGTGATCATGCTGGACGCATCCGCATTCTTCCATGAGCTGCCGGTGAAGGAGGAACACAAGAACCGTGTGGTCGTCTTCAGTAGCCGAGGGCTGCAAGTCAGCCATGTCGTGTTGATGGGTTTTCGAAATAGTCCATCCTATGCGCAAAAGTTTTTTCTTTTCTTTTTTTCTTTTCCGGTGAGATTGCTTGCCGTAGCCGTTCGAACAACGCTAACACCAGTGTCGGATGTGTGCAGTGCTCCTCAAAGGTGTCTCTGTAGATGACGACAGGAACGTATATCCCACGGCGATTGTCTTTCCCTGTGCCTACAGCTGACTTTGTCTGTCCTCGAGTTCCAACGCGGTTGCCATTCGCGTGTCGTCCACCTGTAGCTCGGTCGTTCACATACATGCGTCGTCTTTCCAGATATCTCCCAGTTCCTCATGGTACGAAGGGGTTTCCTTTTCGGTCTCGTCGATCCGTGGGAGCCTGGATAACGCGTCTGGCACTAGATTCGTCCGTAGGAAAGTTTGCCGCCGCCGTGATAAACCGTCGGCCGTCCATCATTCGCGGTTCTCAAGGTAGTGTTGCGTTCGTAGGTTCAGTTCTATGGTTGTTCGTGATTCCAAGATGTATGTAAAAGTGAGATGAGAAGAGTAACAAGAGGGGAAAGGGGGTTTGTCCTCAAACTCAACCATCTCGCCCATTTCGTGGGCAGTCAGTCCATCCAGCGACGCTCTTGTAATTGAACAGACCGCCTCATACTTCCGCCCAGTTCCTGGATCATGTTGTCGAAGACTGAGCAGGCCGAGCACTTCTTTTCCAATGGGGTCCATTCGTCCAAGCACGTGCGCAATGTGTTGAAACTTGACCCTGTCTACGTGGCTACATGTAGGTAACTGCGATCTTGTGGAGTACTTGAGAGACACCCGAAATATTGGAGAAAACGTGGCAAGCCTTGAAGTCATTCCCCAGAGCAGTACTCATGTCATCGAGTGTAGAGTCACAGTGAATTGTTGGCTCCCTTAATAGTATTGCTAGCAACCCATGCGTCTACCGACCGGCGCAGTCCACTGTGAGGAAACAGTTTTCGCTGACCACACAGAGTGGTGGCCAGACACACTTGCTTTGTTATCGTGTTATCACAACATTCTCACCCACGGCGGATGGCAAGACACTTTCTGTTTCCACTCAACCACGGACCGTGGCCCGTAGGCCATCCTCCACAGAGGCGAGTGATTACTCCAAATGGGAAATCCCATTCTCTCTTTCACAGGTCCAGTCTTCCCAGGTCTCGACGCCTACTTACCCAATCTGGCATATTCACAGCCTATCAAGCCCAAGATGCGTTCCTCACGACTCCAACAGGTGGCGACCGACTTGGGGTAACCCCTTTGCGAGTCTGCTTCCCCGGACCCCAAAGCCGAGAGAATGCGCGCGGGCGGACATTGCCAAGTGGGCGCACGGCTTTAAGCGAATTGACATTTTGCACTCGTGTGCAAGAGGACTAGTGGAGGGCGGACATGCGGTGGGAATGACCGCGGGTTGGAGCACCACTGCGTGCGCTAAGTAAGATGTTGGGGTCAGCAGTCGTTGTCCCATATTACATAGGCAGCAAGACCCCCGTTAGCCTGATGCTCCAACAGACCTCGGTGACTGTGCGTGACATAACTCGACGATCATGGCCAAGGCGCTGCACACGTTATGCGCGAGCGAAGCACAAGAGTGCATCCTGCGCGGTGACTTTACAGTCGAGGCATATGCCCAGGCGCTCCTTGACCGAGTCGCTGCGCGCGACAGCGAGGTTCACGCCTGGGCGACGCTCGATCCCATCCATGTGTTGGAGCAAGCACGACGGCTGGATCGAATACCGAAAGGCCAGAGAGGACCATTGCACGGGTTTGTCATTGGCGTCAAGGATGTCATCAACACCAAGGGTCAGTCCTCGATCATGCGTTGTTGCGACATGGAGGGATCGGACACTAACGGGGCAGCACAAAGACTTTCCCACCAAGCACAACTCTCCGCTGCACCAAGACGACCCTACCTTGATGGACGCGACGTCTGTCGCCATCCTTCGCGCGAATGGCGCTCTCATCATGGGTAATACAGTGATCTCCCTACCCTCTTTGCCGTGTGACGTGTCGCTCATCGAGTAACACAGGGAAGACCAGGACCACCGAGTACGCAGTGGTGGCCGTCACGCCTGGGACCAAGAACCCACATGATCCGTCTCGTTCGCCTGGCGGCTCGTCCTCCGGCTCCGCAGCGGCCGTGGCCGACTACCAGGTCCCCATTGGCCTCGGCACCCAGACCATCGGCTCCATCATGCGCCCGAGCTCGTTCAACGGCGTGTACGGCTTCAAGCCCACGTGGAACAGCATCAGCAGCGAGGGACAGAAGGTGACGAGCCCGACACTGGACACGTTTGGCTTCATGACGCGCGAACCTCGTGATCTGCGAAAACTGAGCGACGTCTTTGGGTTGAAGGATGACGACGAGGCGCCTAGAAGGGGGGAGATGATCATCCCGGGTCAAAAGTTTGCCATCCTCCGTCCACCCATGTGGAAGAACGCCGGGCCCGGCACCGTGGCGGCCATGGAAAGGGCAGGGCAGATTCTCCGTGACGCGGGCGCCATGGTGGACGAGATTACGCTGCCGTCTGATTTTGACAATGTCCTCGAGCTGCAGACGGATGTCCTACGCCACGAGATCCAGGTCGTCTTCCACCGTGAGAGCACGTGTGCCAGGGACACGATGAGCAGGGAATTGGTCGCTGCGGCCGCGGGCATTCAGGGGGGAACACTTAGACGGACGTTTCTCAGGTCATTTGACGCGTTGGCCGCTCTGAGGGGCCAGATGGATGGAATTGCGAGCGGCTACGCGGCCATTATTGCGCCCAGCTCGGTGGATGTCGCGCCCGTGACCGATACGTGGACTGGTGATCCCCAGTTCAACGGCATGTGGACGGTGAGTGTTTCTGTTGCGGTGACGGCTTGTGTGATGCTGATCGATCCGATATAGGGCCTTCATACGCCCGCGATCAACGTGCCTGGGTTTGCTGGTCAAGGCGACATGCCCGTTGGCGTCACGCTGGTCAGTGGCCGGTATCGCGACGAGCACCTGCTGCAGGTTGCTGCGAGTGTCGGTCCGCTTTTCAGTGAGCGAGGAGGATGGAGGTCCAAGTTGGTGTGGTGAGCATCTTGAAGGATAGACATGAGACACGTCTGCATAGCGATGGGTGTTTGTTTGTTGACGCAACTCGGGAGTAACGGGGCTGGAGAGACAAGGAGGGAAACTCTGCATCATCTCACAAATCTTGAATAAATCATCAGGCTCAATCTTGACATCGGGATTGAGGTTATGGTATCGGGTTTTAGCATCGCCTGCGTCATCGTCGCCACGGACGGACCCACCCGTCCACGACAGAATAGCTTCGCCACCATCCCTGCCTAATCCCCAGTCCGAATGCGCGCTTCTTTAACGAATACCCTTGATTTTGCAACCATCTCAGTCTCACCTCGCTCAGCTCACCTGGCGATTCTCAACCTCGTCGCTTGATCCAACGTCAAAGTCTCATCAATTTCAACCTCACCCAACGCCATGCCCGCCACGCATCGTCGGGACAGCAACAACCTCGAGCTCGCCTCCCTCATCACCTCCGACGACGAAGAAGCCGCCATCTCTTCATCTTCCCCCGACGCGCCTCTCGCCATGCCATCGCAGTCCCAACCCTCCACCAGTCCACAGCCGAAATGGCTATCACAGAACACAGCGCGGACGTGGTCCTCCCGAATCCTCCCAATGCTCGCGCGCATCTTCCGCCCCCGACTAACATGGCGATACGCCCTCGGCGCATCCATCGTGCTGTACTATCTCTACTGCACCATCCGCCAGACGCATCTCCTCGCATCCCCTCTGCCCTCGTACACGGGCCCCCATGGCGTCGGTGCCGTCGATCTTGAGGTCCCCCTCCCAGACGGGCCGCAGAGTATATCAGAGCACACCTTCAAGGACGGCTCTCCAGCTTTCGAGATAGAGTCCCTCCTCGTCACATTCTACTACCCCACCGATCCGGCCTTTCGCTCCAAAAAGCCACGATACACATGGATCCCCAAGCCCGTCTCACTCACGGCGCGCGGATACGCCAAGCTCGGGGGCTTTGACAATTTCATCACCCGCCCTGTCATGACCTTCTTCCTCTGGGCGGTCGGCGGCGGCATCACCATCCCCGCCGAGGTGGACGCACCCTTACTCGAGTCCAACGACAAGCTGGCCCCCCTGGTCTTCTCCCATGGCATGGCCAGCTCACGCACCGACTACACCAACTTTCTGGGGGAACTCGCCTCCCGCGGCCAGGTCGTCGCCGCCATTGAGCACAGGGATGGATCCTCCCCCGGCTCCCTCATCAAGCTCAACGCAAACGACGCCACCGGCGGCCGGGAAAGACTGCACTTCAAGCCATCAGAGCTTCAGGAGGACGTCGACACCCCCAAGTTCAAGGAGCTACAACTCGCCTACCGCGACGCCGAGATCCTCGCCGCCATTGACCTCCTTGCCGCCCTCAGCAAGGGTGCTCCCATCAACAACACTCGTGCGCACGTCGACACACTCGCCTCTTGGTCCGGACGTCTCGCCATGGACAGACTCCTCATCGGCGGTCACTCGTACGGCGCAACGGGCGCGCTGCAAGCTCTGTCCACCGTGGCTTCCGATGCCATTGGCGGCATCATCCTCGATCCAGGCAAGGGCTCCGGACCCCTGAACAAGGATACCAAGGTTCCCCTGCTCATCGTCCACTCCAACTCGTGGAGTCGAAACGTGAGCCCGTTTCACGGCCGTCCGCATTTTGACACGGTCCGCGACCTTGTTCGCGACTCCCCCGCCCCCGGCTGGTTTCTCACCTCCTTGGGCACCGCCCACCCCAGCGTGACCGACGCACCGCTCCTCGAGCCACTTCTCCTTAGCTGGACGACTGGTGCGAACCTGGATGTCAAGGGTGCGTTGAAGGAATACGTCAACGTGGCGGACGAATTTTACCATTATCTCCTCGAGGGCAAGACTAGGCAGGGTGGCTTGCTTGCTGAGGCGGTCACGCACGAAGAATACGGCAAATGGATCAGTGAAGAGAGGAAAAAGGAGCTTCCCAAAGACAAGGCGAAGTTATGGGAGGTGCACGTCAGCCCGCAATTGTAGATATTTCCTTGGTTTTTTTTTTTTTTTTTTTTTTTTTGGTTTACCACATATATCATGACACGACAGCGAGTACCAGTAGCAATTCATTAATCCTATTTTCTATCTTTCGGGCAATACTGTTCAGACTGTTCAACCCGGCTTGCCCTTTAGTTCCCCAGCCATCGTTTGTTACCCACGTATAAATGCTCGTCAAACACCATCGTCATCCAGTTGTATTGTATACTTGATGGTCACAGAAATGCTGGGAAGCTCCCCCTAATGCTGTCTGCTGTGCTGCCTGCCATCCTCTGGCGTCGGCTGCTTAGGAATTGCTCGACCATTACCTTACTGTCACTGTGCTCTGTACCGCCGCGCGCACTCGGGGGCACGTTCTCTCCGGCGATGTCCTTGCGATAGTTCCTAGGCGGCGTGTCCACCACAATCCTGCCAAACTGTCTCTCGACAGCGGCCGTGAGCCCAGGACTGGAGTGTGTTGGTGAGGCGCCCGGGCGCCCTTCCATGCGAGCGCGACGCTTCAACAAGGCCTCCTCTCGACGGGAAGCGCTGTTCATCGGCATTGCTTGAAGAGAAGCAGTCGGGCGAAGGGTCGTCTGATTCCCATTCGTCGCGGTACGCAGGTTGCTGGCAGTCAAAGCGGGCATAGACGGAGCCATCCGAAGAGAGCTGCGCATGGGAATGGGCGGCTTAAGGGCATCTGTATCCTCCCCAGCCGTTGGTGCCCTGTTTTCTGTATCATCCATCCGGCAGCCTAGGGCTGCTTCTCCAGGCGGTTTGTCAGGGACAACCCTCACCGGTGTTATTTCAGTGGACGAGCCTGCTGCATATGATGGAGACCGGGCAAAGTCGCCTGACGAGTCAATTTCCGCCTGCTCCCGCACATGTCCCATGCGAGGTGAAATTTGAGGCTCTTTTGCGGTCCATAGCTTGGATGAAGCGTGATTTCCAGGTTCGTCCAGCTTAGATGCATGAGAGCTCAGCCACATCTTCCACTCCGCCGAGCTAGCGTGCGAGACTTCGCGGATTGTCGAAGACTGAGGCGATTGTTTCCGGTCTTGTGAATATATCACTGCCATTCCGTGGTCATCAGTGGTTACCCTAGAGACAGGGGAGCAAGCCTGGGCGTCCGAGGAGTAAACACTATCCGCGCAACTGCCGTGGTCGTTCATCTCTGACTTTTCAGGGGTTCGATGCCGTGGTGGCAGACTGACGTCCGACATCGACCCCAGATACTCGGGATCCTATACACGAGCAGGTTTCTGACCATCATCGGCAGCGGCCGCCGCCAAGTTGCTTTGCAACGCCTTCCGGAACGGGCTGGTGGTGCGGAACATATGGCCTGTTGGGCTCGCGAAGAATTCCGACATCCGCTGTTCGCAGGCCGTGGGGTGATCGGCATCCCGGTGCATTGCAAAGGTCGCTTTGCCAGGTGGGTCGCTCACCTTCCCCGACCACGGGTTTGGCGAGCCTTCCCTTGATGTTAAGCTATATGAAATCCGTGGTCTGGTCCTTGGGGAGTTCTTAGGTGCCCCAGTGCTCTCTCTGACTGCATTCTTGTTGTCTTGGAAAACGTCACTATCGTCACAAACACAGCGGATTGTTGGTGGAGAATAATCACCAGACCTGACTTGGTCAATAGAGCTGCTTCGCGGAGGCGCTTTGCCATGAGCCTTGACACCGTGCATGTTCTCTTCTCGTTCCTTCGCCTGGCGCATCTGAATCTCGTTTGCTCGTTTGATCAGTGCAGAGTACACTCTCTGACTATCAAGGGAGCCTAGCTGTGCTGTGACAGTATCCTGGCCTGCCGGGGCTTCTAGATGTGTCGGGGAAGAGCTGTGGGCTCCTCTCTCCCGGATCACAGGTAATTGTTGACTGTCCCGATCCACCTGCGTCGGTTGACTGAGAGCGGTATTGGTGACGGAATCGGTCCAGCTAGTCACTCGCGACTTGTCGTCGGTATTCGAATGTTGATCCACGCTTTCAAGACTGCCCTGACGAGATTGAACCTGGTGCTGACAATCGACAGCCTGAAGTATCGCGATTCGAGAAGGTCCCCGGGAAATTGTTGCTCCTTCGCTCTCAGCTGCCATCATCGGGCTGGGGAAGCTCTCATCCGTGTTGCGAAGCTGGTATTGAGCGTTCATCTCGGAGGATCCAAAAGAAGACTTCTGCCGTCCAAAAAGCCCCTTCATTCTCGCCTTCAATGTGCTTGATACTTTTCTAGCCTTTGCACGCAAGCTGCCTCCTTTGGGCACGGCCAAAGAATCACCGGAAAACGCCGAAGATAATGATGCACTGTTGTTGCTGCTGGTGCGCAGTGACTTCCTCAGTCCCAAGGATCCATCAGTGCGTCTTATCTTCGATAGGAAGAGCAAGGACGGTTGAGACTTAAGTTCCGAATGACTTGTGGCCTCGCGACACTCGTCCAGGGTGGCTCTTTCATTTATCCCCAACCCGAGGCGACTGACTGTGTGCGACATTGTGTTTTCACGCCGGCCTCGAAGAAAGCTCATTGATTTTGGTGCACGCAGACCCAGATTGGGGCTGGCCTGGAGAGGTCTGTTCTCTTTTCCTACGTTGCTGTGTAGCAAAGACAACGGAACTGGGCTTTCTTGCCGGTTTGGGCCATTGCTGCAATAGCCGCTTTTGAACTGTGAATCCGAAGCCGTGTACAAGGATCTGGATTTGCGAAGTCGCGGAAAAGGAACAGGATCTGAATCGTCTTCGAGGGTGCAGGAGCCGTCGCTGACTTGAAGCTCCCGGATGCGGTCTAACGTTTGCGAATCGCAGCTTGACATACAATCTTCTGAAACCAAGCTTCCGTCGCGTACGTTCTTGCTCGGATCTCTTGGCAGAGGCCTCAAGGAACGTCCGCTTGCTCGACCTGCCAGATGCTTCCTTGGACGCCCGCCCGGCTCCGCGAATCGAATGCTCTTCTGGCGCCGAAGACCTTGAAGCCCATCAGTCTCATCTTGCATGGCAGTTGATTGTCGAGGAAAGCTTTGGCGAGCTGTCCCTTGGTTGCCTTCGACTTGCTCTGATTGATGATAGTGCCATGGTGCCATGCCCTGAGTTTGGCGACCGTAGAAGCGCTCAAAAGATATGCGTGCAGCGATACGTGCGTCCCTCTCGCCTACCCCGTGAGTTGCACCGAGCTGATATTCTTTGATGTGGCTAATGGAGCTGGCCGACTTGCTGCGAGTAAGAGTTTGTGGCCTCTTCCTTTTGGTGCTGTGACGACGAAGCATGCCAGAATGATATGGCCGGTATTTGTGTGCGTGGAGTGACTCGACAATGGTCTGTGACGATGGGAATGATAAACAGAGAATGGAAAAGCATCTGCGATTTCGAACAACACGGGCCACCCTAGGTGCTTCGACAAGTCAGCATCGCGGAAGGTGCATTGGCACGGAGCAGGAGCGCAACTCACCGTGTGCGCACTTGCCCAACTCCACACTTCAGAAGAGAGGTGAGCCAACACCTGGTGTGCGTCACAAAGGAAACCAAAAAGGAATAGGGCTGTTGTTTAATGAGTAATATTCGTGGTCGGGGTGTCTTCATATGCAATCTAAAGCAAACAAGATCCCACAAACCAGCTATACAAACAGCAAAGGATACTCATCAAAATCAACGAAATATGAACCCGTGTTGTCTACGCCAATCTGCTATACCCAAGGTGTATGCATCCCGTCCAATCATACATTAACTTCCCCGTGCCTAGATGTTGAGCTCTGTGATGAACTTGTTCAGCTCCTCGTCGACGGCAACACGGACCTTCTCGCTGAGCTTGGCGGCTTTCTCCTCAAAGTGCTCAAAGTGGTGGAAGGTGTCGGCAATCTGCTCCTGGACAATCTCAATGTCGTCCTCAATCACAGCTCCAACCTTCTCCATGGTGGAAGGGGCACGCTCAACCTTGTAGCCGCCAGCCTCCATGATCTTGGAAAAGTTGCTGCAGCCGCCGCCGTTCCAGGCGAGCAGGTTGGGGGTGTCGGAATCGGGCATACCGCTCAGAGCACCCTCGGTGGCAACAGAGATGAGGCTCTGCTTGAGCTCCTTGGGGGTAATCTCGGCAACAGCGTACTCGGAGTCGCCGGCAGGCTGGAGAGAGAGGTAGTACGCGAGGAGACCAGCAAGATGAGGAGAGGCCATGGAAGTGCCAGAGATGGTGTTGATGGCGTAGGGGGATCCAATCCAAGTGGACTGGATGCTGACGCCAGGGCCGAAGATATCAGTGCACTTTCCGTAGTTGGAAAAGTACGCACGGTCGTCGTTGAGGTCGGAGGCACCAACTGTGAGAGGGAGCTCGGCAGCGGCGGGAGAGTACTTGCAGGCATCGGCGTTGTCGTTGCCAGCGGCCACGGCAAAATGGACACCAGCCTGAACGGCAGCGTTGACAGCGGCGTCGAGGGCGGAGGTCTTGCCACCACCGAGGGACATGTTGGCTACAGAGCCCTTGAATCCCTTCCGCTTACCGTCCTTGGCGGCCTTGACTTGCTTCTCGTGAGCCTTCGCAGCGTAGTCAACCCCGGCGACAACATCGGCCATGCTTCCGGAACCGTTGGAACGGAGCACCTTGACGGCATAGATATTGGCCTTCTTGGCGACACCGTACTTCTTACCGGCGATGGTACCGGAGCAGTGGGTACCGTGACCGTTGCCATCTTCGTCGGCATCGCCAGAGGGAATCGTGGCACCCCAGTGAGCACGATCCTCAAAGTCGACGTGCTCAGTGTTCGTACCAGTGTCAATCACGTAGGCATCAACGCCCTCGCCGGCATCTTCGGCGTAAAGGTACTTGTTGAACGTGCCAAAACCGAGGGTGTCACGGTGTGAAACACGGGCAAGACCCCAAGGAGCCTGCTTCTCGGTCTCTCCATCGCACTTGTCCTCGGTGACCGACTCCTGGACATCGACGGGAAGCATTGTGTGAACGATGGTATCACGCTCGATGTAATCGACCTGTTATGTGCATTAGTCAGGTGACGCAGGAGACGCGGGCTAACCAAAGCTTACATCAGGGTGGTTACGAATCTGCTCAATCACATCCGGGTGGAAGTGACCAGCGTATCCCTTGAAGCCCTCGCCAATGGCGAATTGGTGCTTGAGGCCACCGAAAGCCTTGCTGAATAGGTCATCGGTGAGGCCACGCTTGCGTAGCTCGAGGTACTGGTCCTCAGCAGGCTTCTGCTCGTGGAAGGCCTGAACCCAGGTGTGGTGGTTGTCGGCAGCGGAATTGTCGACGTGGTCCTTGAACTTGACAATGTATGAGTCGGGGATGTGATCCGCATCGATGGAGCTAAGGATGGGCGCAGCATCACCGTGGATAGTCTCGGTTGTGAATGAGGCGGCCTGGACGGCAACCGCCAGGGACAAGGCTGCGATGCTCTTCATGGTGTCGCGATTCTGGGCCGTCTACCGGAGACGCTAGGAAAAGGACGGGATAGAAGACGATAAAAGAGTTTGAGCCTCCCGAAACACGTGGAAGATAATAATCTGATGAAGATGGTGATGGATGATGGAGGAAGGAGGATGGGAGAAGGAAGGTCGGGGAAGAGGGAGGGACGAGGCAGAAGCATGACGAACTACGGCATGCTGATAAAGAGCATCCGGAGCGGCAACAGTGACGCATCCAGTCACCAGTCGCGGACGATAGCAGGTTGTGGATCTGTCTGTCTCAGGCAGGCTTAGCGCTGCGGCTTGGGACCAATGGAATAGCATAATCGGTTTCCACAGCGATGCGATAACTGATTCAATGGTGCGATTCCGCCTCACACGGATAAGCAAGTATTGCTACTTGGCGCACCCTTGTGGTTCCTGCATCAGCTGGTCATGGACTCATGGATTGATGCTGTGTCGAAGACTCAAGCTTGACATTCATAAGAATACACATTAATGAACTTCGTTGTTTGAAGTCTCATGGTCGATATTAATGTTGCAGGACCAAATACTTCTTTAAACTGCTTATCAAGCGGTGGGCAATAGACTATCAACCGTCGCGTGCAATGGTTGGCCTCGGCTGGGAAGCCCCAGCCAATGGCTACAATCAGGTATCGCTACTTCCTGCTGCCTGCGGTGCCTTCCCCTAGCGGCAACCAAATGCGGGGAAAGCTCTTCCAAGCTGTCCACCTGATCTTGCGCAGTGTCACTCTCATAGAGCACGTGCTCAGCTGTTGACATTGTCTCAGTGTGGCTGATCTTCCGTTATCTTTGGCTATTGAAGCACGACGGTCTAATCACGCAGGCCTTCGTAGCCGAAGAACATCTCATGTCTCGGGTTGAAACTCGCGAGCTTCGTGCACCAAGTAGCGTCAGTTGGTGGAGTCATACAGCGATGCGGCTTAGCTGGGGAAGTGTGGCTGTGTTGCTAGCGCTAATCATGTCTCCAAGTTACGCCTACCCTAGAGTCTGACACTGTAGCCGGTGTCACAAAGAGCTCAATGTGCGTAGACTGTAGGATAGGGACATGTTCTGAACCTTGGGAGTGTGGCTCTGTACAGTGATCTGAAGAAGTCTTCGGTCATTTACGAGTTTATCTCTCTGCATAATACCTGGCATTCGTTTAGCCTGCGACAAGGTAATCAACCATCGTGAGACACACATCACGTGCTGGCCAATGGTCTTGAATGCTTACACTTCTACCAACCCATCTCAGCATATTCACCGAGATACCGCAGACTGTCAAATTTATTACCATAGACTTCATTGCGCATGGCGAAAGTACCTATCCACACGTTGCACAACTATGAGGGTAAGCACTGTAATAAGGTGCAGGTGCTCTTCGCAAGTTTTGGAGACAGCGGGGCAGTCAAAGTGGAGGGTGGCCGTGCCGTCACCAACAACCAAGCCACGCAGCCTCGAATCTGACTTGGAGCTTCATGCTCACGCCAGCGGTTTCCAACTGTATAGACACGAGACGGCGTCAAGAATTTGTGCTTCTCAAGACATCGTAGAGCAGCTGCTACGTGAACCACGACCTTCGAACGCAGAAACACGAGAATTCCCCTTCGCACATCCCGCCTACACGACACCTATCAATCGAAACGACTGCTCGACATCCTTCCCAGCGTATACGTCCAATGCTTGCTCTGATAACGTACACCTCGGACCCTTGAAGGGCGCCTGAGATATCCGGGTTCTCTGGTTCGAGGCGCAAGGCGCCATGTCCGCCCTTCCTCGTCGGTATCGGTCGTCCACCTCGGCCTCGAATCCCCCGATCAGCAAGGCACTTGAGATTCTTAGGGGTCAGGTCGACGATATTGCCAAGGACTCTTTGACGCGCAAGGACGATGGGTACCCTGAACAAACCAAATTGGTAAAAGGGTTAAAAAACATAGCCCAGCATGTATCCACTGCTGGCACAACGGCCCAAGATGACTTCCGTCATGCACAAGGATTCGAGCGCGTTCTTGACGTGCTGCGGGCTTATGCAGGCTACTACAACCCAGACAAGAGGACAGAAACAGAAGTTCTCGCTCTTTTGAGGCTCCTCAAAACTGCTCTAGACGTCTTGGCGGCCGGACTTCGAAATCATGCTGGTAATAAGCGATTCTTTCGATACAGGGTTGAGGGTGGCGGGTGGGAGTCCTTGGAACAAGCCATCGCAAGCATTGGTCTCGGTGGCGCCGAAGCAGATTCCTGGGTTATGTGCCAGCTCTTCGGTAAACTCCTCGCGTTCTGTCTGGATGACGAGGCCATTGATTTGCTCTGCCACTCGATCGCAAAGGCACTCCGTCCCGATGCCGCGTCTCAGGCGGACGAAGGCAGCGAAGAATGGGAGCTGTGTTTAGTCAGATCGGTCGACGATATCAACCCGAGTGTGCGTGAGCTTGTTAATGCCAAGGCTATCATCCGCCACCCAGAGATCCTCAGATCGCTGGTCAGTTTCTGGTCAGCTCTCCCGCACACCCCTGATTCTGAACCGTCGGCTGGTTCCCTGTTAGTCTTGGAGACGATTTCATGTGCTGCCTCCCAATCGATACACAATCGTGCCGCCATACACTCCACAGGTGTCCTGTCGCAATTCCTGAGGGCTGCTTTTGGCGTTGAGCGGACTCTTTCCTCGATGGAACATCAAAAGGTCCTTGAGATATGCCGTCTTCTGATGTATCTCGGAGTCAATCAACCGGCAGACACGCAATTTTTGCTTACAGCCCCTGGCACGGACGCCTCAGAATTCTGTCTTGATATGACCACGCGACACTCGGGGCCGCCATTCTTTCAGTTCGACCTGTCACTCCATGGATACTCCTCGCTTGAGTTACCTAGTTTGGGACGCTCGTTCCCGCCTCAGACAGCTGCTGGTTACACTTTCACAGCCTGGGTTCGGATCGACAGCTACGATCCTAGTGCCCATACCACCTTGTTCGGCGTATTTGACGCAACACAAACATGCTTCTTGCTGATGTATCTCGAGAAGGACTCTGGCAATTTTATCCTCCAAACTTCGGTGACTTCCAACAAGCCGAGCGTGAGGTTCAAGTCAGTGTCTTTCAAGGAGAACAAATGGTACCATATTGCCATTGTGCACCGTCGGCCGAGGACCATGTCTTCGAGCAAAGCCTCGCTCTATGTTGATGGCGAGTTCGCAGAGCAGCTCCGTTGCAACTACCCAGCCACGCCGCCCCTTTCTCATGGCGAGCAGAGCTTTGCCTCGTTCAACTCTACACAAAACAAGACCAACCCAGTCCAAGCTTTCCTCGGCACACCTCGCGAGCTGTCGATGAAGGTCGGTCCAGGACTAATCTCGTCAAGGTGGTCACTAGCATCTGCTCATCTCTTCGAGGATGCCCTGAGTGATGACTACCTCGCCGTTCACTATGGACTTGGCCCTCGCTATCAGGGAAATTTCCAGGATAGCTTGGGCGGATTTCAAACATATGAAGCATCAGCTACGCTGGGGCTGCGTAACGAGATTGTGCATCATGGGGCGAATGAAAATTCGGACATTCTGAGGGCAGTGCGGGAGAAGGCGAGCACATTGCTTCCAGAAGCAAAGATACTTCTCAGCATTCTCCCTCACGCAACATTTCAAACTAATGTGCAATACATGAACACTGGATTGTTGCGATCTTTACCTCGAATGGCGGCGCGAAGCTTGTTTCGAGCGTCGAATCAGGAGGGCTCTGCACTCGCCATCAATTCTGCAGTCCCTTTTGTCACGGATGCCGTATTCAAAGTTCAAGGGCTTGCTTCTTTTCGCGGTAGTCCTGTTGTCACCGTGCCTTCATACATGGATGAGAACCTTTGGCGCTTGGCAGGTTTCACACCTTTGGCATTGAAGCTGCTCGAGCGCGCCTCCACGGTCGAGGAGACCGTACGGGCTTTGGAAATGATGTTCTACTGTATCTCCAAGAGCTGGCGCAATAGTGAGGCCATGGAACGCGACACAGGTTACGGCATACTCAGCATGATTCTGCGCTTCAAGCTTGGTCATGGTGGCTGGGCAAGCAATGATGGACCCGTGCAAAAGTTGTCTATCTCCAACCAGGAGAGAGACAGCTTGGCTTTCAGGACCCTGAGCCTGGTATTGGAGTTTGTTGGCTACAATCACGCATCGCCCATTGAATCCTTCATCATCAACCCGCTTGCCTATCGAATACTCCTCATTGACCTGGATATCTGGCGCAAATCGGCACCAAGGATTCAAGAAATGTATTACAAGCAATTTGTAACGTTTGCGGTTTCTACCAAATACCACGAGTTCAACCGTAGGAGATTGGTTCGCATGAGTGAGTCACGCCTCAACTAAATGCGTACTAGTCCTGCTAATCTTGAAGGGATCGTGAAGAGGTTGCTCGACGCCGTCAAAGGGGAGTTAGTTGCGGAAGAGGTCACCCCTCATTTCATGGAAGCGTTTGAGGTGCTCGTCAAAACCAACTTGAGCCAAGAAGTAATGCGATCACTGGCACTCTTCATCACCTACGCATTCCACTCGCCTTCTGCTTCGGTGCCGCGCACACCACGACCAGTGTCCGCGACGTCAAGAGCAGGCACACCTCTTTCGGCGAGGAGACCGGTGGTTGATCTGCTGACTGGCAATACACCTGTGAATGGAGTGAAGTATCTACCGAAAAAAGCCCTTGGAATCAAGATCCTGGTGATGTACTCAGGGATACTGTGCGAAAAGGGCAATCTCAATCACGTCAAGAAGTTTGCACGGACTGTCACAAACAAGGTATGTTACAAAATCCTATGCTAGACTTGTTTAGCTAATTTCACAAGTGGCTGTTGTATCTCCTGGCCGAGAACGACGTGGAGATAGTGACTCACGGATGCAAGATCCTGGCGCGACTCTTGGTGGCCCATGGCTCCTCGTATACTAACAAATTTGCGAACAAGAGTGGAGGGTTCACCATCATGGCCAGCCGACTGCGGAAGTTTTGGGATGTTCCTACTTTATGGCCAGTATGCCTTAGCATCCTGTTTGGCTACGACGTTGCTGAGATCAATTTCGGAAGGGACTTTGACTTTTCCGGACTCGTCGACATCTTCGGAAAGCGGAAAGTCGCGTATCCGGAGGCTTTGCATATAATCACATCTTTGCTGCAGAACGGCTTCAAAGAGGTCATGAGGCATCAGGATGACTCGAACTCGCCTGCACGAGGGTCTGGTCCTGAAAGCTCCACGACCATGACATCTCAGTCCGAAGGGCGGCCGAGGGCTCGATCAATGGATCTGGCAGAAACTCTGCGAAGTCGATTGAATTTCTCTGGAGAGCGGGAAAGAGTATTAGGGCATGTTACGGTCCTCCAGACGATGCTTGGCTTTCTCTCCGACTTGCATGCGAGATCCTCAGAATTCAGGGACTTTGCCCTCAATTCTGACTGGACTAGACTGCTCCTTGCCACGTTATATCCGGTTGTCGTGAGCGCCGATGCTGTCGCGCCTCATCTTGAACTTCAGTCGGGTTCCTCCGCGCTCAACTTCGCCGGAGATGATGTGATCATCCGCCCATTTGGTGGAGGCACAGCTTCGGTGCCCGTCGTTAGGACAAGCAGTGTTAGTGCGGACGCATTCACGCCGCCACAGCCACTGTCGATCAAACGAACAGCACTGCGTCGAGCTTCATCCTTTGTCTTGCTGACTTCACAGAAGGACCAGTCTGATTTATCTAGTACCAGCTCAACCGTCTTGTCGGCCAAGGCGTCGATGGGCAAAACAAACGAGCTTTTGGAAGGCTTTCTGGATCTAGTGATCAAGGTGTTCATGGATCAAATGATCGCAAGGAAGGAGTTCCCTGGCTTCGGACTTTTCACCAAGGTTCCTCCTGGCTTCCAAGAGCATCAAGCATTTTTTGAATCCTTTGTGTTGCAGCGCATGGTCGCCGAGGTAACAGCCTACATCAAGGCGAAAGACAAAGCGGTCTGCGAGCCCCGGATCATCACCAACATCGCTCGTTTCTCCCATCACTTGTCGGAAGCAATCTTTGAGGGCTGGTTTCTGCATGGAGCCGAGGTAATGGTCGACTTCAGTGGCTTTGTCCTGGAGTTTCTGCAACGACCTGATGTGGAGAAGCTCAAGAGCGTTCGCCTTTGCAGCCAGGCCGTTTCTATGATCCGCGGCTGCTTGCTCAGAGTTATCTTGCTTCGATTATCCGACATGGACCACGAGGAGACCAGTGAAGTTGAAGCCAAGGCTTTTACTGACAAAATGGCCTACTGGCAGATGTCAATTCTGGCATGCTTCAACTCAGACGATGACTACCTTAGGCTGGTGTGGTATCAGCTGTACACTAAACTAGTCGTCGACAAAGCAGCTCTGCGCCACAGTGCCGCCCATTTCATGCGTGTCATCCTTGTCCAGAAGCCAGAGGAGTCGTATCTGCTCCTGCGTTCGAGTCTGCAAACCGACCATCGTGGCCTTGTCAACGATTTCCTGAAGCTCACTGAAGTGGACGACGAAACGTTTGTCGAATGGGTGGATCAGCATCGCCAACTTTTGGACAGCTTGTTCTTCGGCAGCATGGCGAAGACATGGGAGGAATTCGTCACGATCGAGAATACGAAGACTACGGAAACAGCTAAGGTGCGCCTTGCTAAGCGTAAGGATAGGCTCAGGATGTGGCAAGCAGAAAACGAAGCGACCGACAAGATTCTGTTCAACCACCAAATCGGAAATAGCGCATGGATGAAGAGCATCTTCAACTCCGAGCACTTCAAATACCAGCGTCTCGTTCAAGACCAGCAGGACGACTTGGCATACATAATTCCGGTCTGGCGCAAAATGGAAAGGGACTTGAGAAGGCCCGGCGCAGTGTTCAGCGAGGCTCGTCCAACAAGATGGAAGCTCGACCGAACCGAAGGGCGAAACAGGATGAGGCTGAGGCTGCTTCCCGACTACTCCACGAACGAGGACAAGATGCAGCCCAAACGAAAGGGCACAGCTACGCCGCAGCCTGTAACGCAACTCAACACGAGCACCGACCAGGCCGCCTCAGTCGCAGCCTCTTCCAAAAAGAGAACATCACCTAAATCGAAGGCAGCGGACGATGATGCCGGAGAAGAGGTCGAAGATTCAACAGGCACCGGCCTGGTGCCAGAAGACGATTTCGAGATGGTAGACGACCCTAACGACCCCAATGACGAGGACAGCTTTGAGGACAAGAATCGCAAAGTCATGCGTCGGCTCGAGCACGGTGACCAGGTGCAAGCGGCTTACAACGTGTCGCGAATCACCGGTCTCGAGGCATGCGAGGGCATCCTCATCATCGGCAAAGACGCCTTGTACATTATGGACAATGTATTTCAATGTGCCAATGGTGATATCGTGAACGTGTGGCAAGCACCGCCGGAAGAGCGCGACCCCTTTACGCAAGTTGTCACCGGGGCGAAGACCATGGAGAAACGCCAGATTGCTGGCAATCGGGAGCAAGAATCTAGGCACTGGCGTTGGCATGATGTTATCAGCATCTCCAAGCGTCGGTTCCTGTTCCGGGACGTGGCCATTGAGATCTTCTTCACAGACGGCCGTAGCTACCTCCTCACGCAGATCAACCCTACGGTCAGGGACGAGCTGTTTTTGAAGATGATGAACAAGGCTCCTCACACGAGCACGGCTAGCGCGCTTCCTAACCCTGAGGATGCTTGGAGACTTGAAGTCCTCAAAGTTGTGGATGAGTCTCCAGCTGGACTTGGCTCACGGTTGGGCACCCTCTTCAACGCAGCTCCGTGGACACCGATCATGAAGAAATGGCAAAGGGGCGAGGTCTCAAATTTCCATTACCTGATGATGGTGAACACGTTGGCTGGGAGGACCTTCAACGACTTGACGCAGTATCCCGTGTTCCCCTGGATCATTGCAGATTATACGAGCGAGGACCTCGACCTGGAAGACCCAACCACTTTCAGGGATCTTTCCAAGCCGATGGGCGCGCAGACGCAGAGCAGGGTGCCGGGCTTCATCGAGACTTACAGCGCTCTGAAGGACATTGGACAGGAGCCCTTTCATTACGGGACGCATTACTCCTCCGCGATGATCGTATCGTCCTACCTCATCCGCCTGCCGCCATTTGTGCAGTCCTATTTGCTGGTGCAGGGCGACAGCTTCGACCATGCCGACCGATTGTTCCAGTCCATACCAGATGCTTGGGACTCTGCCTCGCGGAAGAACAAGGCTGACGTGCGCGAGCTGACGCCGGAATTCTTCTGTCTGCCTGAGTTTCTCACGAACATAAATGACTACGATTTTGGTCGCCGGCAGAGCACAGGTGCGAAGGTAGACAATGTCGTCTTACCACCGTGGGCCAAGGGCGATCCCAAGATCTTCATCGCCAAGCATCGCGAGGCCCTAGAAAGCCCCTATGTCAGCGAGAATCTGCACCACTGGATCGATCTTGTGTTCGGGTTCAAGCAGCTTGGGGAAGCGGCCGTTGAGAACCTCAACGTGTTCCACCACCTTTCATACTCAGGCTCCAGCGACCTTGATCGCATGACTGATGTGAACGAGCGCGCCATCACAGCGGGTGTTATTCACAACTTTGGCCAAACACCTCACCAAGTGTTTACCAAACCTCATCCAGCACGAGAGAACGTGCGCTGCATGATCCGCAGGTTGGACACCTCGGTATTCTCACTGCGGTGTTTGCCCAACCCTTTGCTAGAGAGCAGGGAAAGAGTCGCTTCATTGACTTATGCTCCTAAGTTGGATCGTCTGCTCTGCGCGTCGCCTTTCCGACTCAACCTTCCCCCGTGGGACAAGTATCTCGAATGGGGCTTTGCCGACAACAGTGTGCGGTTCTTCCACGGAGACAACCGGAAGCTGGCAGGCCTATTTGAGAACCTGCATATTGGACAGATCTCATGTGCCACGTTCGCTGACTCCAAGACACTGATCACCGCAGGCGAAGACTGTGTCATCTCAGTTTATTCGGTGCAGACCACACCCAACAAGCCTGTCGACATCACACCACGCTCGAGTCTATTTGGCCACAAGACGCCTGTTACAATGCTCGCCGTGAGCAAGGTATTCAGCACCTTTGTTTCCGTATCTGCAGATGGCCAAGCCATGCTGTGGGATCTCAATCAGCTTGCCTTCATCCGGAAGCTGCCCTTTGTGCGGGCCGTCGAGGACGCCAAGATCAACAACGTCACTGGCGAAATCATGCTTTGCTCGGGGCCAAATGTCTTGCTGTACACGCTGAATGGATCGTTAATACTGGACATGAACGTGTGCACAGACCCAGAGGACTACGTTCACTCATGTGCCTTTTACGAGGGCGCTGGCAATGAGTGGTTGGAAGACCAACTCGTGTTCACCGGTCACCGCAAAGGCCGAGTCAACATTTGGCGCAAAAGCATCAAAGGCGGCAAATGGACGCTCGAGTTCTTGCGCCGCCTGGATCATGTGGATCCCAAGAGCGACAAAGGGGGCAGCACAGAGGCTGGCATCACTTGTATCAGCCCGATGCCTACGTGTGTTTACACTGGTGACGACGATGGGCGTGTGGTAGGTATCCCTGATCCGAGTATGGAGATCCGAGCTGACGCTAGGCAGTACGAATGGAACTTCGCAGGTCGGGACAGATAGAGCCTCCGCCGATCGAAGAAGAGTCGCATTGCTACCAACCCACCAGCATGACCCGTGCATAGATGGAAAAATCAATATAGAAAGGACAGCGGGCGTTTCGAGGGTTGAACTTGCAATTGGTGGTAGCAGACATTGTCATTTCAGCAAGCCAAGCGTGAATGAACGAAAATACCACATTGTCGAATTGAGTGCCGGCGTCTCCTGCTTCTCAACCTGAAAGAACGCGCTATATGTACAAGTGCCCATTGCCCTCAAGTTCGGTTATTCGTCATCGTAGCCAGTCAGTTGTTTTCGTGGCCCGGATGGGACTGTGGCGCGTTAGCATCATCGCACCTCGTCTCGGCGTGTCGCATTAGATCTTACCGGGGTATGTGTTGGGGATAGCAGGAGGATCGGGGTCGTTGAGGACGTTGTAGCGTAGCGAGCGGATAGGGTAAATCATGACGGGACCAATGCCGCCGATGATGACGGACCAGAAGAGGGCGGGCTTCTCAACGGCTGCCCAGCGGCAGTAGCGGAAGGGTGTAGACCAGAAATGGGGCGCGGACGACATGGTGCTACGATATATGTTAGTGGGCGTGAGCTCAAGGGCGGGGAAGAGGCAATGCGCACACAATTGGAGGTTTGAGGCTGATTGTTGACCTTGCGATGGCGTCTGGCTAGGTTTCGTGGTGTTGAGGTATCCGAAGCCCGGAGCAAGATTATCCGATTCCGATGAGCCCCCACGTCGCAGCTTGCTAGTGCCGCCGCGCCAGCCTGTGTGGGGAGCAAGTTGCAGGGTACCAGCGAGGCTACGTATCCCAAATCTAGGCACGGAAGCTCAGCGCGAGCTCCAATTCCCACTTCACCAACGACTCATCACATACAATCAGCACAATGCGGTCGCTACTAAGCCTCGCCGTGCTGGCGGCTGCGTCGGTGGTGTCGGCTGTAAGCGTCACGGGCAACCGATTGCTTGTTGTGTTGGACGATGTTGCCGAGAAAGAGAGCTACAGCAAGCTCTTTGGAAGTCTGGCTGGTAGTGGTGAGTGCTCACAAGTGTTGTGCCGCCATTCGACGATTGCTTACGGAACTGTGCAGATCGAGGCTTCGATATTACATATGACACACCTCGCAGCGAAGACCTTCAACTGTTCCACTTGGGCGAGCGAACGTACGACCACATCGTTTTCCTGCCTACAAAGGTCAAGGCTCTTGGGCCAAAGTTGACGCCCCAAATCCTCCTCGACTTTGTCAATGCGGCAGGAAATATCATGGTCGCATTGTCTGCGACAGCACCGGCCTCGACATCGACAGTTGCCTTCCTCGCTGAGCTTGGCATCTCACTGCCCCAGGAACGGACTGGACTCGTTGTAGATCACTTCAACTACGATACTGTCTCTGCGAGCGAAAAGCACGATACGCTTGTACTGCACAACTCCAAGCCTGTGAGGGGTGACATGTCGGACGTTTTCTCCCTGCGCGATGATGAGGTTCTAGCCTTGCCACACACAGTTGGGCATACTCTTGGCGCTGGAGAGCTGCTCACTCCTATCCTCCGCGCGCCCTCTACCGCCTACAGCTACAACCCCAAGGAGCAGACCGAAGTTGTAGACCCAGACGACTTGTTTGCTGTAGGACAGCAGCTCGCGCTTGCGTCTGCTTTCCAGGCGCGCAACTCGGCTCGCGTGACGGTTCTCGGGTCCGCTGAGATGCTCCAGGACAAGTGGCTCGACGCCAAGGTTGCCCTTGAGGGAGGCAGCAAGGTCTCTACAAAGAATGCGGCATTCGCCAAGACATTGACTGGATGGACATTTCAAGAGCTGGGCGTGCTCAGGGTCGATGAAATCGAGCACCGTCTCAAGGACAGCAACGAGACCAACCCGGAAATCTACCGCATCAAGAACGAAGTGCACTACCAGATTTCTCTATCAGAATACCGTTGGGATGCCTGGGTGCCCTTCAACGCCAACCCCAATGACCCCCCGCAGCTCGAGGTCAGCATGCTGTCACCCTTCCATCGTCTTAACCTCGCGCAGGAAGAGTACTCTGCGACCGATGGGGCCTGCACCTACAGCACAGATCTCATCTTGCCTGACCAGCACGGCATCTTCAATCTCAGGGTCAACTACAAACGCCCTTTCTACACGTACATTGATGAGAAGCGCACGGTCAGTGTCCGCCACATGGCTCACGATGAGTGGCCAAGGAGCTTTGTCATCTCGGGCGCGTGGCCCTGGATCTCTGGCATTGGTGCGACGGTCAGTGGGTTTGTGATGTTCTGCGCAATTTGGGTGTATAGCAAGCCTGCGCCTCCACTGGTGAAAAAGACGCAATAAGGAAAGATAGGATGGCCCTTTTTTGAGCGGTTCGGGCAAGCTTTAGAGAGGGTTCTGAATGACTGTAACATCATCTGGACAAATTGAGCTTAGGCTGGCCCAGTCGAGGTTTACTATGCTCTACGCGCTCACTCTCATTCTCATCGGCATGGCGCGTCGAGACACCCGCAACTGGCCTCGGATATCGGCACGTGACATGGCGCCATGCGCCGACCTCGCCGATTGTCCGTCCGCCTTAGAAATCGACTTGATGATGAACTGCTATAGAAACGTCTGCCAATTCATTCGATTTTATGTTCTGTATTTTTGTTTCCGAAGCGCCTACAACCATACGCATACCAGTCACTCTCAATAGATACCCATGAGGAGTTCCACGCGGACGCTGCTGCGGCAGCTCAAACCACGAAACAATGCGCTCACATCAGCATTTTCACTCACCACCGCACGATGCATACACTCTCCTCCGCCGCGGAAATCATCTTCCAATCCAGCGATGGCATTTCCCTGCCTAGATGCGCTCGAGTCCAGGTCTCAGACCCTTCTCTCGGACAGGAGCTCACCCTCGGGGCCAGAGCCATCCTACACAGTCGGCGAGACGCAGAAGTATACGTGTGAAGAGCCTCTCCTGCTGGACTGGGGAGGTGTCCTTCCCTCGTTCGACATTGCCTACGAGACATGGGGCACGCTAAACAAGGACAAGTCCAACGTCATTCTATTGCACACCGGCCTGTCAGCCAGCTCCCACGCCCACTCCACCGAAGCAAACCCCAGCCCAGGATGGTGGGAGAAGTTTATAGGCCCAGGAGGACCAGTCGACACGGACAAACACTTTGTCATCTGCACGAATGTCATCGGAGGCTGTTATGGCTCGACGGGACCGGGGAGCGTCGATCCCGCCAACGGAGAGCGCTACGCCACGCGCTTCCCCATCCTCACCATGGACGACATGGTGCGCGCCCAATTTCGCCTCCTCGACCATCTCGGCGTTGAGAAGCTCTACGCCAGCGTGGGTTCTAGCATGGGAGGCATGCAGTCTCTCGCCACCGGCGCGCTGTTCCCCGAGAGAGTCGGCCGGATCGTCAGCATCTCCGGCTGTGCGCGCAGTCACCCCTACTCCATTGCCATGCGCCACACCCAGCGCCAGGTGCTCATGATGGACCCCAACTGGAACCGTGGCTTTTACTATGACAGTCGCGTCCCTCCGCATGCTGGGATGAAGCTGGCTCGCGAGATTGCGACGGTGACGTACCGGTCTGGACCAGAGTGGGAGCAGCGCTTTGGACGACGGAGAGCGGACAGCAGCAAGCCGCCTGCGCTGTGTCCCGACTTCTTGGTCGAGACCTACTTGGATCACGCAGGAGAGAAGTGGTGTCTGACATACGACCCCAATTCACTGCTGTACGTCAGCAAGGCCATGGACTTGTTCGATCTTGGCGTGGAGCACCGAAGAGCCACGCTGAGCCGCAGGCGCGAACGGCAGGAGGCGATGCAAAAGGGCGACTCGGAAGCAGTGGCCGCGCCGGCGGCGTGCACGTTGACGCTACCGGAAACACCGTACGAGGAGCAGCCAGAGTCGCAAGTTGATACTACGGAACCCTCAGTCCCCGGCTCGTCAAGACCTCCAGAGGACCTGGTCCAGGGCTTGAAGCCGCTACGTGACATTCCGACGCTGGTCATGGGCGTGGCAAGCGACATTCTTTTCCCAGCGTGGCAACAGCGCGAGGTCGCTGAAGCCTTGCGTCTCAGTGGGAACCGCAACGTCACACACATGGAGCTGAGCGAGGAGATGAGTCTTTTTGGGCATGACACATTCTTATTGGACCTCAAGCATGTCGGCGGAAATATCAGACTCTTCCTAGGCTAACCCCAGGTACAAGCAGTTGGTGGTCCGATGTAAAATAAAAAGGGAAATTATAGACATGAATGATGGAAATGATGAAACCACTCCTCGCTACCCAAAAACAAGATAAAAACAGGACCGTGCCTGAACGCTAAATGAATCGGGGAGAGAATTCAGAGAATTCCGCCGCGATAGGAGACTTCATGCTCCCGTTGGGTGTGTTCCCTTTGGAGGGAGGCAGCGTGATGGGGGCTGGCCTTGGAGGAGCCTTTGTGGCCTCGACCCGTCGAGGGCTATCGGCGCCCACGCGAACACCGAACTCACTCAATGTAGGCGAGATGAGTGGCCTGGCCACATGTTCTTCTGATGGGGGATCATCAAACGTCTTGGCTAGGTTCTCGCTCAATGATTCTTCAAGGGAGCTGAATGTCGGACTGGGCAACCGGGGGGCTGCCAAGAATGGCGCTCCCCCTTCTTTGGAGGCCCAGGGGCTGATATCACTATCAAGATGCGAAGCCCTCGACAGTGCGGGTGTCAGTGGTGCAGGCATAGCTGAGAGGTGTTTCTCTGCGCGTTCTGCCCAGGCAGGCGTCAAAGTGACACCCTCATCCTCACGCGGAGGTCGAGGTGGTGCTGCCATAGCCGGAACAGGTACTGGCGCTGGCGCAATCGGCGGCGATCCAGGTCCCGGGCGTCTGCCGCGTGGCAAGCCCTTGTTCACGGGGAAGTCGCCCTCAGCGGGCTGTCTGGCTCGCAGAGGACTTTGGGAGCGACCATTCGCATGGAGCGTGGGAGGTGGCGCGTGGTCAAAGAGCTCAGACGTTGGGCTAGCTATAGAGCTGATAGACCCTGGTTTTCGTCCTCGAGGCAGTCCCTGGTGAACCGGGAAATCCCCTTCTATGGCTGCCTTTGATCGAAGCGGGCTTGGTGATCGTCGGTCTGGGTTCAGCTTGGGAGGTGGCGCCTCCTTGACCAGACGTGCCGAGTCGGATGAGTGTACTGAGCAAATGCTGGGCCGAGCAGACATTGGAGGCGGTGCGCGCAAGGCTGTTGGTGTGCTGGGCCCACGTGTGTCGGAATCGCCTCGTGGACGCGCAGGCTTGGTCAGAGACTCAATAGAAGGCGTCAGGGACAAAGTGCTGTCAGATCGTTTAGCTTCATGTGCCGGTGGCTGCGGGAAGATGCTGTCGTTCGATTCGGTCATAGACAGCCCATCGTCTTGATCCACTGCACCCTCAATGGTCATCGCTTCGCTCATCCCACGCTCCCTCGCGTTTTTGCGGTCCAGGGGACGGTCCGCCGGCCTGTCGCTGAAAGGCGAGCTGAGTCTCTGCCTGTCTATCGGGCTCTCAGTTCGGTCGCTGGTATTTGTCGGAGAGATGGGTCGTTCCGTTGGCAAAGGAATAGATGTGTCCACAGCGGGAGCACCAAAGTTGAAGGCAGAAAAGTTGCCTTCAAACCCTTCCGTCTGCCTCCGCTTCTTGATCTCAGCCTTCTCCTCGTCTGTACGGCTCTTGGTAACACGCCGCATAGAGATATTATCATTGCTTTGTTTGGAGATACTGCGTCGACGTGGTGAGTGGAAGGACATGGTATCACGCTTGGCTAAAGCGTTGAGAACGACAGGGCTCTCTAACCCCCCCTCATTGGTCGCCAGCTGCAAATTCGGCTCAGCCGTGTTTACGCGGCGAAGTGCGCTCAGAGCTGTTGGCTTGGCGCCCTTGGGCTCGGTGCTCACGCGACTCAACGGATCTGGATCCTCGCTCTTGATGGACGGCGGGGGTGACGGGTATCCATTGGGCCCAACACTCGCCATACCACGGCTTTTCTCATAACCTTGGGATCCAACGTCAAAGTCGGAGTGACGGGGCGGACGCTTCGCCGTAGGGCCAGCCGATGTATGTGGCCTTTGCGGCGCATCCTTATCACCCTTCCCAAAATGCAAGCCCAGAGGATTCGCCCAATCCTTCTTCATGGAGTTGGCCGTACCTGGGCGCGCGGGCGTACCGGGTACGGAAAAGTCGCCATCCAAGGGCAGCGATATAGGTGGACCAATCGGGCCCGATATCACTGGCCTTTTCCCCTTCAGATTGGAGCTGGACGAAGCCTGTCGCAAACTGGCAGCACTTGGTTGTCTCACAGATGGAGGGGCGAGGTCGACCATGGACGATGTTGCTTGGGCATTAGCAAATGGCGCGCGAAAGAGCATTGTGCTTCGTATCGAATGGCCGGTGCCAGGTCGCGATGACGGACGTTGGGGAGCAGCGATGTCATTGCCAAAAGACTGGTCGGAGCCGAAGCTCTCCTTTTGCCCTTTCTTCCATTTCTTTGCTGACTTTTCGGCCTCTTTTTGCTTGTCCCTACATCATTGTCAGCTATGATCCACTCTGCGCAGGCAATACACACTGTAGCTTCTTCTTGTCGCCCCCGAAACGAAGCCCGAAGAAGGAAACCATTGTGGTGGATCGCGTCCGAGAATTAGGGTATAGGTATGGTTTGATGGTCCACGCGCGAGGCGCCAGCAACGCAGCAAGACTGAAGATTAATACTTTTGAGGACACAAAAACAAGACGCCAAAGATTGCAATTGCGCCCACCCGCACACACGCGAAGAGGCGTTCGCTGTCGCTTTAGCTGCCTCCCACACTCCTGTGAGGAACTCAGGGGTTCGTTCCACGGGTCGGCCTTTGGACGTACGTGGGGCTGGTTGGTGGTGGGTGGAACAGCGGCGGGCGTGCGGGTACCTGCACGGTTGACAGGGTGCAGGACTAACGACAGAGAGAATGAACTGCCGTAGTCGGTGACATTTCCTGTGCTCTTCTCTTGTTCAAGGAACGGACGTGTCGATGAGACACTGCTCGAGGCGCTTGGGAGGGGAAGATACTCGTGCCAGGAAGACTGGAGGTTCTGGCAAGTGATTAATCGAGACCAGACGCGCTGGAGGGAAGGAGCGCTGCTGGCGCAACGAGAAACGCCAAGACGCATGAATCGACATCGCAATTTGGCGCTCGAACCAACTGTTGCTTCACACACACCCGAATGTGGAGCGATCGGCACGGTTTCATGTCACCCAACACACTGAACTCGATTGAAAGGGACATAGCGTTTGTGCGTGGGAGCTTACGTGCAGCAACGAATCGCGCTAATTAGTCTACGGTCGACGGGTTGACGAGACCGACTGAGCCCACTCGTCTGTGATCTCATGGCGCGTTAGCGAGTATGTAGGTGTAAATGAAGTACAGACACGTGACGGCAAAAGTGTTCTACCAAAGGTCCAAAGGTCCATAAGGATCCGGCAGACCGCAATGAGGTCCTGCAGGACGCGGGCGCAACCATTACACATGGTTTTGACTCAGGAGTTGGGACCCCCTTAGACACCTGCCCACGCTCGGTCATGGTTCATGTCTCGCTGCGGCACGTAACCGGCGCATATGCGGCCTAGCTTGGCTTCCACACAGGTCTCGTGCGCAGTAACACTTTGAGGGCAGCACAGCACGTTCCGAATTTGTGTCGCCCATGGAGCTGATGCGGGTGCAACTCTTCCTGCCCGCGCAGTCGCGGCGCCATCGGAGAACTAGTACCGCCGTGGCTACGACAATGTTCAGCAAAGTCGAGGAATCAACTCTTGCGAGCCTCGGCCAGGATGGCGTAAGTTGGTCGGCTCTAATGTATGATCTTGGCGTCCCGTGCATTCGGCTCAACGCCATTGCCAGTCCAGCAACCATATATGAGGTGCCCAAGACAGGCTGGACGAACGTAGAGGGAAGAGGTACAAAATCGTCCGCCATCAAATCTGTTCGAGAAGCTTGCGACGCCTCCTCTCGAGGAGCTCCTCCTGCACCTCTTCCAAGGTCGGTAGCTCCCAGCCTCGTCCGTCGCCTGCATCGCCCGGTAGCGATGTCCAACCTTCCGGGGCGTCTTGCGCACCTGTCTCCAACAGATGCGTGACCATCTGCTTCTCTTTCTCCGCCTCGTACTTGAGCAGGTCGTCATCCTCCTCATCTGGCGCGTAGCCGTAGTATGCCGCGTCGACCAGCCTGCGCAGGTCTTTGCTCTCCTCCAACGGCTTCTCTTTGTGCTTGGACATGGCGGCCTCAAACAGCTCCTTAACCCCAGGGAGCTCGCGGGCTCGACCAAAATATTTGTATCCCTTTCCTCCTCCTGGAATCTCCCTGCCTTCTTCGTCATAGATCTTGCCACCTCCTCGCATGTAGTTCGGCCCTCCTAGATTCCGGATCTGTACCTCCCACATGTGCTTTTCCTTCATCAGCTTGTTGAGCTCGTCGTTGATGTCGCGGATCTGGTAGTCGCTGAGAGACGACTCCTGTATGCGTGACATTTTGCGCGAGATCTCCTTCACCACCTGGCCTCTCCATTTCTCGGCAGCCGGTATTGACTCGACTTCGGTGATCATCTTGGGGCGACGAGTGCGGCCAATGTCAATCACGCCCATGTCGGCCGCTTGCGCTTCGCGGAAGCGAAACAGCATCGACTGCGCTTTCTCTGAGTTACGAGCCTGTCAATTTCATTAGCGGATGAACAGACCTTGAAACAAATAGCACTCACCATGATTTCTGCAGACAGACGACTCTCTGTTTACGAATAGGTATATCTTCTGGCTTTGGGTCGGGTTCGATATGGATGTCGAGTTTTGGTTGCAAGGCGGCTGGATGGACATTGAATTTCAACAACTGTGCACGAGCCACATTACGCCCCGTCATCAGCCACAATACCCTGAGAATACGGGCCACCAACGCGTCTCCAAATCGCGTGGCAATTCTCAGTTCATTCTGACCTCTCCAAGTTACGCCTTGGAGATTTGTCGATTTCAAGAGTATCCGCTCGCTTTCACTACACAATCTGGATGAGTCTAATTTCTGAACGAAATAGAGTCAAGTGACTCTCATGCACTACCTTACGACCTTGCCGCACTCCCTCGATTAGGGTGTTGTCCCTGCCACGAGGTGCTGACGCAACACCGAAAGGTCACGTATGCTGGCTGGAGAAGCTCAAGTGAGATAATTTGGCGTTTGCCAGAGCACAATCAGGACATAGCAAAGTCACCAAGGCGAACTCCGACCGACATACACTCATTGCCACGACTACGACAGACCAGCGCCGACCCTCATTGCAATGATGATAACTGTGCACCATACGCGAACCGGCAACGAGCAAAACCTGCCCGAGCGGCTGGGTCTTGCATGCCCGGATGGTGAGCGTCTTCACACAAAGAACGGAAATCTGAGCAACGTTAGCCTCCTTGCCCTCCAAAATACCTTCTCGTTTCCTTCTTGCTGCGTCTCGACTCGAGCTCGCTGCACTATAGCCATGATGACCGACAACCTTCCCTTTCGAGAAGCATGTCACCTCTCCAGTCGCTCACCCCGACTTCACCGAGGGACGCTAATGAACCAAGTCATATAGTTTTCAATCGGAATGGCTGAGCTCGTCAGGGCGTTGGCAGGCAGGATTGGGGAGGATTTGGAAGGCAAGGCAGACGCATATCAGAACCCGGTGATGACCATGGACCAAAAAGCCAAATTTGCAGGCAGCAGCAGTTGCGATACGTTCCTTCGCGCGTTGTCAGTGAGAACACAAGAGAGCTAATCTGAGGGTTGATACGTCTGCTGGGCAACACGGGGGTATATTGGACTTGCACAGAACAATATTGAATGACAAGTAGTATTTTCCATTGGGAGCAACATCAGGCATCTCACCATGCTCTAAAATTGATTTCTCTACCTGGATGCCGTCGGGGTTAGAATGGGGTCAAATAGCCCCACGTCATGTCGGCGGCGATCCTCACTCCTCAGTCTCGACTCTCATGCTTCACGTGTAAAGGGTGTCGTCACCAGCCACGTTGGACCTTGTTCACGGTAACCTGCAGGCTCCCATCATCACCTGTATCACGAAACCCCTCCTGGCTTAAATCCCACATTTCACCTCATCATCTCGCATCCACTTACTTGCTTGCTGCATGATGTCTTTTCTGATCAACAACTTGATTCAACCTCTTCACAGTCTAGTGTTTGGCGAAGCTATGGCGGCGCCCTCGCCACGCGCTGGCACACGCGATGAGAATGGCCTTTACGAGCCCACACCTACAGACATCCTCGTCGTGCGTGCGATGCTTGTCAAAGCGATGCGACTTCCTCCAGACATTGTCGATGCCGTGTTTGACTTTGCCGAGTACTGGGCTCATTCATCCAACTACATTGACTACATCGAGGAGCACAAAAGTCCACTCAGGATCCTAGGGGGCAGCGCTTCGGAAACCCGTTTCTTGGTATGTCCTCTGTGCTCGAAATCAATGAGTACCTGCTGACCATCAGCTTCGTTCGTTCCCCGTTGGCTTCACATCCCTTGATGACCGGCAAAGCCTCGCGGACACCCTCACCTACGACATGAACGAGGCCACTCCTCAACCCCTGAATCGTGAACATGATCCGCAATTCTTTGAATCCCTTTTGAATCACCCTACGCCCAAGCTTGCACGCCCAGTCCGCAAGGTTGTGTTCACTGTCAAGATGAAGGACCAGGGCTGGGTCGGCGGCCGACAAAATGAGAGAGGGGCCTTCAACGGGTCGTGGACATGGATCGAGGCTGGCCTCGAGCGGTTTGAAAGCGAGCAGGAATGCGACGAGAACTGCGTCGCCGATGCACGGTACAACTCGGCAAGCTCAACAGCGCATGCGCTGCCACTCTGTGCCTTGCGGAGCATCTATCCCGAAGCCAAACCAACACGCGAGGAAGGCAAATTCAACTACCAGCACGAACTCGCCGCAGATCAGGAGAGGGAGATTCAGCGGAACAGACTTGCCACAAGGGAGTGGCTCAACAAGACTATCACCTGGCGCTGGACAGACAGCGTAGACCCTGAATCTGAGTGTGGCGAACAGCTCTTCCAAGAGGGTCGTGGCAGAGGGAGTGCAACGGGCGAGTTCGTGCGAAACCTAAAGCTAGGCGATGTCATTACAATTTGGGGCAAAGCCAGGTTTCGAGGATGGGTTCTCAATCTTGAGAAGGTCAAAGTCGACGTGTACTGGGCCGTTTGAGCAACTGATGAGCCGTTGCTGAGGCCTCTAGGGTAGGGCACAGATTATTAAACTAGTTAGTTATCCGTAGTTAGGTCTGATGCACCCTGCTGTACTTGTCGCGGATTCTCTCTCGAAGCATTGAAACTGTTTTGTCGCAAGTTTCTCCCGCTCTGCTTTTCAACTAGCATGGAGTCGGGTTCAAGTATAATGTCGTGCCACAGCCCCGATCCATTACTCTTCATACGAGCGACACTACGAATGACGTCATCACATCCAGAAGACGATGTCGCGTACTGATCCCCTTCGTCTCGTCAATCCCTCCATCTTCAACAATGAAACTAGCCGGACGCGTCGCTCGCAAACCCATTACTAGAAGTACATTTCTTTCAGGAGTTAGCGCAACTTTGAATCGTTCATTCGTAACAACCACGAGAATCATGGCCCAACGAATGCTCCTAACGCGCTTCGACGTGCCAACAACGGTGCCTGAGGGGTTGGCTAAGGAGCAACTTGACAACTTCAAGCCGTTCAACGTGAGTCACATGGCATATGCAGTAAGAGCCGCCCACTAACTTCTCAGGCATGGGTTGAGAATCTTCAGTGCTCTGTCGCCGATCAGACACATGCATCGCACCCGTTCCACAAGAACCCGTACCACCTGCGCTCGGTCACGATCCAGTCATTCGACATTTTCGGCGGGGGCCGGCTGGGATTTGTGAAGCTGACGGCCGACGTGTCAAACGATGCGGGCGAGACTCTCCCGGCGGCCGCTCTATTGCGAGGTCCAAGCGTCGCGATGCTGGTGATGCTCATCCCTGACGACGTTGCGCCAGATTCAGATGAGCGCTACGTCGTGTTGACTGTGCAGCCTCGCGTGCCGGTCGGGAGCCTGGCTTTCGTTGAGCTGCCTGCAGGGATGGTTGACGACGCAGGGAGCTTCAAAGGCGCCGCTGCCAAAGAGATTGAGGAAGAGCTTGGTCTAGCCATCAAGGAGGAGCAACTCACCTGTCTCAGCGAACTCGCAGCGCCCGCACAGGACGACAAGCTCCCGCCCGCCATGTTTCCCAGTGCAGGTGGCTGCGACGAGCACGTCACAATCTACAGTCACGAGCGGCACATCCCCAGAGAGCAGCTGAAGGAATGGAGCGGGCGGCTGACTGGCTTACGAACAGAAGGCGAGAAGATCACACTCAAAGTGGTACCGATGAAGGATCTCTGGAAAGAAGGGGCACACGATGCCAAGGCGTTGGGGGCCCTGGCGCTGTGGGAAGCTGCACGTCGCGAAAAGTTGATTTGATCTATCGGTCTACTTACAGCTTCAACTGCTGCGCAACGAAAATGCCCTCGGCCAGACTTGCGACCCGTGCGTCAATAGCACACCCCTCGGCCTCCAGCCTCTTGCACTCCTCCCAGAGGTTGTCGAGCGGGGCGGTGAAGACGTCGATAAACTCGCTTTCCTCCAGCTGCGGCTTGGGATCCTTGTTCTCCGGCAGGCTCATGTCAATGGAGACGTGCACCATGCGCAGATTGGTGTTGCAGAAGCCAGCATCGTTGTACATGATGGGGCTCGTCTCGGTGGGCACGCCGACGTAGCCTGTCTCCTCCCGCAGCTCGCGGACTGCAGCTTCCTCGGCCGACTCGCCAGCGTCCACCAGACCAGCGGGGACCTCTATGGTGATCATGTTGACGGGAGGGCGGAACTGTTTCTGGAGCAAGAGCTCGCGCCGGCCCGTTGTTGGGTTTTCGAGGACGGCAAGGATGCCCACGGCATCAACCTCAGTGTTGGCGGACCGAGTGCGACGCTCCGCTGACTCCCACAAGCGCGAGGTTCCTGTGGGGTCTTGGTATGTGATTCTGGCGGTCAGCCCTTGAGCTGCGAGTCGGTATTGGGTGAGTGAGTGGCTTACTTTGTCAACTTGATCCATTTGGCCTCCTCGTCGGGCTGTATTGTCAGCAGGTGTCATCCCAATTCAAAGAGGTACATACCAAGGGCCCTGATGACAACACTTTGGCGTCGGAAAGAGACATTGTGACAATGATAAGGGTGAATTGGAAATGTGATGAGCAATGGGCGGGGCACCGATCCAGTTGGGAGGCTTGGAGTCGGAGCCCGACGAGGGGCGGCGCGTCAGAGACCCATACCAGCCACCCCGCGATTCAGCCACACGAGGAACACGAAAAAGAAAGATAATTACTCAGACAGCACACCGTTTATTGTCCTCCAGCAGCTATCTACATTCTCTGGGGGTTTCCGGGCTCACCACCGTCGACGTTGCAAACGTTTGAGCAGGACCCAGCATCGACCACGTTGTACGCAAGCTCGATCCACTGGATGTGCTGGTAAGCAGCACCGCCAACGGGCATCAGGCCAGTCCAGCCTGGGTCGCCGTTGCTCCAGGCGTTGAAGACGATGCGGCTGGGGTCTTTGGGCACCTGGAAGGTCATGGAGAATGTCTCGTCGCCGTTGAGGTACCATGTTGTACGTCCCGGTGTCCAGTCGAGACGGTGATCAGCCCACTCATCCCAGGGCTCATCGATGATCACCTCGTTGGACGCACCAGGAACGCTCTCAATCTCGCCGTCGTCATTGTACACCCACGAAGGCTGGTTCGTATAACGAATCTTGTTGGTGGGATCGTTGGTCAAGACTTCAATGTCGGTTTCCTGGGCATCTTCGCGGACGTCGTAGTCGTACTCGCGGTAGGTGAACATGGCGGTGCAGGCCCCAGGCGAGCCACGGGTGCGCGCGCGCATGCGCATGGATGCATGGTCGTAGTAATCGTTGGACTCGAACTCGGCGACGGTCTGGAAGCCTGGCTTGCGTGCGGTGCGCATCGTCAGGTACGTGTCGGTCTCGCCCTCTGGGTCGTTCTCAAAGTACAGATTATTGTACGAGTTGGGCATAGGGAACTCCTCTGAGCCGGCCATCCAGTTCATGGGGCTCCAGAACTCGGTGAACTGGTTGCTGGCGTAGTCCAGGTACTCGTTCGTAAAGGGGGCCTGGCCTTGTCCCTCGAGCGTATCTGGGACAGGGGGTGGGCTGGAGGAAGCGTACTGGCTCATGGAACGAAAGTCCCAGAAGCCGTAGTTGCGGAAGTAAGTTGGGTACTGGCCGTCGATGAGGTAGCAGTCGCAATTCTGCGCCGCAGCCGGGGCTGCCATGGCGAGGAGGGAGCCAAGGATGAGATTGGAGACAGACATGCTGGCGGGTGTTGCTGCTCAAGCTTCTCTGACTACCGGTGGCGGACGACGGCTCTCTTTTGTAGTTGTGCGCGGACACGGAGGACCGACTTGCAGTCGGTTTCCTTGAGCTCTCATGCGCCGAGTCATGCCGCGCCTTGTTTTATGCCAAATTGACCATACGTAGCACCGTCGTTGACTGCGTGGGACGTTGAACCAGAGGTATCCCTGATCCTCCTGATGCTAAGATAATCCTACGACCCAATGCAGCTCCACAGTACTAGCGCAAGCGCTCATCTCCAGAGTCGAGGTTCCATGGCTTGTAAGATTAATGCGTTTCATTTATTCCTTCATATTACCGAAAGAACCGCTGTGGTGGCGTGCAATCCCCAAGATCTATAAATAAAACCTTCACAGGAGCTGCAGCGTGCCATTGTCCAGGGTGCTGCATATGGCACGGGTACCTACAGGGCCACATTTGGGAGGTATTTCTCGTTGGAGATATCGCTGAAAGGGTTAAAATACAGCAGCAGGCCACCTTGACTGGAGACTATAGACCGACTATCAAGTGCCTGTATATGGGTTCGGAACCCTGTGGATAGGTATTGCATGGGTCGCCAAACCGCGCGATTCCGGTCAACCACAGCATTCTCGCCACTCGCACGGGACTTCTCTAACTTGTTTAAAAACAAGCAGGATCACATATTCGACCAAGGATTCTGGTCCATAGTAAAGACTACATAGCCTTCATTCATCATGAACAGACTCAAGTGGTGGCCGACATTGACAGCTTCAAGTTGAATGCTAGGTGGGACCGACCCTTGCCGCCTTACCGCTTGGACAAGGCCCCACCCATCCTGTCGCTCCTCAGCCTGACCCCGAATTCTGGATATGCCGTTGCGATCTTTGCTCCATATTTACTTTTCCAGCAGCGACCGCGTGTCGCTTCCATTCAGAAGATGGCCTCAAAACAACCCCCCAAGACGGGCTCACCAGCGATGGCTCAGGTCGAGGTGAAAAAGGAACGCAAGCGCCCTGGCCCCAAGCCACGGCCCTTGTCAGAACAAACATTCAAACTCAAGCCACCAGTCCAGAGACCGACCGCGCATCGCTCTAAGAAACGCAAGATCGAAGTGTTGCTGTACCTCGAGAGAACGCGCGTGCCACGCTGGGATGCGTACAAGGATGGCCCAATAACCGAAGAGACGTGGCGCCGGCCGAGTTTTGGTGAGGCATCTGCCTATTGGAAGATCAGCCGTAGCACCATTGCGACATGGTGGAAGAATAAAGATACCATTCTCGCGGGTCCATAGGGCTGGCTGCCTGGCAGAATACTCGCAATACACGATACCCCCTTCCGCTGCGCTATAGGAAACGAGATGCCCTTCTGATCATGGCAGGCTTCACTTGCGATATATTGGATGCCTAGGGACCAGACGCCTTGCTTGGTTCACATATCCGCCACGGCATTACCAGACTCCGGCGATCGCATTCTGTTCGGCGAATCCGAATAAGCACGGAAGAACAGGTTTCATGAGAGGAATGCCCTTTCTTGGGCGCGTATTAAGATTCGACCCTTGCATGATATTGACCACTAGGGGGAAATTGAAAAGGAAACATTGGTGCCCCGCACGTGACATCGACGCCAGCGCATTGAAGGGGTGACAGCACCCGAGCCATGCCTTGAGAATTTTTTTCACCTCAAGAAGTTCAGCTTCTCATCGTCCATCCTTACAAATCCTTGTTGATCTCCTGCGCTTTCACCGTCCGCGCCTAGTGTTGATGTGACATGGATGTCCCGCGCTTGAGCTACCACGTGCTGTTAGTCGGCGATCGTGGTGTAGGGACACATGAACTGATCCAGCAGGTATGTACGTTGCCCACTACTAGAATGAATTGGGCCCAGTTGACGCGTGTGCTAGTTCTGCACGCCATCGCTTGGATCAAGCGGACCCCACGATGAAGCACCGGAAAAGACCGTGGATCTTGGCAGCACGACGGCCGGCGTGCGGCTCAGCAATCTGAATTGGGACAATGTCAGTCGCGAAACGCTCGCATTTCAGCTGTCAACATGTCAGTGCGTTGTCATGTCGTACAGGACGAGCTCAGATGCCTCGTTCCGATCACTGTTGCCAAGAGCACGTGGGATGATGAAGGCGGGGATGCTGGACGGGCATGGCCTCCTGGTCCTAGGGATACGAGACTTCCATGGCAGCCGACAGGTAATGCCAGAGCTAGGCAGGCAGCTCGCTCGCGAAGTGAGCGCTGAGTTTGCAGAGGTTGACACCCATGATCGCCACGCTATCCAGGCACTGATCATTGACCTTATCCGACGGCTCCATGCGGAAAAGGAAACCAATATGCCAAGGATGTCTCCTGGCTCGAACAAAGAAGCTACGCGAAAACCCAAGCTTGGGCTTTGGGCCAAGGTCAGGCGGACATTGGGTCTTGAGAGTCGGAACCCACGAGGCCTTCTCCGGAAGAGACCACCACCACCAGCTGAGGAGGATGGCGCTGATGGAGAGAAACCACCGAGAAAGCGGGTCAACGTTGGCACGAGGTTGGAAGTGGACCTCGGAGAGGAATTGACAGGAGAGGATGTCTTTCAAGGGACATTGCGAAGGCATCATTGACGAACAGCACTGAGATACCCGGTTTGAAATTTCGATAATACCTATCCCTAAATTTTGGAGTCATTGTCCCCCACGCAAGACGGGTCAGATTGGCCCTGACATGGACACGACGCACTTTCCTGGCTACGGACGATCCGCATCGGAAGTGCCTCACCATCGGCGGTCCCGTCTTGAGCGGAACAGTCCGTCTGCATGCAGCTTTGCCCGTGGGGTTCGTTGCGGGGAAACCTTTTGTCACGATTTCCCCACGTTTGAATGGACGCACAGCACTGCTGTCCCAGTGGAGAACTGGGAGGGAACGCGGAGTCTGCAAAGAACTCACGATGTTCGAGGATCTGACAGCTGTTTAAGAATGAGGCTCCCCCCTGTCTCCAATAGTAAGATCATCCTCTCCAATACGACAATTATGCACGATGTATCCAAAGAAACTCCTTGCCTTGTTGGCAGCTCCCTTCCTGGCTCAAGCGGCCATCCAGCCGGGAGAGCTTGTCACGATCATCAGTGCCGCCGGCAGCACCAACCAAGCTGCCTGGTGGGCACCGCTGGACCAGTACGGCGGCTACGACCGGTTCGCCTATCTTCGCAAGCCGCCAGGCGGATCTACGAGCAACAACAATGTCATGGTGGCGCGCCGCTCCATGTGTGATGGGGCGATATAAGGTGACTGTGTCAAGACGTCCTCGGGCGAATTTGCAGTTTTTGCGGAATACGCCGGTCACAACACGCCCAGCATCGCCGTGGACGGAGATGGCTTCGTTCATGTGTTCACGAGCATGCACAACGAGTAGTGGAATTACTTCCGTTCATCAGCCGCCTACAGCAGCACGTTGGTCGACCAAAGCTCAGAGATGCCCGACCAGACTGCCATCTTCATCTATCCAATGGTCAAGCGCGGCAACAATGGTGACCTGTGATTGATCATCCGAAGGCAGGCCTCTGGTGATACCTCTGCCAAGGGCGGATACTTCTACAGATACTCCACATCCTCCAAGCAGTGGACGCGTGTCAGTATTTGGGCCTATAACAAAGGCTACTCTGTCTATCCAGACGACATCCAGTTCTCTGAGGGCGACATGCATCTGCAGTGGGAGTGGAGCAAGTATCCAGCATCCGCCGTCCGTCACGAGGGCAGCTACCTTCGCTACAGACCGTCTACCGACACCTACCGAACAATCACAGGCGCCACCGTGTCTCTCCCTGTCACGGAATCAACTGCTGATCTCATCTTCCAGCCCCTCACCTCGGGTGCAAGGTACGGAGGGAACATCAACACCTCACCAGGACCGGCATCCCAGAGTGCCAAGCTCGCACTCTATGAGGTCTCGGTCGGCACCGTCCATGTATCAAGTGGCCGTCGATTCAAGAACACGACAGATGGCGCGTGGCAAGTCCGACGAGCCACATCCATCTTTGGCGCAACCAGTCCATGGACCCGCGAGATTATCTACGCCGGCGTGGGGACGACCGCGTCCCTTGGCATCACGCATGACGGCACAACGATTCGGGTCTACTACTTGCGCCAGGGAGACAGTTCGTACGTGCTGGAGAAGACGGGCAACATGGGCTGGACGAACACGGTCCTCGCGCCGGCCCATGGCAAGCGGGTTGAGCGCCTGCACGCTGTTATGCAAGCGGATGGGGTGGATATCCTGTACCTTGGTTCGCCGACGAATGTCAACTCGTCGACGGGGAGTGTGTACCGGTTGGCAGTCGGTGGAAGAGCGTGAGCAATGTTAGCAGAGAGGAGGCGAGGGGTGAGGAAGATAGATTTATTCTCGGATAAGCCTAGAAACCGATCTCACACGTCATTCCCATTATCAAACTCGCCGCGAAAATTCAGAATGCTGCTTGTGAAGGGTCGGGCACAATTCCAGCGGTTGCTGGTTCTCGTGCAGTCACTCAAGGATAGAGCCATGATTCTTAGTGTAATATATGATATCTCGCCCACTTTCTCGCACAAGCGTCCTATTGCAATGGAAAGGCCATTCAGCGGATCCACAGACGGAGCCTCCGTCTCGGGGAAGCTTGATATGAGCTCCCGTCCGTTCCTCGAACCACGATCAACCATGATCGGCGGTTCCGTCTGCGCTCCCCGCTTATCCCCGCATTCTCCCCACATTCTCCGCTTGAAATATCCATGCGGCGACAGGCGGAGTCAGGCGGACATCTTCTCCCGTCTACACGCGGGCGAAACTACCCGACATATCTACAGTCATGGATCGAGACTCTTCAAAGAACACTCGAGCATCATCGTGCCGCCTCTAGCGGCCCTGCCGGGCCGGACCCAGGCAACAGAGGCCATGGTGGGCAACCTACTGCACACTCATCTGCCTCGCAGAGCGCCATCGACTCTCATAGCAGACATTGACGTCCTTCCCATCATGGCATCAACATATTCACCCACGCATGATGTTATCACGCTCTCTACCGTCGCATTGTCTACTGCGAATATGGACTATCCGTCTTTCTTCATTGTATCCCACCTGTCCCAGGTCCCCAACCTGGAGGAGCCAGCGTCTTTTCTTCTAGAAAGATCCCTTGCTGTCGAGTTAATACAGCACTATCAGTTTAATGTCTATTCACGACTGCCCATTTTCCCCATACAAGGATTGTGGGCCCAGTACGAGCAAGTCTACGCACTACCACGCTTCGAAGCAGGGGCACATAACCTGACCCTCCCATCAACCCGGAGGCTGTCGTCTCACCGAGTATTGGGAGCTGCAACATGTCGTCTCATAGCCATGGATACGGTTTCTTCACCGTGATTCACTTACTGGCCATATCCGTGTCCATCCTTTCTCGCAGTGCCGACAGCACGAGCTCCAACCAGGCACCGAAAGCTGTTCCAACCAGCCCTATCATTCCGAGAATTCGCCATCCTTCCAAACTCGATAGTTAGCGTCCAGTCGCTCCTGTTCCTGATTCAGTTTGCCACTTTGAACCCGTCATTGCTGGATGTTTGGTACTTGGTCGGCGTCGGCATGCGCATATGCGTCGACCTGGGTCTCCATCAAGATCCTCGAGACGTCGACAAACTTAGCATGAGCTTGCTCGAGACCCTGAGGCGGCTCTGTTGGAGCAAGGTTTCTTTCGACCATTCCATGAGCATAGGCTGCAGCCGCGTGCAGGAGATCACGGATGCGGTGATCAATGTCGCGCTTCCAACCTTTTCAATCGAGACAACAGTCAACGAAGCTGAGATCCACGGATGCCTCCAGCGTTATCGTATCCTGCAGATTCAATCAGAGACATATGACTATCTAAAGGCCGCGTCGAGCCCAGAGTTCCCAGACCCGGCAACGATTGTCGCATGGCTTGGGCAGAAGCTCTCAGCCCGGCACGGTACGAATTCAGTAGCACTCATCAAACCTTTCTGCGTAGCGAATGGCTCATGGGTCTTCTTCTCCTCCTCCTTCCCTGCCCCTTGCTGCCTCACAAATCAGTCGCTGAAATTGGCGAGCTATGGAAAGGAGCCACTACCTACACCGCTCTATATCGGGAACCGGTTCAGACAAACTCCATTTTCTACGTGCAGATCACCGCCGAAAAGGCCTGCTGGATCAATTTGATAATTTTGCACTGCTATGGCCGATTGCAGGCTAGTGAAGAAGCGCGGCGCATACAAGTTCGTTAGCTGGACCTTGTGGACAACGATCAAGGACAACGATCAAGAACATCTTGTACATCCTGCGGACCTTGAGTGATCTTTGGAGCCGAGGGAAATGGCTCTACGAGGCCTTTGATGATTTGAGTGTACGATTCTTGCACCCGGTCGAGGAAGATGTCAATGGCACGAGCTTCGGTCGTCGTATGCCAGCTGAGCTGCAGAACCTGAGCGGTTACACAAGTCTCACCAGTATCTGGCCAGACTCCCGCGCGTCGTGGGACAATACCCGTGGAGATGGACTGCATTCTGAAGAGCTCGAGCGCTTGGTATCCGGACATGACTTGAGTTGCCTTCATACATGTATACATGATGGTGAAAACTTTTGGCCAAATATTGGGTTGGCGCTCATCAAGAGAACACAATGATATGACTTCAGCCTTTCAATATCGCTTCCTCGCTAACGTTGTCTTTCTCGACAACAGTCGCTGTTGACTCGTTCTTTCCAGTGGCCTGACTGATGCTGGCTGTTGCAGATTCAGTGTTTTCCTTGAATTTGCCTCGACCATCTGGCATGTCTTCCATCGCATAACCGCCGAATTGACTATATCCCGTTCGATGCCCGCGACTGAGCTTCCTGCCGGACACGAGGTAGGGAGTTGCCTGGGACGGCCTCGAACCCAGCGAGTCGAAGAGCTTGGGTATGAATCGCTTCAGGAATTTTCGGAGCGTGGGCATCGAACCGCAGATGATAAAAAGGTTGACTTCGACAAATCTGGTAACTTTGTCAACAGATTCCCCGTCAGGGACTAATCTCAGCACTCACGACCACACGTTGGCTGGGGCAGCGACCCAGGGGATGTCCATAGCTCCTAAAAGCGAAGGCAAATAGACCATGCGGACAATAGACGTCGCAACGGTGCTGCCATGTCAGATTAAACTTCCCCCACAAAAGAGGATGACTTACATGGAACCAATACCAAACATGGCAGCAGCTCCAATCTTCTGCGCCACAGGCATTTTCAACCCCCAAAGCGTGGGAATTGGAATGATAAACAGGACTACATCTGACACAATGTTGACAACTGCAATGGCGATGTAAAGCGCCGCCGTGTCAAGACAGTCCCCACCAGCCATGAGATATGGATCCCACGCTGCGCGAATCGGTCGGCAGGCGAATAGCAGCAGGCCGGCAATGACGATGGTGTACGTCGCAACCATACCGATGGCTACCCAGATGGTGATCCTGAAGTACTTCTGGGGCGATATCTGAAGGTAGAACATGAGTAGGGATGCCTTGCTGAGTCCGTTGCAGGTGATGAAGATGGGAGCGACAATGTACGAGCTCTGCACGCAAAGAGTCAGTCTGATGAGCCATGTCCACGAATGAATCTTGGACGTACTAGCATGTGCTTTTCGAATACTTCAATTGGCATTTCCCACGCATGGTGACAGAGACCCCCGATGGAAATAGACCCTGCGGGAGAAAGGGGATAGTCAGCAACCGCCTCCCTTTACACCAATGCATTGCTCTCACATAGTTGCACGGATTGCATCACCAACGACGCTATCCAAGCCAAAGTGATGAGTCCTGTCCGATGAGCCTGGATTCTCCATCTAGCAGCGGGGAGCGTGATCTATCGTCATACCATCGTCGATTTGGAGGCCAGTCAAAATGAAGTGTTTCGTGTACAATCGTTGGCAGAGGCAGAACAGGGCGAGTGACCCCAGCACAGCCGTGATCGCAAAGTGATCGTACTTGTTCTGGCTTTCGGGGTTCTCAAAGTCGACGTCGTGGCCTGCCGGGTCGAGAAAGGTTGTGATGCCATCCGTGACTGGGAAACCCGACATGGCTGGCACGTCACAGGACGGTGAAAGGCTGCAGAATCGCGAGTCGGATCACGGGAGGGTTGCCATTTGGAAGGTTCGATGCCAGATGGCGGTCAGTGCAGGAATAATATTGAAAGGTCTTGCATGTGTACTTTGTAATATTCCGGCCCCCCTCCAGCAGCTTGTGCACCTGGCAGAGGCGGCTGATGGGCGCCCATGTCGTGTTGGTTCTAATCAGGGACCAGCTGAAGATTCCATTGCGGAACAGGCGACGATCCCTTCTCATTTCAGCAAATAAAACAACACTAAAAATCAAGGATGTCGACTTGCAGATTGCAGTTCCAGCATGATGATCAGTCAATCCCCTACAGCTGACTGTAGCCCAGCGGTTCATCAGCTGATCAGCAGGACTGTGGCGCCATGGCAGAACAGCTCTCACCGTCTCCTAACTCTTGTGAAGCACCAGTCCAAACATGCATGAAGTGAGAGCTGTGCGAGAACCATGCGTCTGGCGGCCCGTGCTCTGACTCGTTCGATATACTTGGTACGTAAACCCTCCGGCCTGTGGAGGCCGGACCTGGTCTAAGACTCTAAAATAGGAAGGCAGAAGATTTGTAATTTACGCCTTCAGCTTCGAATGCGCCATACACGTCGAGAGAAGCTTGACATGTTTGTCGGAGACGCTGGATCTGCAACTAAGCTGTTGGCGCTAAACAATATATATGACCGGGGGCAGCGTGGGGGCTGGAGCCTGTGCGTGCCGTGTCCGGTGCCCCGGCCGAATAGAAGAAAGGAAAACGACCGGGGGCGGAGAAGAGCTGCATACGGTGATTTGCGGATATATACCCATGGTTCTGCATGTGTACGAGAAAGGACAAGCCACTTCAACTTGTTGCGTTGGTTGGCTGGACATCCCGTTTCCAGCATCCTGATGAGTGATCAAGCTAATGCGCTCCATTGAGGTCAACCTGTCTCAGCTCGAGCCTTCAGCAACGTGACCACAGACGAGCACAGATATTTGTGGTAGCGTCGATTATGCCTAGTGACAATCACTCAGAGACACGGACGTCTTAGTGACCTCTATGTTGATGACATGCCCAATCCCTTTGTGCAGCCGTGCTTGACTATCGCAGCATGCTGGCTCTGCTGCCGGACCGGGATGATACATTAGGTACCTGCATGCAAGCATGCATTATGAGAAGCCTCGTGGGCAGTGGGCACTCCAGGCGAGGCACTTTCATGGCTGCATGGACCAGCAATGTCTGCATCGAATTGCCATGCAGCCGAGGAATGGACTTGTAGTCTTAAACAGACCAGATCCGTGCCGCACAAGTGGTCCGTTCCCCTTTGCTGATCACTTCTTCTGCAAGACACCTCGAACTTGCACATCTTTGGTCTCATTCGCACGGCCCTTATTCGTGCAAGCAGCGCCTCAGAGTCACATCACTAGCCATGCACGTCCTTCAAACCACGTTGGCTGTAGCCGCTTGCCTGCTGGGCACGGCCCAGGCCTCCGCCTGCCACTCGAACACCGGCTTGACCCAAATGGTCACCTATGTCAAGAGGCATCCTGACTTTACACGCCAAGAGTTTTGGACGTACTGGCAAGAACAGCATGCCCCCAAGGTCGCCCCTCTTGCCACATATTTCAACATCAGCAGATACCAGCAAGTAAGTTGAAGCCCGGACACTCCTATTGCTTCTTGAGGGCCACCCTAACATGCAATTCAACAGATCCAGGTTGGCGGCCAGATCCTCCCTACCGAGGGAGGGGCTTCAGCCCCGGCATCCGATGAGCTGGTTGACTTCGACGGCATCGCCATGTTTCTCTATGAATCCCCCGAGGTCCTGACAGCCATGCTGTCACATCCATACTACCTCGATGTTGTCGAGCCTGACGAGCACGTCTTTATCGACAAGGACGCTTTCGGTCTCGGGATGGTTGCCACTTTCATTGGCACCAACGTTGAGGTCGTGGACCGGGCCAGGGACGTCTGGATTGGAGATGAGGATACGCACGAGCAGTACCAAGAGATATTTGAGGCCTACCTCGATTAGGCACACGGGATTGCCAGAGGTGTGGTTGAGATTATGCAGGAGTGTCGTGGGCATGGTCCAGAGCCCTATTGAGACGTCTGGTCCCTCACTTTATGTTTTGCACGAACCACCGCATATAGAGATGGTAGACTCGGATCAAAAACGTGGTCCCATATTGCACAACCTGAAGCCGCACAACATCAGGGAGACTGTGGTCTATGCCTAGAGGCTATGTATGTCTTTGAGTAGTGTGACAGTCCCACAATTCGCTTGAATTGCCGACGAACTTGGTCGGTTTGAGTATTATCACAGTTTTTGGGTTGATTCGAAAGGCGGATCACGATATAAGAGGCCACTCGCATTTCAAAACGTGGGTTGACTCAGCACCCGAGAAGTCTTTCTTTACGATTCTGTGACTGACTGCAGTAACGTCATTTGAATTTGTTGCGCTGTGGTGTGCAGTATGAATGCGTATATTATTCTTGTTTGCAATAATTCGCACTCATCTGTCAGGGAAAAGCTGTATGTTTGTCGACAAGGCTACCTCTGACTGCCGCTTCCCCTCTTACCCAACGGCATCGATTCCGAGTCTGTTGTTAGTACAGGACTCTTTTCCATGGGTATCTCCGAGGTTTAACGGGAAATTCCAGAAGAATCCGGCCTTTTTCTTTTGAATCCTGCTGCAGTCGGTTTGCTTCACTCACTGGTGAGGGGTTAAGCAAACGAGTTAATGTAGCTCCACCAACCAAACGTGCAAAAACCAGTCCTATCATGCTTCAAGAAACCAAAAACATCTTTTTCTAAAAGTCGGAAATCCCGGTGAGTCCTTGCTATACATTACTCTCCCACTCATCACCGGCTCCAGCGATGCTGTATATACCAAGGAAATCTGCCACAGGGTAGGCGTGAGTCATGAGCGAACGCCGACCTTGAGCACGCGAACAGGTCCATGATGACATCTTCAACAAGGTAGCTTCATTCTCCGCACAGATGTGATTGCGCCGGATTGGGACGTGGCATGCAGGAAGAGCATGCAGGATGGGCGGCGTAGCACAGCGACACTGTGTTACCTTCGCTGCTCAATCGACTGGACCGAGGGGTGCAACGCACCATCATCACAGCCCAAAGGTAGAGACGATAAGACTATTCGCAAGGCACTACCGGGTGAGACGGAGGATATCTTTCTCAGTGGCTTCTCGAGCATGTAAGAGAGTCCATGCCGCTGGTTCGTGGCTTTTGTGCAGACGCATGCATGCATATGAAGTTCGCAGGACACTCACAGGAGTGCTCTGTGATATCCATCCATCCATATTATCATACATGAACTATTGTGACATACGGGAAACGGCCGATCCTTTTCCTTCCGGAAGGCACCTTGAAGATGTCGTTGGGTCACACCTTGGGTTGCCAGCACGCCGCCCCTTATCCAGAGCGCAAGCTCCTGAGGACCAGCAACACAAGCTCACATTCTCCGTCAACACTACGGAGTATGTCGAAGATAGTTATCGTCAAACCGAATCCGACTTGAACGACTCGAGTGGGGTGCAATTCTGGCCTGGACTGTCCGAGAAGGAAGGAAAAAGAGACATCCCGATTCCCCAGCCTGCAGATGAAAAGGAGGTGCCGCCAGCACATCGACCGAAATTTGGACCCCCACAAGATGGAGAGCCAAGAAATGACGTGAAGGCACCTAGCGCCGTAGTGTGACGAGACAGAAGAATCTGTGATGTGCTCCCGGCGAGCGGTTGTTAGACGCCAGTATCGTCTTCCCAATGCGCATCATTGAGAGGAACAAAATTAGAGCGCGATCACGCGAGCGCTGACCTTCGTCGCGCTGGCGAAGGTACAGAACAGCTCACAGTGCCCATGCGCGACAACGTCTGCCGCAGCGCCTCAAGCGCGGAGGGTCGGGGCTGTTCGGGAAAATGGACCACCCGTAGTACAGTGCGAAATGACTCTGGATTCTTGGCATCCCACATTTGGGACTGGTCCGAATGGGAATCGCACTGTCCTGTCCACGGCACCTGGACCCGGAGCACACAGTGCCAATATCATCCCCTATCATCATCGCGCCTGCCACAACTGGGGACATCGTCGGAGTAATAGATCGCTCATCCTGCTCGTTCTCCTCTTCTCCTCGTTCTGCTTCTGCTCCGATCACATTCAACGACTCAACCTCTCCGTGCGGACTTGGTCTGAGAAGGCATTTTACTTTCTGCACGCATAGCACTTGTTGTTGCTGTCAGACCGCCGTCCACCACAGAGTTCGGCCGAGCGAGGGAAATCAGCGAGCTGTTCGAACGGACAGCGAAGACCCAGGAACGAAATTCGATTTTCGCGAGTCGCGTCGACCTCTTGCGCGGTCCAATTTCTTTTCGTCTGAAGAAAGGAATAATCTCGGCTCCAGCAGTATCACCAAGACTCCCTTTGAGTCGATCGCGATCTGCCGTCCTCGACTGGTATGTCCTGACCTCGATGTTGCTGGAGGGTTTGGCGCGGGATTTGCGACACACCAGCTGGACCCCTCGAAAAGTCTTGACGTCGTGTGTTGGCCCGGGGCCGCGCCGGCCGTGTCTCACCCTCGCACCACCGCAACAAACTTATCTACCATCCTCGAAATCATGCTAACGGCGTCTCGCAGCGTTCCGTGCATCCCCCCCGAGCAGACATGTCCTACTACGACAGTCCCCAATGGGCCGGCCCCAACAGCCAGCAGGGTAGCAGCAACTGGGAACCCCAGGGTGCCACGACACCCACGCGCGCAGGTACGCACGATGCACCCGTCCGCGGCAGACTCGAACGAAGCGCTGACCAGGCAGGCGCCAGTGCTCCCCAGCCTCAAGACGACTACGCCTTTTCGTACCAGTTTGATGGTAAGAGCGCGCACAGCCCTTGTGTTCCCCCAATCAATGCGCTAATGAGACCAGAGGTTGACCGGGCCTACGAAAACCTCCAAAAGTCCGGCAAGGGCTTCATGGCTGGTGGCCGCCGCAAGTTCTCGCCGATGCACCACGGACCCGGTTCGGCTCGAAGCACGCCCGACTTCGGTAAGCAGCAGCACCGCAGCAGATATTCGAGAGGAGGGATGACTGATGGGCGGTTTGCCGGATAGAAGGACGCATGTCATCGCATGGACCTAGCTCGCGCCCGCACTCGAACCACTTTGACGGTCCGCCTGGCCCACCCGGCCGTGACCTGAACAACTTTTACGCGTCGCAGCGTCACCAGCCCTCGCGTGGCTCGAACGAGGCAGAACAGGTCATGCAGGCGAAGCGTAGGATGGCGGCGCAGCGTGAGCGTGAGCTGCGCAACCTGCACACGGAGCAGCAGTACCAACGAAGTAGGCCACCCTCTGCAGTATAAGCAAGTCGAGACATGAAAAGAAAAAGAAAGAAATTGAAACAAAGAAGCCACCCCCCTCCGAGAGCCGAATGAGGGGGATGGGCAACCCGGCTTCTATCCCTTGCGTGTTGCACTCTCGTTGACAGTGGGCTAACGGTTTGTCTCTGTAGATGCAATAACAGATGCCTCGCCGGCTCCTAGTGCCAGTGTAGGCAACAGCAACAACAACAACAACAACAATAGCAGCAGCAGCAGCGGCGGTAACAACACCAACACCAATAACAACAACGCCAACCAGCAGCCGCAGCAGAAGCAAATGTCGGAGGAGGAGACCCGTGAGCTGATAGCTCGCCAGCGCAGCGCACTATACGGCGAAGGACCATTTGCCGACAAGAGCACATATGTCGACGAGAACGGACAGATCCGCACAGGTGCTCCCGGCCCTAGCGGACCCGGCAGCCTGCGCGGCGCCTCCCCCTTTGACAACAACGGCCGCATCGGCGACATTGGCACGCCCGGGTCCGGGGCTGATCCCAAGTCGGCAGCGGCTGACCCAAGCCCCCGTCCTTCCGGCACCGCCAGTCCAAACGCCCCCGGCCCTACCAACAGGGTCTTTGACAATGCTGTCGGCCCTCATAGCCGCACCAGCACTTCGAGCCCAACTGGTGCCTCGCCGTCTCATGACCTTGCACCTGGCTCGAAGCCTGCTGTGGCGCCCATAGGAACTCGCCCCTCTGGCACACCGACGAATGCGCAGGGCAACCAGAACGCGCAAAACAACCGCTCCACCACTCCCATGGGCTCCTCTGGCGGATGGGGACGTGGCGGCGGCAGTGTCTGGGGGCAGTCCGGCCTGGGCACCCAGGCGAGCGTATGGGGCTAGGATCAACGATGACATGCGGCGCACGCTATATTTGACATGTTTACTTGGGTGGTAAAGATTGAAACACTTGGGGATCACAGGATGGCCTGGCGCACAGGATTTTGCTGTGGAATTTGTTACTCATGTTTGGCTTTGATCTGGACGGCATGGATGGCGATAATGCAGCATTTGGAGAAGGCAACAAACGACAGGCGGAGGGCAAACAGACAAGGACAAAAAACACGGGACTGGCCGGGATGGGTCGGCTAGGGAGGAATGTGCGTTGCTTGAATGTTCGGCTGGGCTTTGAGGTGCTCTCTCTTGCATTGTTGGTATGCTTCTTCCCGCGGGGATCGGCTGTTTGATTTGCTTTTTTGTCGCTTTGGACGCGCTGGCTGCAGGAATCTCTCGACTTTTACGGGCTTGGCAGGTACGGAGGCGCACGACATTCACTCTTTATCATTAATATCAGATTGCTTTGGACGGGAGGTTTGGACTATGTCGCCATCCGTGAATTTGTTGCACGCTCAGCCGCATTGTCTGGCCAGGAATCCTGGCAGCCCCTGGGGTCTTTGGTCCGAGAAGAGAAGTCTGGACTGAGTCTGACGGCCATCCCAATATGGAAGATGCCGAACCATCATCCTGCGACCTGAAATTGGAGGCTGAAGCGCATTTCGGTTGGTCGAGGAGGCAGCTGGAAGCCCCTGACGAGACATTGTGGATTGAAGGATTGCCGCTAGTAACTACAGCCTGATTGATACTTGGCACTCGATCAATGGAGCGCAATAAAGTCGCCGCAGGGAAATCACAAAAAGCAGGTTATTCTTCCAAGAGAAGTGGCCGCAACGACCGACATTCATTCTGTACGCACAACTACTCGCAGTCAATACGCACCCACGCTCGTTCAGACATCAATCACACTCGTTTCCCGAAAAGCAAAAATGAAGTACGCCACTGCCGCCCTGGCGCTCGCCGCCTCCGTCTACGCCAAGACCGACCTCGACGGCTGCACCTCCTTCACCAGCTGGGTGACGGTGCGTCCTGAGCCCGGCTACGGCAACACCTACCAGAGCATCGTCTGGTATGTCCCCGACTCGCTCGAGATCTGCCAGGGCGTCGACTGCGGCGGCGGTCGCGCGCCTCCCAAGAAAGTCCCCGGCTGCCCCCTGTACGAGGGCACCGAGACCGTGACGCCCAGCTTCCTCGCGTCCGACCCGATGAAGACGGAGGAGCCCGAGACCGAGGCCACGGCCACGGCGCCCGAGGCGAGCAGCACGGTCATTGTCGAGGAGACGGTCATCGTCGAGGAGGAGACCAGGAGCGTGGCCACGGCTACCGCGCCCGACCCCAGCAGCGCCAGCGTCACCTCGGCCATGGTCACTGTCACCACCACCTCGGCTGTCGTCTCTACCGTCACCGAGACGCCTGCAACCACCGCGGCTCCTGGTGGGGATGATGAGGAGGATGGTGGCGCGGAGGAGACCAGGACCGACACCCCTGGTGCAGCTATGCCCACTGCCATGGTTGGCTTGAATATGCTCGCTGGTGCCGCTGCCGCTGCTTTCCTGCTGTAAGGTTTGCATAGAGCACCAGAAGAAGAGCCCCAAATTAAAGGGGAGTGATGGCGTGTTGAATCCGGCGAGGCACCTTGTACTGGATGGTCGATATGACCAGTGGCATATATTGAATATACAAACAATAACAGAAAATATCTTGAATGCGCCTCAATTGTATAATTTGCGAAAAGCTTTTTGTCACTAAGTGACTGATGAATGAATAATACCACTGACCAAAGCCAATATCCCAGACTTTTCGCAGCCGCAGACAATTGTCATACACTATGCAGCTATGAAGACCCATTTGTCACAGCGACGGGCACATGTGAATGCTCACAGCCACCCATGAGGTCTTTAATCTCCTGAACCGTCGCGGTGGTACCATTCTTCAACGACCCATTCGTTTTAACGAAGCCGTTTTTGGCCATGATCTCCTCGACTGGACGTCCTTGCACATTGTAACCCGTGTCGCTACCATCGACATAGGCCTCGATACCCTCACCGGCGCGAGGATACTCTTTGACAATACGCTTGTGCACCTCAAGCGCAGCCGCCATCTCCTCGTGCTCCACATCGTTGAGGAAGACACACTTGCCCATGGGCGAGACGGGGACAGCAGCGCGAAGCTTGCCGTCGCGGGTCTTGAGGATGGCCTGCGTCGCCTTCTCGAGGCAGTCACTGTCGAACTGGGAATGGTCCATAGACAGACCGGCGCGCGAGAAGAGAGAGAGCACGCGGCGGTGATCAGGCGTCGAGAGAAGACCGCGGATGTGGGAGAGGGTAGCGGAGTAGGCCATGTCGATGGAGATGGCGTGGCCGTGACGCAGGGGCGGGTCAGGCACCAGCTCGTGCAGGGGAGACCACCTACAATTCGGTCAGCTCTCATGTTCCGGGATAAAAGTTCAGAGTACTCACGTGTGGCCGTAGGCAATGACGCGGTCAAGCATAATCTCATGCAGGTTGGGCGTCTCTAGCTTGAGCATCTCGTGTATTCCCGCGCGGCAGATCTTGTCGGCCGCCACCTTAATCTCCTCATTGGCATCGTCTGTGCGTCCGAAGCCTGTAGAGATGAGATCCTCGCAATAACGGTCCAGCAGGTCAAAAGTCTCGCCGTGAGCGCAGGACGAGATCTTGATGAGCTCCGCGAAGCCGTTGCGGATCTGCGCCGTAGGAAGGGTACGCAGGAATGTGAAGTCGAGGAAGGTCTTCATGGGGGCATGGTAGGCGCCCAGACGGTTCTTGTAGCGACCGTAGTTGACGGCCACCTTGATGGAGACGGACGCGTCAATGAGACCGATGACGGTGGTGGGGATGCGGATGTAGTTGGTGTTGCGACGGTACGAAGCGCAAGCGAAGCTGGGGAGAGCATCAGAACAGCATGAACACTGGGAAAGAGTAAGAGACGTACCCGGCCACATCTGTGACGAGACCACCGCCAACGACGAGGACAGGCTCCTTGCGGTACACGCCAAAGTCGTTCATAGAGTCGACGATGCCGAGGAGCGTGTCCATGCCCTTGGCCTTTTCACCAATCTGGGTCTGGTGGACGACCAAATGGATGCCGTGGTGGTCAAAGTAGCGCTGCAGGGCAGGGCCGTACAGCCCGTACATGTTCATGTCCATGACGGCCAGGCAGCGCTTCCAGCGAGAGTAGCACTCTGCGAGCTGGGCATTGGCCGGGTCCAGGACATTGTCAAGGAACTCAAAGTCGTACTCGATCTTCTCGTAGCCTGTGACGCTGAAGCCCTCGGTGGTGGGCTCCACGGTAGCCTTCATGTCAGACATGATGAATGACGGAGGGGTTGAATTGGTGTGAGCGGCCAAGGAAAGGACCGGCTCGATGTCTTCTGGAAAGAGGATCAGGGGATTGTTGAAAGGAGGTGGAGGAGGATGTTGAACGAGGAATGGTGCAGAAGGAAAGAGAATGTAGATGGGGATGCCATGTACTTGGGTTTTTATATCCTCTCCCAGGCTGCTCGCGGTGGTGGAAACAGGTACATGAGATGATGGACAGATCTGTCGTCCGTCGTCCTTCGTCCATCTAGACTTTCACGTTCCACATTGCCGCGATCGGACCGTGGGGTCCTCGAGTGCGGTGTAGAACACCAAAAGTACAACGGACATGTGTACGCCGCCGATGCTGCTGGCGTCAACAAGTCCCGGATACGTCGGGAAGTACGGGTCGTGGAGGTGCGGCCCTGCATTGCTAGACGAGATCGAGCGAAGTGTACGATGCTGCCTGCGGTACGGTGCACTTTTGCTAAGGCGGGCAGCGGCCGCATTCCAGTGCGGTAGTCTGTACAGTGGGTGGGAAAAGCATGGCATTCTCAGAAAGTCGATGATGCTCACGACAATGCGTGTTCCATGCCCCTGGTCCGCTCGCCAACATCAGTAGCGGGCTTGACAACTCCACCAGCAGCCTCAGACATTGTACACGGTAACACGGGCGATGCTGCCGGTCCCCCTCATCAACCCACTTCTGTGCCTGTTTCGTGGGCTGCGTGCAGGTCAAAAAGCAAAGGTCAAAGAGTGATGATGCCGAGAGTCGGAGCCAACAATCTCGAGTGGGTGGCAGACCCTCGATCTTTCGACACTTGAGACGGTCCATTGAAGGCCTTGCAGCACGCCTCGCTAGACAGGACGGCCATCCATCAATCAGATCCATAGACAGGGACTCGTGGTGGCTACAGCTTCAACAAGCTCGCCAGCTACTGCTCTTGTGTGGGGGGGGTCTCGTCGTCGAAAGTTCGGCATCTCTGGGAAGGTGTCGTGGGGATCCAAAGCCGCCATGGTCCTGCCCTGCATGCCATCTCCATGAACATGAGGGCTGCGAGTCTGCGACCCTCATCGATCTCTGTTTTGCTCCGCCAAAGCGTAGTCGATGTGGAGAAGGCGCAAAAGGTTCGGATGGATCGACCCCTGGATCTGAACTCTAAAGCGCCTAGTGCCGTTGAGATCAGATCGGGAAATCAATCACAGATCTCATGCTAGCACTGTTAGATCTGGTATGAAACCTGCTTGGCGTTGTGGATGTGGGAAGGTACACAGTCAATGACGGCTCGAGGTGTCGACGCGATGTTCATCATGTGCGCGTCATGGGAGTTGCAATGGCGCGAAAGCAGGTGACTGCGTGGCGAGAGGACCCCGCAAACGGCCTGTATGAACGGGACGGGTATGCAGGATGCGATCAATGTAGCATATGAATGGGCGGGTCGGAGCTATGCTGCGCATCTAAGACACGGCACAGCTAGGCCAGGAGCAGCTGCTCCTGGTGGTGATGGAGGGGGCGAGGTCCGAGAGGGAGAGGGAGGGGAAAGCTTGAGCTCGGGAGCTTGGCTGATAGCTAGCAGCACGTAGCTGATTTGCGAGCAGGAGAAAAAAAAAAAAGAAAGAAAAAAAAAAAAGCGATAGGCTCACTTCCCAAGATCGTCACAGCCAGAAGATTCAATGTCAAGTGACAGTCCAGACGCAATGACCAACTTTGACGATAGCAAGGCGTACGCCGCCCAGGAAGAGGTCTTCTTCGACGACGGTCGTGAGATTGAGCTGCTGCACTTTGTGTACAGCAGACCCAACATTGACGAGATACGGGGGTCGCCTGAAAAGGTCCTTGCTGCCATTGACGAGTATGGACGGACAAGGAAGTATCTCATGAACGTTGGCGAGGACAAGGGCCGGATTGTGACGGATCTGATCAAAGAGGTGAAACCAAAGATCATGGTAAGACTCTGCTCACCAAGACAGGGACATTGGCTGACGAGAGCAGATCGAGCTGGGAGGCTACGTTGGCTACTCTGCCGTCCTCTTTGGCGCGGCGGTGCGTGATGCTGGTGGGAAGACGTACTACTCCCTCGAGCGCAACCCCGAGTTCGCCGCCGTCATCTTGTCCCTCGTCGACCTCGCCGGACTCAGCGACGTGGTCAAGGTCGTCGTCGGGTCGAGCGACCAAGGCATCCGCCGCCTCGCGCAGCAGGGCCTCGACAAGGTCGACCTCATGTTCATCGACCACTACAAGCCCGCCTACCTGCCGGACCTCAAGCTGTGCGAGGAGCTGGGCATCATCCAGCAGGGCACCGTGCTCGCGGCGGACAATGTCATCAAGCCAGGCAACCCGCCCTACCTGGAGTACGTGCGCAGTCCTGTCGAGAAGAAGAAGCAGGAGTTCTTGGCGTCGACCTCGTCCAGCGGGCTGGGCACGGAGGACTTTGACGATCGGTACTCGCAGCAGTACGAGAAGACGCATGGGGCCGAGAGGCTGGACACGATGATCAAGGGCGACCCGAGGCTGGTGTACAGCAGCGAGCTGATCAAGAGCTTTGAGCCGACGGGCGTGCCGGTGAGTACAAGGGTCTTGGGGATTGACATTTGGTGGCTAACACGATACAGGATGGCATTGAAGTGACGAGATGCAAGGGCAAGGAGGGTTAACAGACTTGAATGCATAGTCAGATAGAGGCGCTGCTCTTTTTTTGTTCCCTTTTTTCTTTTGAGAAACTGTTCTTGATGAAATGAAGAGACGTATATGGGCCATGTCTCAAGCTTCCCATCATTCCGCACAGGCTACGGTATAGCATAAGCTAACGCAGAGCCGACGACATGGGCAAGTCCAGAATCCCATGCGACAGACAACATGGTAATCTGCCCACGGTGTGAACTGTCCGGCCATTCTCGCCTCGTAAAAAGCCGCAATTCCATAAGTACTACGTAAACAAGCAGAAGACGGAAAAGAAAGGTAATAATCGAGACCTAATGATGACGTCTTTAACTTTTTTTGGCGCGGCACGATCAACATGAATCTTCCCGACGCGGCGACAGCGGATGCTCAGCGTCAATGCGCCCTCCATCACCATCACCTTGCCAGCTAACCGCCATCCTCTACCCTCATTTTTCCCGTTGCAGACATCAGTATTGGATTGGTCTCGCCATCCCTACCAAGATGCTCGACTTTTGGCGCCACAGGATCAAGAACCTGGCTCTCCTGGTCCTCAGCCTCGTCTTCCTGCCCATCGACACCCTCGTCATCTTATGCATTGATGTCTACTCCCGCCTCCTCGGCAGGAAGCCATCCCACAATGGCGCCCGCGGCAAAAAGACCGTCCTGGTGACCGGCGTCAGCATGGCCAAGGGTCTCGCGCTCGCCAGGCACTTCCGTCGCGCAGGCCACCGGGTCATTGGCGCCGACTTTCACGCCCTGTCGCAGGGCCGCGTCTCGTCCGCCATTGACAAGTTCTACGCTCTGCCGTGGCCAGCAGCGGAGGAAATGCCCGACGACGAGGACATTGAGGATGACGGGTATGCCCTGGCGCTGCTCAAGATTGTGCGCGAGAACAAGGTCGACATTTGGGTGTCCAACTCGGACGTCAGCGCGGCGATCCAGGATGGTCTGGCCAGGGACATGATTGAATCGCAGACGAGTGCCAAGGCCATCCAGCTCAGCGCCCGGCACGTTCGTCTGCTGCACGAAAAGGACTCGTTCATGACGCTCTGCCACAAGCTGGGCCTGCCCATTCCCGACACGCAGATCGTCTCGAGCCGGTCGGATATCATTGAGTTCTTTGCCAACCGAGGCGGCCTCAAGCTCACGCCGGACGCCTCGACGCGCTATCTCATCAAACCCATCGGCGTCAACGACATTGCGCGCTTCGACATGCCGCTTCTGCCTCTGGAATCGGAGGAGGAGACGCTGCGCAGACTGGACAGCATCCCGCTTGGCAGCGGCAAGTTTATCGTGCAAGAGTTCATCCAGGGCTTCGAGTTTTGCACGCACGCCCTCGTCGTCCGTGGCAAGGTGCGCGCCTTCGTGTCGTGCCCCTCATCCGAGCTCCTGATGCATTACAAGGCTATGGACCCCGACACGCCCCTGAGCAACGCCATGCTGGAGTTCACCGAGAAGCTGGCCGCCTCGCTCGGCGAGACGTTCACCGGCCATGCCAGTTTCGACTTTCTGGTCAAGGCCGGCGAGGACAAGGGCGAGGTCGTCGTCTACCCCATTGAATGCAACCCCCGCGTGCACACGGCCGTCGTCCTCTTCAACGACACGCCCGAGCTCGTGGCCGAGTACCTCTCCGTCCTCCACGACACGCCGAGCAGGGGACCGCCCATTGTACCACGCCACCCGCACAAGTACTACTGGCTCGGCCAGGAGACCGTCGAGCGCCTCCTGTACCCCCTGTACCGCGACTTCCCGGCCCTCCCGCACAAGACGCCCGAGTTTCGGAGCTTTGTCGAGCACGTCCAGCACTGGAAGGACGGCACCTTTGAGACCTGGGACCCGTGGCCGTGGTGGTGGCTGTATCACGTCTACTGGCCCGTGCAGTTTGCGCGTTATCTCGTCTGGGGCCGCTGGCACAAGGTCAACGTCAGCACGGGAAAGGCCTTTCAGGCCAAGTGAGTGAGATGACGGCTCACTGTTTCTCGTATCCCTCCCTTTCATAGCATTAGAATCATGGCTCCTTCATCTAGATTCATCATATCGTCCGACCGCGTCGCTTTACCTCCCCAGACCACTGTGCCCTTGGTGTCGACGGCAAAGGCGCCCGCCTCCTGCCACTTGTTGCCCAGGACGCCCCCCTCGTCTTCCTCGGCCACGGCGCTCGTCCGCGTGACGGCCGCGGCCACCTCGTCGCCGAGCCAGCCCTTTTCCTTCCAGGCCTGCGCCTGCGCGGCCGGGTGGAAGAGGTACATGAAGTTGCCGAGGCCCAGCCCCCAGGACGCGTAGAGGCTGCGCTGCTCGTCGATGAGGACCTCGACGTCCCAGGCGCCGCCGATCATGTCGATCCATTTCTTGGTCGCGTGCGGGGACGAGTGGGACACGGCGACGCAGCGGATCGTGCCGACGTGGCGGTTTGCTATCGATCGGAGGGCGAGGAAGGTCTTTTGGGCGACTGTCTCTCGGTTAGCGGTGCTTTGGGACTTTGCAGAGATCAACGTACAGGCACAGCCCACGCAGCGCAAGAAGACGACCAGTGTCCTCTTTCCCCCGAGCTTCAGCCGCGCATGACTGTCCACGGGCGCCTTGTCGCCGACGTTGGGCACGCGAGCGACGTGGACGGGGGGCGGGGGCGGCGCGAACCACGGACTGATGGTCAGCGGTAGACTCTGCACGTTCCACGAGCCCATCCAGGACGCCCAGCCATTCTCTGCCTCCTCCTCGGGTGTGGGCTGCTTCTTCCGCAACTTGTTGGGCTCGCGACGCGCCGTGCCGGTCGGCGGCGCGGACCATGTAGAGAGGTCAAAGGTCGAGGAGGGGAGGCCGACCTTTTTGAGGGCGACTTTGGTCCCGAGACTGGAGAGCATGGTGACCGGCGGTGCTAGGGATCTGCGTTGTCGACTTGAGGATGGTGTCAGAGGACACTGGGTGACGGACGAGTCACCAACCCCTGGGGCCTTGGCTGGTTCCCCTGAAGATTACAGGAGTGCATCATGCAGGGAGCCGGGTAAAAATGGAGATGCCGTGGTGGGTGGCAGGGATATTGTTGGCGGTCGTGACTCGGGGGACGTCTTGATGTTCTCTGTTTTGTGAAGACCAAGGGCGAGATGGAGATGGTGTGCGAGAACATCTCGAACTGCTTCAGACGATAGAATAGAAGCTCGAGCTCTTGAAGGCTGCCCTGTCTAGATGATACCAGACTGACGGATGGCATGTTCGGGTTGAGGTGAATGGCCTACCCTACATTGTGAGCTTGCCTTTGCTCCAGACAGTGGCGCTCTCTCGAAAAACATTGAATCGCTTCCTCTTCTGATGCATTGTCCTCGTGTAGCTCGGTGATGAGGCCCAATGTTATAGACCCCAATCAATGATGTATGCAATTTTGAGATCATCATCGACGAAAATGCTGCCAAGATAAAGATCCGGGTGAGATGGCTGGGTTGGAAGTGGACAGTTGCTATTGCAGACTGGTATAGGGTACGCATACGACACGAGAGCAAGATGTCGCCCAAGAGACCACCCTCCATCACTTGAACACCTGCTGCAACGTGCAGGGCTGTCTCCTAGTCGCTCAACCCCTCTATGAAACTAACCGATCCCGTTGTCGGGCTGTGCCGCGTCGAAGAGGTGCAGTGAGCAAGGCTGGCAAGGTCACAAGGTGAAGCAACGATCTCATCGAAATTACCACAAATGGGTTGGCGCTCCCGGTGTCCGCTGCCGTAGCCTGCCGATCCCGATTGTGGCGGGTCAAGGCAGCACGGCGGGTGACCCCGGTCACGAGCTTGTAAACCTCAAGAGCCATGAAATTGGACTGAATAGGAGAATTTCATGTGAACTCTTGTCCCAGGCACGATGATGAATCCTAGAGGGCATGCTCCCTCAAAGCCCAGGCTGCACCCCCCCGCTTGTGGTTCTCCGCCATGCTCTCTTGGAAATTACCCGATTAGGAAATCCCCAAACATCATATATGTATTAATGAGCCCCATCCCCATCATGCATCTGTTCGTCGCCTCGCGTGCCTGTGAGAATACGTTGTTCTCTTTCCTAGCGATTGACTATATGTATTAGCAAAACTAGTATGTTCGACGTCCTCATCATTGGCGCCGGCTTGAGTGGCCTTCAAGCCGCCTACTCCTCGCAGCAAGCTGGTCTCAGCGTCGCCGTCGTCGAAGCGCGCAACCGCGTCGGCGGAAAAGTATGGAGTGTGACTCTGGCATCCGCCCAAGGAGTCGCTGACCTGGGCGCCGCATGGGTGAATCTGAACACCCAGAAGAGGATGGCCAAGTACACCAGACAATTCGGCCTCGAGACGGTCACGCAGCGGCTGGAGGGCAAGGCTGTCATGCAGGAGGGCAAGAATGAGCGCATGGAGTTCCCCTTTGGCATCACGCCGAATGTGAGTTCCGTTTCTGCCGCATGACAGGATGGACTGAGTATTAATGACACAAGTTCGCCGCCGAAGATAAAAAGGACCTGGAGCGCATCCGTGACCATGTCCAGAAAGAGTCACTCAAGAGAGAGCCTCCACGTCCGGAAGATGACAACCTCACTCTAGACCAGTACATCAGGAACTTGGATGCACGGGACAAGACAATCAAAATGATTAATGTCTGGGCGCAAGTCATGCATGGAGTGAACTCGACAGAGGAGTCGGCAGCCTTCTTCATCGACTACTGCCGCACAAATGGTGGACTCTTCTCCATCCGCGCCGACGACAAAACGGGTGGCCAGCACCAGCGGCTTGTGAAAGGTGAGGCTACCTGATACCGTGCCCTCAGCTAGCTCACCTTCTGACTTGAACATAAACAGGCACGCAACAGTACGCTGAGGGCCTTGCTGACTTGGTAGGGCGCCAGCATATCCACCTGTCCCAACCTGTCGCGTCTGTTCAAGACCTCGGGCGTCACATCACCGTCACAACCACACATGGCACAGTATTCCACGGGCGCAGGTGCATTCTCTCCATTCCCAGCGCCATGTACAAAGGGCTCAACATTACACCGCCGCTCCCGCCACCCAACCGCAGCGTCTACGATTCGACCAAGCTGGGCCACTACAATAAGTGTATAGTCATGTATCGCAAGCCATGGTGGCGAGACTTGGGCTTCAACGGATTCTTCATCAGCTACAACGGCCCAGTGAACATTGGCCGCGACACCTCCGTCGACACAAAGGGCGTATATGCCTTGACGTGCTTCGTGAACGGGAGCAACGGCGCTGAATGGAGCAAATTGTACCCTCACGAGCGGCGAAAGGCAGTTATAGAGCAGCTCGCGCAGGTATACAACGTGGGTGACAAGAGGGACGCCGACGTCTATCATCCCTCCGAAGTGTACGACTTTGTCTGGAAGCATGAGCCGTTCAGTCAGGGAGCTCTGGCCCCGATCACCGATATTGGTCACTACACCAAGTATGCAGATGTGTATGGAAAACCGGTGGGCAACTTGCATTTTGTCGGCACTGAATATTCAAAGGAATGGAAGGGTTACATGGAGGGTGCGCTGTGTTCGGGCGAAAAGGGAGCTGCTGAGGTCAGCGAAGCGTTGAGGCTCCGACCGCGGTTGTGAGAGACTTTGTGTCAAGCTATCATTACAGTTGGCACTGATTTATAATTTACATAATAAACACTTTGGGCTCAGGCAACAGGGCTGGCCAGTCCACGTCTCCTCCGGCACTCCACACAGCTTCCAACAGGTCCAGCGCTCTGGGGATATTCCCAAACCCATTCCGCGTAAACTGCCTGGTCAGGAATGCTCTGAAAAACTCCTGGCTATCTGGATTCCTCGTTTCCGATGCCACGATGAAGCTGGACCATGTAACAATATGTTCCCCTGGCGCGTCACGAGGAAACGTCCCAAATGTCTCGATAAAGTTATCGACTCTGTCCTCGTTGACCCACGGTGCGCCCAGCACACGGTCAATGTATATGCTAAATGCTTGACGCCGTAGATCAGCCAGGATGAAGAATTTCTCCGCGTGCTGTGGGTATCTGTGCATGTAATAGGTGAGGCAGTCGAAGCTGGCGGCGGATTGTGCTGTCATGGCGTGGAGGCCAGCGTCAGGGCTGAGTAAAGGGGCAGCATACACCCGCATTCTGCATACTGGTTAGCCAGCACATTCAAGCGGCCTTTGGGACTGCCCTACTTTCGGATCTGCCGTAGAGAAAACTCGGCCACCTCTCCACCATGGACGAGCTCTTCCTCGCCACCGATGGCGTCGAGCGCCGACTGGAGCATCCGGAACATGACTGGAAAGTCTGAGCAGCCGTTGATCATGACAACCACGAGGAGGACCACGATCGCGAGGATGACTCTCTGTCTCGTCTCGAAATCGCAGCCCGTGAGCTCCCGCCGTTGTTGTAATTTGTGAATGGCACCTGCGTAGAGCGACTCGGGATGTGCGTTGTAGCCTTTGTTGCCGGCTAGGTGGAAGGCGGAGGCGGCGAGCACGGCGCTCAGGACGAGATCGTCTGTGAGGGCGATGGGAAGGACGAGATGCCGGAATCCATTGCATGTGCTGTCAATGACCAACATTTCAGGTGCAATCTTCTCAGAAACTGGATGGTCAGTCAAAGTCCTTGCGTTTGCTGATGGACTACGCACAATGTGACAATAAGAATCTCGTGGAAGAATCCAAAATGGACAGTCCCGGAGATAGGAAGGGGTAGTTAGCACGGTATATGTCCTCAGTCGGACTTGGTGGTGAGGTCAAGGCCAGATCGCCATTGATCGCCTCTGCTGTGGTAGCTATGCCGTCACTGAAGCACCAAGTGCCTCTTGGTGATGTATACTCGCTCGCAGTATCGGATGCATTTGGTTCGCAGTAATCGGTGTCTTCTGTGGTCTCTCTTGGCGATTGGACCCCTTGAGTGGTGTTGTTAGAATCGTTGCAGCATGGCGCCGGGGCACCTGAACAAGCGCTCGCCATCATCCTCCAGTACCTCTTCTCCCCTGACTTCTTGCTACCTCTGGCCAGCCCATCGCGAAACCTGAACTTGACGGGTCCACAGCCACTGCAGCTGAGGTTTTTGGAGTCACACTTTCGGCACGACGGCTCTGTTCTGTCGCAGTCTATGCGGCGCTGCGAGCATTCGTAGCAGCCTAGGACCATTCAGCATGACAGCTAGTGATGAGTGGATCCCGGATGAGACGAGCGCACCTTTAATCTTCGGAATATACGACCGTTTTCTGCGAGGCATGGTGCCAACTTCCGACTTACGGAATTCAAGTAAGTTCCAGTCGTCCAAAAGGCAGCGACACTCAGATCGCTTCAGGCGGCGGCGCGTCTGCCCAGCTCAAGCTGCCTCGCGGTTGCAGCATGCTTGGAAGAAAGCTCGACGCTCCCACGGGTCGTTCAGGCCTGCGATTATCGTGATAGTGGCAATGATTGGGTCTCCGACGGCCGGTGTGGCTGTTATCTTGGGGTCTATGATCTATCTAACGTCTACCCCGCAAGAGCCAGCTGGTGACAAGATGAACATGAACAACGCATTCTCTCAGTCATAGCAAAGGGCAGCCTGGCCAGTCAGCGGTCGGTGGTATGCCAGCTGACCGCCTGTGCAACTGACTCAAGGTTTGGGAATCGCCCTGCTAGCACAAGACGGCCGGATATCGGTTTCGCGGGGACAGTGTCCGTGCACGCTGAGGGGGTGTCTGCAGCGTGCGCGCGCAGGTGACACTCGGCAGCTGGACGCGTTCTCCTCCGCCTCTCTCCTCTTGTCATCTGCGTGCCTTGCAGCCTTGGTCTTGATATCATTCTGAACGGTATATTACGATTGGTCGCTCCCAGACACGTTGACCGTCTCCTGCCCACGGTGGTGCCGGCGGAGATGGCGGACCGTCGAACGAAATGTCAAGCTCTGGAATGCAGAATGTCTTTGAACCAGTGGCTTCGCTGTTTGGTAGCCATACAGTGATCGAGCGAACGACGCTTCCAGGGAGACTCTACTGCCGACTTGATTCAACACCAGACCTTTCAGTCACCAACCTTGCTATCACAATGTCAGGCAGAGCCTTGAGAATGCACAGCATGCAAGATAGACTCACAGTTTCCATCACACATCCGGCTGGGCCTCACCGCAGCGATCCGTCCAGGCCGGCGGCCATGGTGCGCCATTCAGCTGATCGGGTTTGGTGTCCGTCCGCCGTCTCCCGAATCATCCTCGGGACAGAATGTCCGTCTTTGTTCCCGCTTCGACCCTAGATTCTAAACCAACATCGAATCTCCGCCTCCCCCGACCTTTGTATAGAGTCTCTGGGAGGGTGTGTGCCTACAAAGCTGCGTCGATGCCCGGTGCACCAATCCAATCATGATCTCTGTCCTAATGTGGTTGTGAAACGACAAACACTGCATTGGCTGCCACGATAGAAGCTCAATCTAGATTCCGCAGAGGCCCAATGAGATACCTCTCTAATCGGCCTAGTTCATGACAGGGCCATGATGATGTGTGCACAGCAGCAGATAGCTTCTGCGCACCATGTGATGTCCGTATCGCTCATGATGGCCTCACCTTTGGCCGTCCACCGACGCAGGACTCTCTCCCATCCTTCTTCTTTGGGGTCTGGCGTACCAAGGTGATTATCGTCTAGCCTCCTGCCGGCATCGGGGATTGCAAGTGCCCCTTTATGTTCATGAGGCAGCCATGAACAGATATAAAATGAATAGAGGTCTAGTCTCGAAGCATTGCCCAGACTACACCTGCATTGCAATAACTTAATATTTAATTAGAAAACCATTGCTGATAAAACAGAGCTCTACGCTAGAGATCAACACTTCATCCCCCATGGCTACTTCAGTATTTCCTATCAGCTTGCCTCCGCTGGCACCGCCAACCGTCGTCGGCCCCAAAGTCAGATGTCCCACTCGCCCAACACACACTCTGCCACAGTACCTCATCGACGAAGCCCGCATACCGGAGCGCGTGGCGTTCGACCCAAAGAAGCACCTCAACTATGTCGAGCCGGACAAGATCTACTCCATGCGGGAAATTGGCCTCGAGGGACAGGGTATCTCCAACACAGCTGCTTCGACGCCCTTCTCGCTTTTCACCCCCGACGCCATTGCGCAGATGAGAGCCGAGATCTTCAGCCAACCTGTCCTGGAGAGCTGCCAGTACTCTTCCGACTTTGCCAAGAATATGATCCGAGGGTTCGGTCCCAGGTAAGGGTGTTCCCCCATTGCGACACAAGTGCCTGGCTTGAACTCAGTAAAGACTAGCACCCTTCATCTTCGCAGCTTGGCATAGCCCAGAGGTCTTGGCTGCCGTCTCCAAGATTGCAGGCATCGAGCTTGTACCGGCTATCGAGTTTGACGTCGGCCACATTAACATTTCCGTGAACAACGCCAACACCGAGCTGTCCCAGATCAAAGACACGGCCAATTCGGACGATTCAGCGTTTGCGTGGCACCGAGACAGTTTTCCATTTGTCTGCGTAACGATGCTGTCCGACTGCACAGGCATGGTCGGGGGCGAGACAGCCCTGAAGACTGGTTTCGGTGACGTTATGAAGGTCAGGGGACCAGCAAAGGTGAGCGTCCCGGGGTGCATGCGCGGAGACACCTACTGATAAAAGTTCTAGGGGACTGCCGTCGTCATGCAAGGTCGGTACATTGAGCACCAGGCTCTCAAGGCCATGGGTGGCCGAGAGCGCATCTCCATGGTGACCTCCTTCCGACCAAAGAACCCCCTTATCCGGGATGAGGTCGTTCTAACCGGCGTGCGTGGAATCAGTACGCTCCCTGAACTTTACGGCCAATACACACAGTACCGCCTCGAGGTGCTTGAGGAGAGGATCCGAGCCATGGAGAAGAAGCTGAGGGACAGGGAGCGCTGTGGGCGCACGTTTGATATTAGCGAGGCGAGGAGGTTTGTCACCGAGCAGAAGCAATTTCTGGAGGCGACGTTGTTGGAATTGGTCGAGTGAGGGGGCGCATGGTGTTGGCACTTGGAGCATTCGGTGTAATGAAGCCTTGGTTTAGTGATCACACAGCGGGATGATAATGATGACTGTAGACACGATTCCCTCCATGGAATTTCCATGATTAATTGAAAGGCCGCATGTTTGAAAATTGACACTCGCAGCGCACTAAGAGTGATTGTAAAATGTATCTTTCCATAAGATATGCTTGCATCCATATTTCAATGGCATGTCTCTTCGGTTAATTTACAACGTGCGCTGATTAGGACGATCAACTTCAAACACTGGAATACGACTGCACCAAACACTGCTCCTAATTAAGCCGGTTTGTGCAAACATGAACGGCGAGTGTGGTCGACCATAAAATCGTCCTGTCACTGAATTCACACAGATTACAACATGAATGTACATCGCTGTCGAATAGATTGGTAAGGGTTCGGGGATTTTACGACCCTCAAACAGGGGTCAATCTCGTCAAAAGGTCCGAAGTTTTCCACTCCTCTGAGGGCCAGATGCTGTCAGATTTTGTGACCCTGGGATTTAAAGAGTTTTTGCGCTCGTGACACTGATATTTGGTCGTTGACTCCCTGAAAGGACACGCGGCACACCAACGTTGTAATCAGACCACATTCTCCAACAGAGCAATGTGTTCACGTCCAGCTTTGCACCCATGGACCAAATCGGAGGCGAGACCGGAGTTTTACTCTCGAACACTAACCACGCCCGAGTTTGTTCTTGCCATGCTCAATGAGTATGTCTTGGGCCAAAGCTGTCCATCTCTAGGGGTCACTGTCTCAGTCGACCACTCTGTGCCTTCCACGCTCGATATCAAGACACTCAGTTCACGTCTTCGGCAGGCCTTCATAGCTACGCGATGGACCCATCCGACAGTGGCGACGCAGGTCAAGGACAGTAAAGAACTAGTCTATCGTGTCCACGACACAGATGGCGTGGTCACCTGGGCCAAGCGCACGGTGCAGTATGTAGAAGCACCAGGGGGCTGGCTCGCCAAGTACGAACAATTGAGCCACGAGGCTGTATTGCCCACGGCTATGGGCGACTGCGCGCTTCTCTATCTCGTTGTAAGCCCCGAGCAAGCCAGCAAGTCGCAGATCTCAGAATTCGACCTACTTCTTCACGTCCACCACTCTCTTGTGGATGGTGCAGGCCTGAAGTCCATCATGGATTATATCCTGACAGGGCTCGCCACCTCTGACCCGTCGATCACTTTCTCCTGGGGCGAGGAGGTAGACAAGCTTCAGCCGGCGGCTCTAGATGCTGCCCCTATCTCCGACAAATCATTGAAGTCATTGGCGCAGATGCCAAAGGAGGTACGTACCCACAATTCCCAGTTGACAATTGTATAATTTTAAAAAAAAGGACCACAGATTGCCCTCCCGCCGCTAGTGAAGCCTGGCGAAGCGAGGCCAGGGACAGGCGTTGTGACTCATACTGTTCCAAACGCCCATAATGGGAAGACCGACTTCCTCAGTCATCTCAGGGCGCTGGCCAGGGCCAACAACGTTCGGCTGGCTGCCACCATTCAAGCAGCACTGGTTATCACTCTCTACGAAGAGGTCAAGCCCACCGAGGACAAGGTTGCCACCGTCATCTCTGGGTTTGACCTACGGGCGAAAGATCTGAACAAGCCGTGGGGCGAGCGCAACAGGTTTGTCGGTTTTGCGGTTGGTCTATTGGAGATTATACGGACACCCGTATCACTGCTCGAGGATCTAGAGGGCGAAGAGCGTTTCTGGTCGGTCGCGCAGCAGATTCAGAACGAATGGAGTGCGGTTGCCGAGCGGCAGGATGTGGCAGCATTAGGCGAGCTTCGTCGACCAGCAACGGCGTTTGTTCTCCAGATGGCTTTGTAAGTCATTGGGTCAAGGCCCGCAAACGCAAGACTGCGCTGATCCACCGTCTTCTCCCTAGGGCCGGCGTCAACAAGTCATCCTCCAAGTTGGATATGAGTGTCAACTATGTGTCGGACCCGCCAGGAGGCAACCATTTTAATGGTGTCTACCAGGACAAGCAGAGCAGGTTCAAGCTCGACAGGTACCAACTCGTGACTGATGAGAGCTCGCCCAGGCTGTAAGTGCCCCGGCTACCAAAAACCGTCTGTCACTGGCGTTGACAACTTTGCTTCCTCCATAGGTCATGTCGATCGCACTCGTGGAACGGCGACCTTGTTTTGGGGATCTCCTTCAGCTACAAACACCACACGAGAGACTCTGTTCAAGTGTTCTTGGACAAGTGGGCGCGCTTGCTCGAGTCGCTTGGGCAGAGTGACACGACTGGTATTTCCGGAGATGTCACCGATCGCAGCAACTCGTGATCGCTACCGTGGGCACGCCTGGACTCTCAGGGTGACGGCGGTGGTGGGAGAAATCGCACACGGGGAATATTCATAGCTGACGCTAATTCCTTGAAAACACGGAGCATCATAGCATCCTTTGTGTCATGGACATTCTACCATATCTGCCCACTTGGAAACCCAGAGGGCTTGACTAACTCAACCACAATGACTACCATCGCCCATGCTCTTCGTAATGACCTGATGTCGGCCTGATGCTGTTCATGTTCAGCTCAAACAGTCAATAATATCCACGAACATGATGCCTCAACTGCTGGCGTCGTTTGTCATGACGTATGCCAAGCTTGTCGCGGAGGGGTGACCCACTAGTTCCCCGCCGCTCTAGACTAGACCTAGTGGGGATCTGCTCGATTTACGGCAGGTCGTCAGCTCTCTTTAGAACAGTAAATCCACAAGATCTAACTGTATATGGCTTCAAAACCCGGGGCGACAGGCTGCTATGTATATAAAAGGAGCGTTGAAGGCGGGTGCACCTTGATGTCCAAGTCAAGTCCCGAATTCATCGAAAAAGAAAACGTCCAAGTTCACAAATATGACCACCAAAGGAAGCTGCATGTGTGGGGACGTCGAGTACCAGTTCACTGGTGAGCACCCTTTTGGTGATGGCCGGCCGGGTGTGCCCGATTGGAGCATCTACTGATCCTTTTAGGTGAGCCCGCAATGAAGGCTCTGTGCCACTGCATCGATTGCCAAAAGGTTAGCTTCCGGCCCCACTTGGGATATTGTTTGCGCTGACTTTGGGCCAGTGGACTGGCGGTGCCTTCACCTCCAACGCGGTCGTGCCTCGAACCTCTTTCCAGGTGAACAAGGGTATGTGTAGTTTGCCTGTGACAGCGCCGAGGATACCGTGAGATGCTGACTCGAATAAAAGGAAGCCCAAAGGCTTATGACATTACAGGTGACTCGGGCAAGATCAACAAGCACTTCTTCTGCTCCAACTGCGGATCTAGCCTGTACACCGAGCTCGAGATCATGCCTGACATGACTGTCATTAAGGCTGGTGGTCTGGATGGTGGTGCTGCAAGCCTTGGTAACGCGATTGGAGCTGAGCTCTATGTGAAGGACAGGGTCTCCTACCTCCAGAGCATCGATGGCGCGAAGCAGGAGCAGAAGATGTAGAGAAAACAACGGAAAAGACTGAATGATGAACATTGAAAGTTGTTGTACTCGTCGATACTGCTGTTGTCGTGAATCACAGTCGAGATATAATTGCTCAGGCTTCGGCTCGTATTGCCAGGCAGCTGCTCAAGATGTCTGCCCACCCTTTGGCAGATCTCCTTGTAATTACGCCGTACGGAGTGATCCGTAGTAGCATGCAGAGTGACAGCATTCACCCGGTGGGGCAATCCTTCCGCAGCACTGACATATGCCGCGCCCGAAAGATATGGTAAGTTTGCCGACTCTTGCAGAAAGAATAATCATCCTTAGGAGATGATCCAGACCGAACATTGCAATGTCTCTCGCAGGAAAGGTGTTCACAGTAACCGGGGGCGCCAGTGGCATTGGTCTCGCTACTGCTCGCCTGATCGTCGAACGAGGAGGCACCGTCTGCATTGGTGACGTTGACACGTCAGCGTTGGAGAAAGCCGAGGTCGAGTTTTCGTCCAAATCTTCGCCGTACTCTGTGACGCGGATTGATGTTTCGCAGAAGGCGGAAGTGGACGACTGGATTGCCGACTGCGTGGCCAAGTTTGGCCGTCTCGATGGCGCCGCGAATATCGCGGGCGTCACAGGGAAAGATCACGGCCAGAAAGCAGTGAGGGACCAAGATGATGGCGAATGGCACAAGATCATCGGCGTGAACCTGACGGGGATGATGTACTGTTTGCGAGCGCAGCTGCGCGTGATTGAGGACAGAGCCTCCATTGTCAACATGACGTCCATCCACGGACATCGAGGTGAGTGCAAGAGTGTTACAACGGTCGTCATGCTCACCGTTGGCCCAGGCATGGCCAACTATGCCGCGTATTCCGCCAGCAAGCACGGCGTCATTGGGTTGACCGAAGCGGCTGCCCAGGAGAACGGTCACCGGGAAGTGAGGGTGAATGCTGTGGCACCTGGACCAATATATACGCCTATGATGCAGAAGCATTGGGACATGACGGGTCGGCCTGCAAGTGCGCCATTCGACGACCCGGTCGCCTTCCCCAGACAGGGCACGCCGGAAGAGGTAGCTAACGTGGTGCTCTTCTTGCTAGGGCCAGAAAGCAGCTTTGTGAGCGGTAGTTGCTACGATGTTGATGGGGCCTGGACATAGATACGAAAGAGATGTGAAGAAGTAGTGCTGCTGGCTGACAATGTGCTGCGTTTAATTAGTGCTAAGTAGGTACCTCGAATTGAGGCTCTCCTGCGGCAGAGTCGGCACTTACTCCGCAGACAGACATGTGCTCACGTAGCAGCAGTCCTTGAGAGCGCCTGTAACCGGGAATGGCCAGGGCTGTTATGAACCCATTCAGGGTCAGGAGATCTCGTCCCGCGGGTCGCAAGACCATACCCCTGTTTGCAAATACGATTTGAAACATTTTGCACTCACAATGGTCATCCCTCAGACGGATGGCTCCTGGGGATCATTCTGGGCTCACCACAGTATCAATGACTTCTATCAACGTCATTCCACGAGCGGGATGCGTGCACTGTAACGACACGGACATAGCGCAGTTCGTTCCTGCGCCGGGCCGCTCTTCCTGGCGTCTGATAGCATAGTTGCGGCCGGGCCTTAACATGTGGGGTTCGATGGTGCGTGGCTGGCACGATTCCAAAGGCCACTGCAGGCTTGCAACTACGCCCGGACATGAACGTTGATGGTGACGCCCGGGACGTGATCGGCCGCTTCAGCCTAGTACTTCGATGAGAAACTCAGAGTCACTGTTTCGCGGAGGGCAATTCACTAGCACAGCATAAGCAACGGGCTAGTGCACCGTACAGTGGTCAGTGATTATGTTTCGCCCTTGACTCACAATTAGCTGGCGCGGTTCACACACAGAGTTCAGGAAGGTCCACTTTAGTGCACCTACCAGTCTTTGGAACTCATCACCATCTGCTCAGAAACCACGTCCCAGGCTCTATCTAGATCGACTCTTGTCGACGGGCTGGCGAGTTTGCTGGGTGTGAGATATGGAAGTGGCGAGGCAGATTGATCCGGTGCATGTGTTTACTCGTCCCTTGTGGCAGCAGCAACAGTTGTGGGCGACGTGCACACATGCAATTGTTAAGACCGCGCCTGCCCCACAGATCAAGTCGGAGCCAGAGCCCCTTTCATCACCACCACCACTATCACCGTCCGGGTGCGCATCACGTCGTTCCGTCCTTCCAAAGTATCAATGCTGCTGGGGGACAAAGACGACCACAAACGAACATCAGAGCAGCTGATACTTCCATCCTCGACCCAACATCATCTCTTGTCTGTGCACTTCTCAGCACCGCTCGCCTCGCCCACTCATTCGCCCAGCACGCTCACTCGGAGTTGTAGCTGCGCGAACATCTACGACTGGCGACTTGCAGAGCAAGTTGCGTCCTTCCTTGTTTTCTTTTCGTCCATGACTTAGCCTGCATTGCACCATAGACTCTTCGAGACTACGATACGGATCTCGCATAGCGCAGAATTGCCTCGTGATCGACCGAACGGCCGCCCCAATCGACCAGGCTTCCAACAACAATACCGCGGCTCGCTCCATGCGCTCCGCGTGCAGCCTCAACAGTTGTTTGCCACTTGACACTTAAGGCGACTCGGACGTGAGCCTAGACTATATAAAGTGCGATAGCTCGGCCTCTTCCTCGGTGGACGGAGTCGAAATAGCGTGCCCCTGGTGTACGACGTGCTTCGATCCGAAAGGTAGCTGTATTTCGGCCGGAGATTCATCTTGACCAGTCGCTCGCTCGCTCCCCTGGCCACTGTCTTTCGATATCGTGGATTTCTTCACGTTCGGTGCTTGTCCTGCGCCACCATCGAAGACCACACTGTCGTTGCCTGACTGCGACGATTGCCAGAACCGCGAGCTTCACATCGGTCCAGTGAGCCTCCTCTGTGGTAGCTAATACCTGCTTCATGGACTCCAGTATCTCGGCGGCAGAAACCCAGAAGCCTTACCAGTTCCCTTTGATACCGAGTTGGAAAGACAGAGCAGCGTCTTTGTCAACGACATCATCGGCCACTGCAACTGTGGCAGCGACCGGAACAAAGGACGCTTCTGCCACCAGACCCACCTCGAATACCTCCACTTCCTCGACCACCACCTCCACCACATTTCCGAAGGCGAATTCTACAGTCACATCCACCGGCTCGATTCCGAACTCGTACTCCTACCACGCATCTCGAAGCCATAATCTGGACGGTTCGCTTGAGCTCACAGCGCATTCTACCAGTGTTGCGCCCCCGTCGGCTTATGCTCAGACCTTGATCCCCTTGTACTGGCTGCCGCATCAGTTCCACCTTCACCACGCCCAAGTCGCGAATTACAACAAACTCGTGTCGCCTACGAGAGGGGGTGGCCTTCAGAACGCACCACTGCCACCTGTGCTGTCGGCTTCAAACGTCCAGGCAGCGCCACGGTCGCGCTCGTCAAGCAAGGTGTCTCTCAAGGATAATTCGTGGACAAAGGGGGCTGCAGCTGGAGGCCATGGGAGCCGACCGCATACGCACTCGGACAAGAACAGATCCGTCATAGTTTCTAACAAGGACGCCTCGTCTAATGCCAGCATGGCTCGACATACGCAACTCAAGGACAAGGGGACTGAAGCCGGTAGCCGATCGACAACGTCCCCTGCGCCGCTGCATTCACAAAGTGCTCCTTACTCAAGTTCAGTGCCGTCCACTCCTCATCAGCGAGCCCGACAATTTTCCGTCGAGTCACGAGAGCCTTCGCCTGGTGAGAATTTTGGCGGTAACCATTCGCCACGATCGGTTTACTCTGAGACAAACGGCAATGTTCCTTCCCTGAAGCCTCTCCCGCCGCCGAAATCCGACGCAAGAGGGTGTCCATACGAAACGTCGCAAATGATTCAAAGACGCCGATTCCCATATGACGATGGCGGCAAATACAGTGTCGAACCTATACCGTTAGGCAGCGTGAAAGGGAGATTGACAGAAGAGGAGGAGCGCAGTCTGGCCAAAGACATGCGCGAACTCTACGAGAACCGCTTATTGCCAAGTGAGAGAGTTGAAAAGAACCGCCAGAAGCTGCTGCGCAAGTTGGAGAAAATCTTCAACGATGAATGGCCGGGGCACGATATCAAGGCGCATCTCTTTGGGTCCTCTGGAAACTTGTTATGCTCGGATGATTCAGATGGTCAGTTCTCTTTGCTGATAGAACCGGTTGATTTGCTAACCTTAGGCAGTCGATGTGTGCATCACCACCGACTGGAAAGAGATGGAGAAAGTCTGCAGGATAGCAGCACTGTTGGATCGGCGTATGTCCCGCCCCTATCCTACTTCCTTTTTTCAAAAACTGACATTCCTAGACGGCATGGAAAAGGTCGTCTGCATCTCTGGCGCTAAGGTGCCCATTGTCAAGATCTGGGATCCAGAATTGTGCCTTGCCTGTGACATGAACGTCAACAATACTGCCGCCCTCGAGAACACCCGAATGGTGCGAATATATGCCGAAATCGACCCCAGAGTACGACAATTGATGATGATCATCAAGTACTGGACACGCAAGAGGATAATAAATGACGCAGGGCTGGGGGGCACACTCAGTTCCTACACGTGGATATGTCTTATCATTGGCTTCCTGCAGCTACGGACGCCCTCGGTGTTGCCGACCCTTCACGCGCTGCCCTACAAAGTAGCAAGACCAGGCGCCGAGCCAAGTAGCTTTGCAGACAATCTGAAGCGACTCAAGGGGCTCGGCAACGACAACAAGTCCTCCGTGGCGGATCTTCTGTTCCAGTTCTTTCGCTTTTATGCGCACGAGTTCGACTACGAAAAGTATGTTTTGTCGATACGGTTGGGTAGAGTAATTCCGAAATCAGACAAAAGATGGCGAGGTGGTGGCAATAATTGGCTTTGCGTGGAGGAACCGTTCAACACAGAGCGAAACTTGGCCAACACTGCGGACGAATACACTTTCAGAGGACTGCGGTGGGAGCTGAGGCGAGCTTTCGACCTGATATCTGATGCTAAGCTTCACGAGGCATGCGAGCAGTTCGTGTATCCAAAGGAAGAGCGGATTGAGAGGCCGCGCCAGGCTCCTGCGCCACGACCGGTCCCGTTGCGAAGCGCGTCCCAATCGAATAACAGTTCTAGCACCCGCGGTGGTCGTGGCGGCAATAGAGCAGGTCGGCACAACAACCACCGAGGTAACGGTGGCAGTTCTCAGTCTAACAGACGATCATCCTCCAGCCAGCCAGCTTACGACCATGCAAGCAGCATGTACCCTGCGATCCTCAACACGCAGCAGGATTTGTCATGGTACACGAGCCCGCAGTATGCCCAGTATCCTTATCCGCATGATTACATGGCTCTGTATCAGTCCCACCATATGCAACAGCTATACGCGCAGCAGGCTTACAGCCATCAGCAGCAGCAGCACCAGGGAATGGCGCAGCAGATGATGGCAACCGCTTCAAGTCCTGGACAATCGGGCTCTTCGTACAGGTCGCGCACCAATTCCTTTGATAATCAGCCGCAACCGCAACCGCAACCGCTGCAAGCCGCAATGCGGCCAGATCTGTACCAGTTGTATGGGATGTCCTTGGCGCCAGCGCTGTTTACCCAGGGAGGATACACCTTCTCCCAGCCATCTGTAAGCAGCAACGGTGTTGGTCATGCGCAGCATGACTTTAGGCGATCCATGCAGAGGTCCACGCACAACGGCGAAAAGGGCACAGCCGCTTCAAACAGCACGCTTAGATCGCAGTCTCAACCAGCGGCACGCTCACCATCAACATCGCACCCTGCTATCAATGTCCAGGCGTTAGCTGGTTCCATGCCGACGAGCCACTCGGCGAACAGCGCGAGTATGGCTCAAGCGAACGGCGCACTGCCGGACGCTGCATCAACTCTCGATGAAGTTGACTTTGACGAAACTCCGAAAGCAACCGCCATCACTCCGCGATCCGAAGAGGACCAACGAGCAACGTATTTCTCAGAAAGTCCACACTCGATGCAGCCGACCGCGGATGCACGCAGCGTTCCTTCCAGTGACGCGAACGGGACCTCGAATAAACGACGCCCTTCTGGAGACCTTCCGCAAACCATCCTTGACCGAAGGATGAAGCGAACTTCTCGGTCGCCATCCCCTGCGCCACCTCGGGACTTTTTGACCCAAGGTCCAGGCAGTGGGCAGCAGTCTCCCAGCAAGCGGGTGAACGACCCTTCCCGGCCTCTGGTGGTGAACGGTTCAGGTCCTAAGGCTAGCCTGTCCGCCGCCTCACGCTCGACCTACGGTGAGCAGCAGACCATGTACCAACCATATGGTTTGCCGCACCTGCAACCGGTCCCGTATCAGCACATGAACGGGGCCGTTACGGGAGTTCCCGGCAATCCTCCCATTATGGTGAATGGGATGCAATCGACAACCAGCCACCTTGCGACAGAAGACCCATCTTTTCGCGAGCGCATTGCCATGATGAGCACTCAATACATGAATCCACAATACCTCAGCCAAGAAACAAAGCCGGTGGGGAATGGAGGACTGTCGGCTGCAGCGCGACAGCAGCTCATGAACCAAGGACCGCAGAATGCGGTGATTGCTCCTCTTGATCTGGCCATCTCGAATGATCGAGGTGGCATGGCTGGAGAAATGGAAAACTCGCTCCTTTCGCCCGTGTATGAGAGCAGCGCACTGACGCCCCCCGTGGCCACGCCAGCTGAGAGCAGCAGGGCTGCCAAAGCGGCACCTTGGACAGGCGCGGTGAAGCAGCATCTGAAGCTTGATCAGCCACTGCCTGAGCTACCCAAGTCGTCTGCAAAGGCAGGCGGCAAGCAAGGTGCGCAGGCGAAGCCAAGTGGCTCACATGGTGGTCACGTGCGTGGAGCCAAGAGTGAGAGTGACGGAGCATGGCAGAAGGCTGGGAAGGGTAAGAAAAAGACTGCAGCTGCCGGCGTCCAGCATGGCTTTGCCGAGAAACCGCCCAAGGACTCCTCTGAGCGCAAGGGTGGTTGATTGTCTTTTTGAATCTCGCTGGAAGGAGGAGCGCACACCCCACTCGAATGGCGGCAAAGAGTATTTGGATACCGCACAGGCGAGCGTGCGCTTGGGCATGGTACAGGTGTGCATAAAGGGACCGGATACCACTGGAACGGCGTTTGCACTCATTTGGTCTTTCAGCACAGCAAGTAAGCAAGCACAGCATGTTGAGGCATAGTTCAGGCAGGAGGAGGGCTCAGGGCAACTTGAGAGCATGGCGTCCATTTGTCATTGTAGTTGAGGGTATTTCCCACACATGTCTCTACTGCTGGGAGGTGGTTGTGGAGGCTGTCGGCCAGTTGAAGGGGAAGAATGGTGGGCCATTGAAAAAGGACATAGTTTGCCTTGTAGACACAAAGAAAGAAAAGGCAGCATTGGCAAGAAGTAGAGATAGCAACGAAATAAAGCGATGGTTTGAACGACTGAACCGGGAGTTTTGTTGTGCACGCAGTATCTGTACGTGCCGTACGGATACTCCGTACGTAATTGAGATTCCCTTGGTGTTTTGGATGGATGCGGATGCCCCAGACGCGGCCAAGTGCTGGGGCGATGCGACGGTCAGCGAGGGACCGAGGGTACCTGTCAGGTCTGCAATTTCACGTGGGCTGGAATGTTCTCCTCGTGTCTCGTTAACATCCAGTGCAGTCCCCCGCAATCGAACCCTGGGACGCGGATTTGAGGCGGGCAGCCAGTGGCTGCTGGGGGGGGGGGGGGGGGTTGGTGGAGACTGTCCCTCAGCTGGCTGAAGTCCAGTCCAGTCTCGTCCGCCGAAACCGATCCAGCCCTCCAGCCGCCTTCCGGTCGTACTTACCTCCATGTCGTTCTTTCTACGTACTCGACCGTTGCTCCAAACTCCGCTCCTCCCATCCCCATTGATTGACGATCTCTCCCACGCCCCGTTTCCCGACATTTCATTGTGCATACCCATTTCGAGGACGCCTCTGTCTCGCGACTTGACACAACCACGCCCACAGTCTGCATACTTCCAAGTTCTGCGTATCCACAGGCGCCCGCCACTTCGGCTTGCTCCCATCGTGCCTCGCCCGTCTGAGCGAGTGTCGGATGAACACGCGAGCAGCTCCTAACCTGGCCAGTAAGGAATTGGACAGCGCGCGCTGCGTGCCAATTCATCGCCAGATAACCCTACGAACCATGCCACAAGCGGTCTCTCTCCTACACGACCCAGCTTGAGACTGGACCGGACTCTAGGCTGCACCCATCCATCCGCTCATCCTTCCATCCATCCACGAGCGAGCGAACGCCACCTCCCACCGCCGAGGCCAGCTTACAATATCCATGTTCAAATCACCGAGCCGCGTGCGCACACAGCCCCTCGATGCCTCATCGGCGTCTCCAAAATCGGCAGACATGGTTCAACGCAGCGAGGTGAAGAAGATTTTTGGGTTGCCCAGGCTTTCCAGAAGGTCCAGTGGGCTGTTGTCAACCAAACGGGGAAACGTACGGTACACCCCCTCCTGGGGGAAGGTTGCGGAAACTGTCGGCTGACCATATTTGCAGCGCTCTGATCAGACAGACTCCTATGACTCGCTCGGCATCCGAGATGGTGCTGGGAGTTCGATCCACGAGGTGGACGGCAACCAGCGACAGCTGCGGGAGCTCGTGCAAAAGTTGCGGTCGGGGCCCTCGGGTCCCAAGGAAATCGACAGCGCATACGAGCTGTACATGAAGCACAGGGATCGCGCGCACGCGCTGTGCCGGTCAATCTTGGCAGACGAGTTCAAGCCGAGGCAGCTCTCCAACGTGAGCGAGACCATGGCGCGGCGGGACTCTTCGCTCGAGTCGCCCAGTGGCATGTTCGACCACAGGAGTTCCTTCAGCGGGCGTAGCCTGACCGAGGTGGTGACAGGCAGCGCGGGCCGCAGCACGCACGTGAGCGACAACGGGCTGAGCATTGTCCGCGACTGGCGGATCTACCTGGAATCGCTCGCCGAGTCGTTCAAGCAGAACCTTGCCGATACGTATCGCAAGTTCGAGAGCGACGCTAGTACGGAAGGAATCGAGGCGCTTTTCAACAATAAGAGATATAGAAAGGAGGCTGTGAATCGGATGAGGAATGCGAGCGTGACGAGGGTCATGTCCGCCGATCCGCAATTTGTGTGTTTGTTGATTTATTTGCTTCATTATATCTATTTAGAGTCCCCAGCTAACAGGAGATGCAGTTTCCCCGCTACGAGATACGCTTCCGCAACTACGAGAAAGTCAAGCAAGACCTCATTGACACGCGTGCCCTCGTCCAGGCCGGCGAGTCGGGCATCTCTCCCGATCGCGAGTGTGAGGATATTACCATTGCGCCGCTCGGTGATGCGATCCTCGAGTTTGCGAACCTCTCGCCCGAGGCGGCGGGCACTGAGCCTGTCGTGCGCTTCCGGGTGAACTCGCAGGTGCTCGCCCCGACGTCGCCCATCTTCGCCCGCATGTTCCCGCAGCACCACCAGAGTCCGCCCATGCACGACGATGATGATATCCACATGCACCTCCCGCCGCCTGCGACGCGGTACCTGTGCCGGGACGGTTCCGAGGCGAGGCTGTACCGCATGCCCCAGATGGAGACGAACAGATGGAAATGCCTGGAGATCCTTCTTCACGCTGCCCACAAACACGCCGACAGGGTACCCCGCGAGGTCGAGTTTGAGCAGTTTGTGGCCATTTCCGATTGCTGCCTACGGTACAAGTGCACGTCGCCCCTGGAGCCAATTGTGGAGCAACGATGGCTGCCACAGTGTATGCACGAGGGCGGCGACGACAAGGCCGACGGGATGCTGGCCATCAGCTATGCCTTTGGCCTGCAGAGCATATTCACGCGCGTGTCCAAGAGCGCCATCCTGAACCTCGTCGACGAGGGCGACCTCCACAGCAAGCCCTGGCCCCAGAAGATCAAGAACAAAATATGGGCCGTGCGCTGCGCCAAAGTAGCCCAGGTCTACGCATGCTGCACCAGCGCCATTCAGGAGTACATACGACGGCCGTCCAGGAACCTGGCCGATGAGGTGCCGCCCATCACGCCGTCTGCCCTGCGCAGCAGCACGCTCCACCCGACGAGTCTACCAAAGCCGGCGCCCTCGGTCTTGAGCACGACGCCGCGCTGTCCCAAGGGGAGCCATTGGTGCGACGCTGGGAATTTGGGGTGGATGATGCTCGTCTATAACGAGCTCAACGTGATGTCGCAGATTGTGCGACCGAATGTGCTCACGCACCTCCCCGAGTCCATGCAGCAGCCGTCCCAGAGTCTGGCGCACATTCTCGAGGCGCTTCGCAGGACGCCGAGTCCGTTGTCGCCGATCCATCGGGGTGGCGTCTGCGACCCGAGTCCAGCATTCCGGGCGGCGGTGAACGACGTGTTCAACAGCATCTCTGGACTGACGCTGCACGACGTCAGCGGAAGGAGCCACGGCTGGGCACTGACAAAGTACAAGGAGGCAGAGCCCCAAGAGACCGACGCAGCGGGCCTTGACAGAATGGCGGCCCCCGACCGTGGCCACCACAGCGTGGCAGCCGAGTTCCCCGAGCACGTGCGGCTCAAGCTGCTCAGTATGATGAGCGACCCGGACGACCTGCGTGCGGCTGCCATGATCAGCTCAGCGTGGTACGACACGTACAAGACGCATGAGCTCTTCCTGGTCCGTGGCATCTTGCGGTCGGGTCACTTCCGCGCAGACACGGTCGCGCAGCGGCCCAACATACCCAAGAGCATCAGCAATGCGGAGGAAAAGGTCCCCAAGGAGATATCCGATCGCATCCAGGAGGAAGGGTCGCCTGACACCGCTGACACGGTGACGATCCGCAGCGAGGATGAATCGGAATTCGACGATGGGGAGAGCGTAGCTGGCTACACGCCCGCGCCGTCCATCACGCCTTCGTTAACGCGAGAAATGCGCACGCGAAACCACAGGACGCACCTCACGGAGGAGGCTCTCCAGCGAACGCGCACAGTGAGTCCTCCTCGACTGCCGTACACGATGCCACCGCCACCAGCAACGTCGGACGGAACAACCACACCGGGGGCATCGTCGACGCTCACCTCCTCACCCACCACGCCGCGCGCATCTTCGCCGACGCCCTCGTCAGAGATAGACGACGACAGCAAGGGCCACGTTGTCTACGCCGAGTACGCAGACGAGCCGCCCCTCACCGACGAGGAAGCCCGCCGGATCCTCTGGGGCGACGATGAACCAGAGGAGCCCCAACGGCCGCCACAGGAAGAGGGCCTGCGGGAGAAGTTTCGATACGGCGACGTGTCGTTTGCCGATGGGCTGGAGGACAAGATGCTCCTCGTGGATGGGCAGAAGCGGATGCTCACAGAGGGTCTGCAGGTGCGGCGACAGCAGGGCGCGCACGAGTAATGGGGATTTTGGATTTTCGAGTTTTTGGAAACATTTGCTTTGGGAAACGTGTTCTATTTATTATCCATCTATACCCCATGTTGGCTACGTATGCTTGGCGGGGCGCAGGCGTTGGGCAATTCTGGTAGATACCTCATTCTTTACATGCTAGGTGGGATCATTATACATTGGGCAGACGAATGAATAGCCATGCAATTGTACGTGTATGTATGTCGTATGTGTCCAACAGCATTGATGTCCAAACGTGACTTTCCTCCTTGCACCTGACCTCCCGGTGCACTCTCTAAGCGTACCGGGTCTCGGGGTCAGCGCCAGCCTTCTTGGCGGCCTTGAGGGCCTTGAGCTTAGCAGTCCCGATGCCGAGAACGCCGCGCTCCTGGTTCTCGCCGAGCCAGGGCTTCTTGCTCTCGCCGAGCATGCTGCCGCTGAGAAAGTAGGTGACGAGGCCGAGCATGATGCAGACAAAGGCAATGGGGTACATGAAGTGGACATTGAGGTCAAAAACCTTGATGCCGATGATGACGCCCCAAAAGTTGGCGGTGAGGAGGGAGATGTTGTAGAAGCCGGCGCTGGACATGCGCAGGACGAGGGGCACGAGGGAGTAGAAGATGAAGAGGCAGAGGGTGTAGCCGACGAGGTAGCCGGCGACGTCGCCGTTCCAGGTGGCGCCCTGAAAGGCGTCGCGGTCAAAGATGGCGGCGGTGATGCCGTTGATGACGATCCCGAGGAGGCCGATGAAGGAGAGGACCTGGTACATGGGGGCACGGCTGACGAGCCACTCCTCAAAGGTGTTGCTGAGGCCGTAGCAAGTGGCGCCGGCGAGGGCAAACATGTCGCCCTTGACGAGGTTGCGGCCGGGCCCGCCGTTGCCGCCGCTGAGGTGGTCGGAGCCGATGAGGATGCCCATGCCGCCGATGCAGATGACGATGCCGACAATCTGGAAGAGGCGGTAGCGGACCTTGAGGAGGAGGAAGGAGCAGACGACGACGACGACAATGGCCCAGAAATTGATGAGCTGGGCGGAGAGGATGTTGGTGTACCTGTAGGCGAGGACAGTGAAGTAGTTGCCCTCGACGTCGAGGAAGGCCATGATGATGTACTTCCAGCCATCCTGGCGGGCGATGCGGGCCCAGGCGCGCGGGCCGTCCTGGACGAGGAAGACGGTGGTGTAGACGACGGCGAGAAGGACGTAGTTGAACATGGTCTGAAAGGCGGGGATGTTGGTGCCCTCGCCGTCGAGCAGGCTGGTGAAGGTGTTGGTGGACGTGATGCACAGGGCGAGGACCTGGCCGATGGCGAGGACGATCCAGAAGTCGGGCGTGAGGAAGTACGAGTACCACCGCGTGGACTTGGCCTCGAGGAGGTGCAGGCCCTGGTTGACGGCGGCGTCCGTGTCATCAGAGGGCCGCTCGTCAGAAGGCTGTTCGTCGACGACGGCGGGACCCTTGGCGGCGGTGGTGGTGTTGCTGTCGACCACGACGGGCGTCGCGGGCGTCTCGATGGGTGCGCCGTGCGCCGTGGTGATGTCGTTGGTGTGGGACATGGTGAAGGTGTTGTAGTTGCTCATGGGCTGTCGTCTGTTAGACTCCGTCTTGCGGGCAGAGGGCAGTGGCGCGCATATAGATACATACTTGTATGAGATGTGAGTGAAGTTGGTCTTTCTCTCCCCAAGCAGGCGCAAAGACTCAAGTCGCCTGCCTTTTCCCGGTGCTCCTGCTATCATGAACCTGCGCTGTAGGACAGGGCAGATGTGTAGAGTGAGGATGTCAAAGCGGGCATGGGTCAAGTGGTTGGAGTTCCTGGGAAAGTGAGGAGGTCAAGGACGAGCAAAGACTTTCAGTACTTCTGTCGTGGGTTGAGTCGAGCGGACCTCGCCGGAGGGGAAAAGTTTGAGGTGGGGGCGAACGGGCGGGAATCGAGGTTGGATGCGATGTGCCGCGCTAGGAGGGGGGGACGACTGCATTGCATGGTGGGGCGACGACTTGGCACCACAAGGACATGAAGTGAATGTACATATACGTGTAGTCCCTGTGGTCGAATGCAATTCAACAAGATTCCACTCGACCGACTTGACAACAGCACATTGATATGCTAGGCGAGCACATTGTGTTGAAGCACGAAAGAGCAGATCTTCCATGCAAACCTACTCCATACATTAGAGGTTGTCTTACTTTCAACGGCGCCACGTGGGGGCTGTCAGTGGTGGTTGAGCCCATGGGAGTTGGAGAGGAGATCAAAACTGATTGTAGATTGTAGGCATGGTCATTTCCTTGCTCCATTCCCTAGTAGTTTCTCAGGAGTTTCCCACTTGTTCAAGCACAGCTGTTTTCTTTTGCCCTGTAGGACAGGTAGTCAGTGAACGCTACTCTCTACGGATAGATCGTGGCGACCCCAGTACTTTGGCCTACCCTATTGGTAGCTGACAAGCGGGGCGGTCGACCGTACTCAACGACTTGATGCTTATGCCTGCCATTGCCAAGCGTCTGGTGCATGCGATCACCGCATCTCTTTAGTTCAGGCTTTCTTGCTGTGCTTGAGGAGCCTGTTTGTCTTGTCTGCGAATGCGCTTACCTGCTTTTTCGGGGGCTGATGTTGCCACAAGGCAGCTGGACCCGCACGGCTTGTATTACGATTAAAAAAAAACAAAAATCATTAATCAGTACGAAGAAAAGAAGAAACCTGGCTACACAAGAAAGATTTTATGGAGTGCGGGTTATCTTCAAATGATCTTTGGGTCAGTCAACGTTGGTGATCCCGACGGCACAGTGGATGCTGGTGGGGTTGTCCCTAACATTGCATGCAGTAGCCGACGCCAATGTCTGTTAGGGAGTCTGCTCAGGCGTATTGCCATCAACTGACAAACACGACGAGATGTCGCACTCGTCGCATAGGCCAAGGTTCCGTCCTTAAACTGTTGCTTTTGGCTGTTTTGAGACACGTGAGCTTGTTCTATTACGGTACTCTTCGAAACTTTCATTGTGGTCGCTTGTCTGTTCGTCATGTCATGCAAGCTTTAGCTAGTACCACGGGAATTGGATCAAAACTGCACCGACATCAACATCGACTTTGAAAGGGCCTGGGATCTGGATGCAGGCGCCGGGCTACTGACACAATCACCGTGCCAAAGGTCGGCCAACAACACCCGCCGTGCCCCACTGATGTGCACCTGAACTGCACCCGGTGACCCGCACGGTATCATCAAGGTCCCTCGATCAGATTCACGCTGCTGCGCGTAGCCATTCATTCATCCATCCTCTAGACATAGACGGCGTCTGCACCAGTACTCGATGTGTGCAAGGTCATCATCGCCAACATGATTGCATCACTGTCCCTTATTCTCGGCACGGCCGCTGCTGTTGCACGGGCTGCGCAGCCAGGAGCTGTCGAGCCGGTCGCGGCGCCCATGCGCAACCTCACTTGGGGCCAGCTCAACTTCCTCCACACGACCGACACGCATGGCTGGCTGGGTGGTCATTTTCAAGAGTCAGTCCAGCCCATTCTGCGCAGCACAATGACTTTGTCTAACACCACAAAGACCACAGTACTCAGCCGATTGGGGTGACTACATCTCCTTCACCCACCAAATGCGCAAGCTGGCCGACGACAAAGGCTCCGATCTCCTCCTCGTCGACACCGGTGACCGCGTCGAGGGCAACGGCCTGTTCGATGCGTCCACGCCGAAAGGCCTGTACCAGTACGATATCTACGCCCAGCAGGATGTTGACATTATCTGCACCGGCAACCACGAGCTGTACCAGCACTACTCGATCGAGCGCGAACACAACACCACGCTGCCCAACTTCAAGGAGAACTATGTCGCGTCGAACCTCGATTACGTCGATCCCGAGACGGGCAATCGGTCTCCCATGGCGCAACGCTTCAGGCGGTTCAAGACCAAGAACCAGGGACTCGACATTATTGCCTTTGGCTTCATCTTCGACTTTATCGGCAACGCAAACAACTCGGCCGTGCAGCGCGTTGAAGACACCGTCAAAGAAAAGTGGTTTCTTGATGTACTCAAGGAGAAGCCCGACGTGTTCGTCGTCACCGGTCACGTTGGCTTGCGGATGGAGGAGTTCGAGGTCATCTTCAAGGCCATGCGCCAGGCCAATTGGCACACACCCATTGTCTTCTTCGGTGGGCACGCGCACGTCCGCGACGCGCGCAGGTTTGACTCCATGTCCGTAGCACTCGCCAGTGGGCGGTACATGGAGACGGTCGGGTGGATGTCAGTCGATGGCCTAAAGAAGACGGGGGACGTGGAAACCGAGGCGTCACCCACCTTTACTCGCACCTACATTGACAACAACGTCCTTGGGATGTACCACCACACCGGGCTGGACGAGTCCAGTTTTCACACAGACAAAGGTCGCGAGGTCACCAAGATGATTGACAGCGCCCGCAAGGAGCTCGAGCTGGACCGCAGGTTCGGCTGCGCCCCCCGCGATTACTGGATGTCGCGCGCCAGGTTCAACGAGGACGGCAATATCTACAAGCTCCTTATGGATGAGGTATTCCCCGACATAATCGTCAACGAGGACCGGCGCAACGAGTCCCGCCTGGCCATCATGAACACGGGCGGCATCCGTTTCGACATCTTCAAGGGTGCCTTTACGAGGGACACGACGTACATTGTCAGTCCCTTTGTGAGCGAGTTCCGCTACGTTCCCGACGTGCCGTACGAAATAGCGAGACGCATCATCGGCATTCTCAACGATGGGAGTCGGATCTGGGCGAGCCCTCTCTTGCAGTCTGAAATTTTCCATGTGGACAACGATGTGCCGCCGAGACCGAACAAGTTCATGAGCGCGCCCGAGCAGCAGGCTCATCCTGAATTGAAAAGGGATGCAGCTGATAACCTTGTGAAAAAACTTTTGACGTCTTCAGCCGGCCTGCCCCCGCCCGAGAAGCCTGAATACATGGCTGAACCTCAGAGAGACGGCCAGACGCCTCTGAGAAGCCAACCTGATCTCATCGCCGGCTACACCACCAAAGATGACTTTGGCGACGACGGGGACGACACGGTCCATGAACCCTTGGAGTTTTATTACCAGGCCAACGCCTTCCAATCCGATATCAACTTTCCGCCCAACCACAAGGAGAAGCCCGAGACTGTGGATGTCGTCTTCATCGACTTCATACAGCCCTGGATCATCCCGGCGCTCAAGTTCTCGGGGGGCGACTACTCCGACAAAGACGTTTTGAAATACATGGAGGGTACTTTTACATCCAAGCTCGCCGAGTGGGTTGGCGAGAATTGGCAGGGCGATTGTTAGTTAGTACATTACATTGCGCATTAGAGAGCGAGAGCAGGACGTATACAGCGTGGTTTGTGATACTAAATTGAACGTGATTATATGCCAATATATCTTCCATGTCATTCCTACTCTCCCAATACAATCTATCAACTATTGACTCCTTCTCGCCTCGTTTAGGAGATGACAAAGTCCGGGGGCACACAGTACGGGCTCTTGCTCGCCTCGTAGAACTTGCACACCGTGTCGGGCGGGCAGACGCCAGCGTGCTGTTGAGATGTTAGCGGATTGTCCAGGAACAGTGCAAGCAGAGTACATGTAACGTACGACGAAGTAGCCACCGACATCGCATACCTGCCAACCCGTCGAGTCGTCGCAGGTGTAGGTGCCAGGGTGGCAGGCACTGCCCACAGGGGGGCTGGGAGGTTGCGGCTTGATGGGCTTGGGGAGGTGCTGGTATGGGTAGGGCTCTGGTTCCTCGTGATGTGGTGGTGCCGGCTCAAGGTGATGCTCAGGCTCAGGTTCATAGTCATACTCGGGATCATCGTCATACTCTGGCTCAGACTCATGCGGTGTTGGAGGTGGCATTGTCTCGTACTCTGTAGGCGGCCTCGGCTTCTCCTCAGGAGGGGGCTGCGGCTCCTGCTTTTCACCCTCTGGTTTATGCGTAGCTTTGTAATTGGAGTCGTACGCCTCTTTATTCTCCTCATAGCCGGGAGGCCATCCTGGGGGATACGATCGTCCTTTCAGGTTCATGAATTCTCTATACCCGTCGAGACGGGCGCTAGAAGCGGACTCGCCAAGCATGTTCTTGCTGCAGGAAGGGCAGTCGGGTACTATTGCCGCGACGAGGGAGAGCGCCGGAGCGAGAAAGAGTGACGGCTTCATGATGGCGGCAAAGAATGAAACCAAATGCTGAGAAGGGAGGTGATGTAGAAGACAGGGACGTATGCTGAGCTTGTCGCTTGCGGCAGACGAGCTATAAGAGGGGATCTCGGATGGCATGGAAGATTACTACCGACGTCCAACATGTGACACCAGTCAATATAGGGTGAATGATGCTCGAGTGAGCTCATCAATTGGTTTTTCGGCGCTTGAGGCTGCGAATGTTGTATCTGATGATACCCCTGAACCGAAGCCTGGGAGAGTGACTTTAAGCGGCGCATGGAGGAACCTTGAGGGAGGTAAGTTCCGTGTCACATATGCCTTGGGATGGAAGACATACCAGGAGCTCGGATAGGGCTGTAGCAGCCACAGCATCTGTGGTAAGTCTTCTCCGGGAGTACTCACCATAGGCCGGGCAACGAGAAACATTGTCAGTGCCATGCTTCCTTTAAGCAGCACCACCTCTCCCGCAGTAGCAGACATTTGATGAGAGCTTTACTCCAAAACAGCAATATTACCTTCTATGAGCAATCTCGGACTCAACGGCGGCCTTGAGTTGGCTGTTTAGTTGTAACGGACGCTCTTACACAAGACTCAATAATAGAGTTAAGGTAGCGGATCGAGACACAAGGGCGCCACGGCTGTTGAATCCCACTGCCATTTCATGACAAGGCCCTGATTCGGAAAGAAATTACCTGTTGAGGTCTACATTTCAAGACTTGGGCAGTTTGTGCAGCACAAGCCAAAGTCAAGGTCCCTGAACGCGCATGGTATTGACTAATACGAAGTGAGGCAGTCTCCCGATGGGTGATCCGTGGCAGCCGAGATAAAATAGTAGCAAACATCAAGGCAAATCAACCTCCTCCCGCGTTTTAAACTCGGGGTCCGATATGACTCATGATTTTTATAGCCTTTGATTCGTACTTGATGGCGTCACGGTTCCCGAATCGGGCCTGTCGTCTTCACGGTAAATGTTGGAGTAAACGACTCGGACCAGCTGGACCATCGTACTTTCTAGAGTTAGCAAACGAGACTTCTCTTGGTGGTAAGACGACACCTACTTGTACAGTACAGCGGAGTGTAGGAGTTCCTCTGCCCCCGCTGATATTGCTGTGCTGACAACGAGCGGCAACCGTGTGCTCATTGGCATCGCGTGTATGGACATTTGCGTCTATATGATTACCAAGATGTTCAACATGTACCTCAAGTCCTCAACCGCAAGCGCGAGAATAGGTGGAGCGCCATGACTGAAGAGCAACGCTTGTACTATGTGGAGACTACCAAGGATGATGGTAGCGCGAGGAAGGACTTTGGGTTCTCTCACCAAGGGCTTAACGTGATGTGGCGCGCGGATGTTGAAAGGAAAGAAGCACATGAATTGAAGCACGCGCAGATACTGACTAAATTTGGGGGTCAATGGAAGGTTTGAGAGCTGAATAGATGATAGGTTAGCTTTCGATGAATGGTGAATGTATCTTTCGTTAACACAATGTCAGATGCGTGGAGTGTCAATGTTTAGTTACTACCCTTTGTCAGGATGGCCAACAAAAAATGTGCAGCCAATCCACATCTGCTAACATCTACAGCTTGCTTGTCAAAGCCCCTATGCCAGTTTAAATTCGAGACAGCTGATGTACGTCGGTTGGTTGCTCGTGGCGTACCAGTACCATTGAATGACGCAGTTACCCGCTTAGCTACACTCTGCTGGCAACCTATCAGGGATGGTGACGCTGGAGTCGCCTTTCGAAAATAGTCAGCACCGGGTGGTTATCTGGCAAAGAGCTCTGTGTTGTGGGTAGCTTACGCTCATTATTTGGCACAGTCGGGTCCGAGCTCAGGAAGTCTTCCCAGACTTTAAGGGGCTCACCGACCATGGTGTTCTCGACAGCTTCCACAACGGATATGTTCCACAGAATCTGCCACCTTGTTGACCTTGTCTATAGTTCTGTAAGTCAACTTACCGCAAACCCGGGCTTATGTCCGGCAATGATGCCAATGTGGATGTCCAATACATCCCCAGCAGCCAATGACAATATGTTGCCCGTGTTGTCTTCGAATTGGGATCCACGGCACAGGGTGAGGTTGTGATTGTAGTCTTCGTCGAGGACTGCTACTGAGTTCTCAATGGGGTTGGCTCTGTCTGTGCAGAATGTCAGCTTTGGGTAGCATGGAGTCATTTGGAGGAATCGCGCCATCATCGAGGCGGTCTGCAAATGCAGCACCACAAACGCTGCTTGAGCAGAACCTTCTGGAAAGACTCAGAATGCTGTTTATTAGACCTCGCACTGGAATGTGGTCAGTTACACCGCGGGGGACAGGCTCGGTCATGAAAGCGTGTCCGAGAGCTCCCGCGATAGTGGTCGCCAAAACGGCGATTTGCGAAAGCATCATGTCAGCTAGTTGGACCCTCCAACTATTGAATAAACGTGTATTCCCAATGGTATACACGGCCGCCGGCTTATGCAAAGTATAAGAAACAAGGTCACGATATCACGCACACGCGGTTTCGTGTATGTGACTGTATTTCATCGACTCTATCTCTGTGTTGAATCCGTCCGCCCCTCCTCTCTGAGGTAGATTTACCTGGACCGCGGGGCGTCTGCTCCACGAGGACAGTAACGTGTATGTGACACTGCGCCTAATTTACCCGAAAGCTGTTGAAGCCAGGGAGTACAGTGTCAACACCTGAGTAAACGATTACTCGTCCTCAGAGTCCTTGTAGGCTGTCTCAAATTGGTCAAGCTCTGAGGGAATAACAGGGAAGGCCCTAGCTGACAAAGTGCCCTTTGCGTCCTCAACCTCGCTGAACTCGGCAAAAAGGTCCCAAAGAAGACTCTTTTGCTCTCCCGTAATTTCTGTGCCGTTGATCCGGAAGGCTCTGCCGTCGAGAATGATAAGATCGGGATCCACGTAGTTGGTGCAGGGTGCTGTCCCCGGCTGCTTTGATTTGACTGGACACTCCTCTGAGCTCTCTTGGCCTCCAAGATCTCTCCTGAGTTCATGGTTAAAGAACCACTTGTGGCCACGTAAGTAAGCACTGCTCGCACTAATGCAGTTATCCTTGTCGGTACATTCTGTGCTGGAGACCCGGACGCTGCAAGCAGCTCCTAGCGATGCTCCACGATAGCTAAGTCCACTGTGGTTAGAGCTGGTCATTTCTGGACTAGTGTTGTCACTATCAATTCCGAGGGAGATTAGACTAACATAGCATGCTTGTGCTTCTTGTCGTTAGCCTTGCAGCTTGCTGACCTATATCCGTTCCCCCCAGCACGACAGCAGGATTGTCTGATAACGTCTGAGCATACTGTTCGAGTGTTGCCTCGACAATCACTAGTGAGATACTGGCGAAGATCGACGGCTGCTACGGCGCCGAGAAGCATCCAAAGAGCAAAAGTGAAGCGCGGCGTAAAAAGCATTGTGGAAAGATGTAAAGGAAATATCTGAAGTGTTGGCTGAAGGAGTTCCGAGAGAATTGTAGGAGAACTTTGATGCTGGTTGTGATGCCCCTTTTTATACTAAATAGACTATTAGACTCAAGGCGCTTCTGCAATGTAGAAATCCTCGAATAGTGAGCTGTTTGCCTTAGCGATCTTACGTCGATAATTTTCGGCCCCCATGCCCAGACACTCTAGACCGTTGGAGAGCTGATCAACAGAGAGATTTACCCTTGGCGAATAGCTCTTATTCGATGAGCGCGCTCAAGTGGAGTGCTTATGAGCAAGCAAGAGGCACAGTAGAGTGCTTATGAGCAAACAAGAGGCACAATAGAGTGCTTATGAGCAAGCAAGAGGCACAGAAGTAGTGTTGGATGCGCAGTCAGCTTCTGTGATAGCGGTGCTAGCTTGGTGGATGCTTTTTATCAAAGAGGCCAGAAGGAATTCCCCATGTGCTCTGAATGTGGCTAATGAGCGTACATATGCTATATCACTTTCTCTTTACCAATAACCAAGCGGGCTGCTAACGCAATCAATCAGCTTACGAGCCGCATTGTGGAGCTACACTCCTCGACCTGCTCGACGGACGAGTGGAACCGGGACCCGAAGAGGAAGCCAGCACAGCTGCCGGACACGTTGCCTTTGAAAATCCAACTCTTGTGATTTTCTCCCTTTGCGGGTGGGGAAGGATATCTTCCCTGAAGAAAGAACGCTGCCGCCTATGTGGATGGCGAAATCATCCCGTTGCTCGCTGGTATTGCTCGTCAAAAATTGTACTTTGAGCAGTTACACAAATTGGAAAGCAAACAGCTAGGTTTCTCTGGCAAGAAGGTCTGCCTTGCCACGGCCATTGGACACATACACTCGCCAATGTCTTTGCTGGATGTATTGCGCGTCAAGCTTGCATCCGCCATTCTGCAAGCCAAGACCAGTCTGTTAGCGTCAGAAGACGCGGGTGATGCGGAAGCAGCTCGCAGCATGATCTCGGACTGGGAACAATATCCACCGGAAGAAATCCGAGAACAAACTGTTAGTGTGCGGAAAAAGACGTTAGCGGGCAAAAAAGGGAGGCGGCACATGACATGGCTGGACAATGTCGGGTGAAGAGTGTTGACATCTGTCAGCCTCAATACCTGACTGTGTTTCGGCAGTACGTACTTTATCGAGTTTATGGTTCGCACAATTCGCTCTCTTATCATCCGGTATATAATTATGTGTTTTATCCCGGTACCTTTCAAAAGTAGCATCAAGATGGAGCCTCCCACAGCCTGTCAATCTGTTTCCTCCTCACCTACACCAACCAATCAGCAATCGGATTTCAAGAACGTAGAATAAGGGACTTACCATGGGTGCAAGGAACATGACACCACCGAACAACGCCAGCACCGTCCCGATCAGCGTCGCTTTGCTGAAACCACGACCAAGGATGTCGAACACGCCACTGGGGGCCACTCTGGTGCCGAAAATATCTCCACCATATGCAATCACCAAGCTCGTGCTTTCGACAATGGCGGGGCTGGCAAGAATACCCTTGACACCGAGAACGTCTCGCTCGTGGGTGATGATACTGCGGGGATCAATCTCCAGGGACGGATGATACCTCATCAGACCCTCTGCCTCCATCTCAGCAGCGGTGGGATCGCGACCGACAGGACGGCGGGGATCAACCGCCTGGCGGGGAATAGCAGTGATGGCTTGGCTCTCGGGCATGAGGGCCATGATTTGGCGGTTAGCGATGCCCTGGCGTGTGGACGTTACGGCGAGATGTGTCAGGGGCTGACTTGTCACCCAGCTCTGAGTCACTACCCACGGCAGCGGTGCGCCAGTTGGTGTGTCCACGGGATTCAAAGAGGAGAACTCCTCGGCATCGCCCAGCGGGCCTCGGTCGTTAGGCGATGGGGACTCATAGAGATCGGTGGTGACAACTTGGTAACCCTTGACCTGGCGGTTCGTGCCGTCGGTAAGCGTGAACTGCCCGAAGAAAGAGCACACGTGCCAGTTCTCAGCCATGGTACAGGATACGTCCTTAGTGGCATCGAACCCATCGTATGATTGCGAAGAGAGGACCTGGCCGGAGACAGTGTCGATGGTCTTGATGACGAGAGTACTAGCAGCATCGTCGACCACAGCGATGACGATCATGTTGGGGTTAATGTACTTGTAGTTGACCTGGCGATCCCCAAGAACACGTCCGATGGAGGCAACGGGGTCGTGAATGGGCCGCGTGGCAATCTCGACAATTTGCTGGCCAGGGAGAACCTTGTGCTGCCACACATCCTGCTTAGAGACAGAGTCGCCATCGCGGACAAACCGGATGCCTTTCAGGATCTTCTGATCTTCGCTGCGGATCACTATGGTATCGTTGGGGGCAGACTCGACCGTCATGTCGCTGACAGCATTACCATCTGGACCCAAGGACAAGAGCCAATGGCCGTTGGTGCCCTCGACATAGGCAGTACTGGCAACGTCCGCAGCTGTACCAACCGTCGCCAACTGAAGGACTTCGCCCGTGGCAGCGTTGATCTCAGCGTACTCTCCCTTGGAGCTGCTGACAATGACCGTGCTGGAGGAACCGTCATGGTATACGAGACCTTTCACGTCAAGTTCCTCATGGCTCTTCTGAGGGAAGACCAAGGATGACCAGATAACTTCGCCGCGACCGCCAGTGCTGAGGCCGTAGAATCTGCCACGACGCGTAGCCAAGACGATGATCTTGTTGAAGCCAAAGGAGTCTCTCGCCAGACCTTCCTCCTTCCGTGCCGCGCCGTCCCCCAAGACACTATCCATGAACCTCGAGGGGATTGACTGCAGCCACGCAGGCAAGTGCTGAAGATCACTCACATGGCGGCTCACCCGATGAATGTAGGCAGACATGGGATTTGTGTGTGCCTCCTCCTCCAAAACCTTGGCCAGGTCCGCTACCTCGGGGATGTCAGCCCACACAGCAGCGACAGCGCCACTGAGGCCCTCATGGCGGGTCCAATCTTTCTCTCCATTGCGCACCATCACCCACTGCTCGTCAGCAGTCAGAGCAGCAGAGCGTAGCGCGAAATCGTCGCCTCCGGGCTTCTTGACCACCTCGGAAACGGCTTGGACAGGCTTGAGTTGGTGTTCCTTCTTCAAAAACCACCTCGACAGAATTCCCGGGCCGTCCGATGAAGTGATGACAACCTCATCCTCTGCAAGACGGACAAAATATACATTCGCGCCCTCGGAGCTGACGGAGAAAGCACTGTCGGCTTTGAGGTGGGGCAGCTCGTACGCCTTGGTGATCTGCGCGCTCTTCAAGTTGATGTGGTACACTTCGGCGCGGTTCCCACCAGTGCTCTTGGTATGAACGAGAAAATGAGGTTGCGAATTAGGCTTGTGAGGCGCATGAATGCTGACGGCTGTGGTATCGGAAGCGAGAGGGACTTCTTGCAGCTTGTTCTTCGCGCCCAGAATGTGAATGTTGAGCTTCGACAGGGACCTGTCCGTCCAGGCCAAGATAGGGGCAGCAGAATTCGCGCCAACAAACATGACATCCTCAGGCTTATGCACATCGCCCTTTGTGCCGACATTCCAGTCGTGAACGCGCGTGCCGGTAAGAGTATCCAACGACGTGATTTTGAGACTGTATGAGGCAGGTGATCCGTGCAGGCTGATCACATAGATATGGGCCGCATCGGTTGATACTTGGAGAGGCATATCTTTGTTGTGGTCGCGGAATTCCCAGACGACAGTTCCGAGTGTACCATGGAGTCTGCGCAGGACTGTGACGCCCT